ATGAGAGATTGTTGGTGTTCCCAGGGCATGACTTCCTCCGGATCACTTAATGGATTAAGCCATGATTAGCTTGCCATTCATTATTAATCCCCTTTAATCCTCTTAGGAACAGGATTAAAATGCAAGTGTGACTTCCTTTGTGAATTGTCTCAACTTTGTCAATAGTTATTGACTTTCCACCACATGTGAACAATAGCAAGGTACACACGTACAGTACATGACTATGAAGTATGCATGTAGCATACATGTACATGCTTACATGCACTAGACTCTAGAGCTGTATGGTATACATGTACATTTACAATACATGGCATAACTGTACATAAATGCAAATAAATAGAGTTCTAGTCATAAAAGATGTGTATTCCATGTATGTTTCTTGTACTTTCTTAGTTTCAATGCAATCATTTTTAAATAATCCATTCAGTATATGAATCCAATTAAAAGAACTGAATCCAGTGCAATATGTTACATTTAAAACCAACACCAATGTATTTTACATGAAGCAGTGCTGTGTACATTGAAAATGCTTTTAGGGATTGCTACAGTGTAGCCTGATACCAGTATTGCACATCGGGTAAAGGGAAAGGTGAAAGGGAAAGGTGAAAGGGAGAAGGTTATTAAAGTTATATTCTTGCTAAAACACTACAGTAACAAACAGCTTTAAAATTATATGAAAAGGGACATAACATCAGCAAAGATGATTTCATTCAGAATCATCCAATTACAAACTCTTACTAAAATTCATCTTTTTCAAGATATTTTATAGGGTTTCTTCTTTTTCTATAATTTATAAATATAGACTGTAGATTAAATGGTACCGGTACATGTATGTCTAAAATGCTGAACTTTTTGTGAATTCACCTGCACAATACTAATACACAGGCAGTACATGTACATGTATGTAGTACATGGGTATACTTTACAGAAAAGCTATTACTGGACACCACTCAAGTGACAAAAGAACTTGCAGTATTTGCTTCGAGCAAACTCAGGTACCCCACCTGGTTCTCCATTATTAGTCCCATTAACTGAAAGAGCCGTTAGTGTACGCCCTGCGGCAATGTACACTGTGTATGCTGATTGTGAGGTGAAAAGGCTAACTTCTCTCTTAAGACCAACAGTGAAGGGCTTGCGTCAATCAGGTTTAAATTGATCCATTGAGGCAAGGTGCGGTATGCAAATAAAGCCATTCCTTTGTTTATTTTTCCCACCGCATGTGATCTCCTGAAATTAAAGTCTGAAATGAAGTTCTGCCATTGTAAGTTAGATGTAAATTGTCCCTCTTTTATTTGCAGAAAAGTATAATGTCTGTCTAGTGTCTACAGTATTTTGCTAATTTCAAATAATTCACCAAAATTGGTAATATTAAACAATATGACCATACATGTAGGACATTGCATAAAATAATAAAACATGATCTGCATACAATTTTGTACAATAATTCTGTACAGTAAATATACATTGATGCTATTGCAACCATACTTTTTGGGGAGAGAGGGGGGGGGGGAGGAGAGAAGTTTAAAATGCAAGTTTTCTTCAAATTTTTTAGCCAGCTCTGTAAATAATCAGGGACATCCTCCAGAAAACAAGAGACGTGGCATGGGACAAAGAAGTTTAGCAAATTATTTATAGAGGAAACCTGAGCTCAAGTGTTTCAGTACCTGTTTATGTTAACCTTAGATGGTAATAGACCTGAGCATAATTAGTTATACTTGGTAAATATACAATGTAGTGCATTATACACTTGGAATACACTGTACATTAAAAAAATGTGATAAGAAGGAAAGATTTATTTAATCAAAGCTTTAAAATCAAGTCCACAAACAAGCCTGTCAACTTATTGTTGAGACAGCTGTTACAGTCACCACAGCTCTGGTAACTTGTACATGTCCAGATAATATTGATTGGTAGACCCATCTCATGCCAGATCCTAAAGTAGGCACGCACATATTCCCCATAGATAAGTACATTCCTGCGTCACTTGTACATTGTACATGTAGCTTTCAGTCTTCAGACAATCTCAATGATTGCAGTAATGGTGGACTGCAACGTAGTTCCCTGTGAGTCGTGACCCCTTTTGACTAATATTATGTCAAGGCGTTCAAAGTTTCATGGAGTGATATGCTCCTAAAACTTTGTAAAAAAAAAGCCTGCATACATCTGAATAATGTCCAGTGTTACCTACAAATAAAATTTGAAATAAGCATCTATTGATCTACTGTACATACAGGTACATGTACATTGTACATAACACTATTCATAATGTCAGCAATAATACTAAATTTGTGTTGGCCTGAGGCTGACAGGGATGTCTTCATACATGTGTGTTTAAGAATCTTGTTACTGGTGCACTTCAAATCGGCATCTAGGTTTGTTTTTGATGAGTAAACGATACCTCTAACCAGGAAACAGTAGCTTCTGCGTGTTTCTAGCAGCTGATTATTTGGAAATGATTCAAATGACTGAGAAGCTGCCATCCTAAACCAAACAAATATGCCTAGAATGTTTGGCTGTCACACGGCCCTACGGTCAAATGACCTGGCCTGGAAACGATGGCCATGACACGTAAGAATGGCCAGAGAGTGTGGACGCCCTACATAGCTTTGATTGTAAACCAAATATCCTGTGAATGTACAGTCCCCAAGGGATGATGCTCAATTGATGGAGCACCTGAACTTGAATTTACATGTACATGTACAGCCACACATGTACATTACTGTACAGTAGATTACGCAATAACTATTTGATTAGCATGTACTGTGCACAGGACTGCAACCTTCATGTACAGAACATGTACCCTAAGTTCCTAACAATCAGACATTTTTGTATGTAGGCATTGCATTTGACATGCAAGCTACATTTGTACTATTTTTGAACAAAGTATGCTCAACTGATATGAAGCCACTGTTTTCACAATAGGGTGAGCCATTTGTCCCAGCCATCATTGCATCAATTACGGAACAAACAAAATATCACCATCTTCTTCATTTTTGTTTCGTTAATTTTGCAGTTAGTCAGAATTTTTGCTACAAGATTTTCCTCTATTTATGTGAAAATATAACATAAAGGATTCCTGATTTTGTCCATTTTCCCTACAACAAAAAGCCTGTCTTTTCAAGAGCAGTACATGTAGTATTTATTTTCACTAAATTATTTAATTTTGAATGAGTTGCTCCACTCTCTCTGCAAGAGATGGTGTAGAAGCACATTAATTATTATCCCAAAACATTCCCAATAGGAGGGGGTGAGCTCTTGGAGCCTATGAACTATAAACCATTAAACCAGGCTATACAACATAAGGCAAATTAAGAAATCCACCTCATATTATATTACATGCATTTGCTGCAAATATATGGGCCTAAATGTACAGCTGATGTAAACTCGGCCATATATACTGTACATGTACATGTATATTTGTCTAAAAAATAGGTTGCTTTTCGTTCCCAAACAAGCGTGTAAATAAATAGCATCTATTCTAAGAGCCCAGGAAGTGATGTGTTAAAAGTGATATCCTTGAACTAGTCACACTCACTGTGCCAGGCCAGGCTTCTAGCTAGCTAGCTCGCTCCTTACCCACGCCTCTCAAGCAAAGTTCAGGGGACGCACTCCCAGCTGGGACTGCTGAAATGACATTGCCCTTGTTGGTGGTTGGTACCCAAGCTAGGGTTTCTATAGGCCTGTCATCATTAACTTGAGATTGCCAAATAGCCCGCTATTTCTGATTTGGGAAATAAGCCCTACGATACAAATCGCATCTTCGTCAGCTCAAGACTCCACCTCTAAACTCAAGCTCGAGAAATTTTGCTCAGTGTTTGTGCATAGTGCGAGTCTCTGGGCTGGTGAAGAGGCACCGGACAAATGGCGGGATATTTTGCAAAGTAGCCAAAGTTATCTTGGGATGATTATCTCGACCAAATATCCCGCTAATTGGCATTGCAACTGTGGGTGGATGAAGACCCAAATTAGCTGGAAAATTTGCGATCGTGATAGTTAAAATAACAGGTTATTTGGCAATCTCGAGCTGATGAAAACAGGCCTTATAATTCAGCTCTTAGGATCCTGGGGTCTGAGTTTCTATGCTACACTGAAACAAGTATGTGTAATGCATGTAGCTCAACAGTACATGTACTACGTCACATATTTTGTGCAATGCCATTCAATATTTGGGGTTTTCTCATTTTACAAAAATGTAAATGGCCAGTTACATTCATTCACTCCTTCTTTATAAACACTTTTAAAGCGTATCTGCCGTAGTTTACAGGAGGGATTAGACTGCCCTGCAAGGTCACTGGACAGGTGGTTATCTCATCAACTCAGCTCTCAGTTAACATAAGAAAAAGAGGATCATGGGGGACCAATGGTCACCGATTAGACATGGTTTGTTATATCAGGGAATAATTTTCCTCAAATTTTTTGATTAGCAATTTCAGCCGATGGATAAATATTTCAAATGAAATTCTGTACATTTCTATGGAAGAAAACTGCTACACAAAAGATATTTTGTATAGCAGTCATGCAAAAATGCATAGCAAATTGCGATGCGATACCAGGAAAATTATTCCCTGTATATAGAGGGCGCAAGTAGCTACAAGTAGTGCAGTGGGCCTTTAAGGCTTCATCTCACTACAGAGTGAGAAAACTTGCCCTTTTAAATGTACATGTACAGGCTACATGACAGAAATATGTGGAAGAAATTATTTCTTCCCCCCCCCCCCCCCCCCTTCTCTCCCTCCCTCCATCTCTCTCCCCCTTTCTCTCTCCCTCCCTCTCTTTCCCTCTCTCTTTTTCACTCTCTATCTCTCTCTCTCTCTAATTCCAAAAAAAAATCTTTTTTCAGATGGATTAATTTTTCAGCTACCCAGAAACCTGAAAGCATACTTATTACATTTTGTTTAAAAGGCGAAAGAGAGAGAGAGAGAGCGACAGGGGAGGGTGAGATGGAGGGGGGGGGGGGAGAGGGGAAGGGGGGAAATATGGTCTTGTTCTGTATTGCTCACCTTGAAGAAACCTGGGCAAAGTTTCCCCCGTCCTGGAGCCTGACTTTGCCAAAGAGCACAGCGTTGATGAGCGGCACAGAGGACAATTCCACCAATTCAAAATTCACCTGGAATTTGAACTTTTTCTTCTTCATGATGAAAGTCATTGCATGACCAGGAAGAGCAATGGTTATATTTCCTAGGTTATGTCACTGGTAGGTAAGGTGAAAATTTATCCAACTTTGTTGCTTCCTTCAAGATTCTACCTGTAGCAGAAAAGAGGAATGAGAAAAAGGTCACTTTTATAACAAGTTTATAAAGCTTTTGAGAAGAAAAAAAATTTCCTTCAGCATCAGCATCAGTATACGGAAGTGTGAGGTGATCCTGTTGAAACTTCCGGTCGTTTCATTGGGTGGTGCTTCGTTCGAAAAAGAACCTTTAGGGCCATTCCATGGTAACTCGCGTTACACTTAATGGGTACATTGACACGATAATGTGCCTATATCTTTAGAACTGCTAGGATCTGCAAGATACTTTTTTCAAACATGGACAGGGCAGATATAGAACAACTGAATGAAACAAAAAAGAAAATTGAAGAACAAACGTTTTTAGATTCTTGGATTATTGAATTTTGGTAACTCGCGTTACAAAAAAAGGACATGGTCAATTCTATGAGACCCTCTTTTGGCAAAGTCTCCTCATACTAGACAATCTTGACAAAATCTTTCCTACGTTGATAGTAGGTTGAGACTTACTAGTATAAGATCACAATATTAAAGATAAGAAACAATGGACTAGTAAAATGCAGGAAGCAAATATGTCGGTAACTCACGTTACGGTAACTCGCGTTACATTTTGTCCGGAGGCCATTTTCACCCCTATGTAATAGATTAAATATCCCAGGACCCCTTAGAAAAGGCTTAGAATATGGAAATATATTCATCTTTTTCAATTTAGCGAAATTTTCAGGAAAAAATATTACAAGAATCCTGTGTAATCTGCAATAAATTGTTTTTTTTTCATCTACAGTCCCACATGTACGTTTTTGATGATGGTTTGAGATCTTAGGAAATCAACAAAAATGAAAAATAAATTGTATTGAATTTGAAAGGCCCTAATGTTTTATGAACATCCATGGCATAAGGTTAGTGATAAATCAAAAATTTAACATAAGAGGTACATTTCTTTTTTTGATGTCATGTCCTTCTTCTCATGGAATGGCCCTTAACTATTTTTGCTCGCATGGCGGGTGGACGCACAAATAAATTTTATGGAAGCATTTGGTGCTGAGAGGACCAGTGCTTGTCCAATCTAATCTTGAAAGAAGTGATTGAGGATGAGGAGATGACAGATGTAGGAAGACTATTCCAGGATTCTACTACTCTCTGACTGAAGCTGTTTCTTCTTAGGACTGTGTTGCTCCTTTGCTTATACAGCTTCTGGTGGTGTCCCCTTGTAGCTTCATGAGGTGCAGATGTGAAGAAGGCTGCGGGATCGGAGTTTACGAGTCCGTTCATCAGCTTGTAGACCTCAATCATGTCGCCTCTTATCCTTCTGTATTGCAGTGAATACATTTTGAGGTTCTTAAGTCTGTCTTGATAGGATAGGTGTCTGATCTCGGGAATTAACTTTGTTGCTCTTCTTTGCACCTTCTCAACTTTCACTGCTTCAGCCTTAAACATTGGATGCCAGATGACATTCCCATATTCAAGAAGAGGGCGAACAATGGTCGTGAACAGGATTGGTATTGTGTCTCTTGATATTCTTGTGAAAGTTCTCTTTATAAGTCCTAACGTCTGATTGGCTCTTTTAACTGCAGTGTCAATATGTGTATGAAAAGTCAGCTCATCATCTACCATGACACCCAAATCCTTTTCTGCAACAGTTTCTTGAATTATTTGGTTGTTTATGCGGTACAATGACTTGGTGTTACCCTTTCCAATGTGCATAACTTTGGTTTTTGCTGAGTTGAAGGTGAGTTGCCACGATTTGGCCCAGGAAGCTGCTTTGTTCAAATCCTCCTGTATTGAGTCTCGTTGGGTTGATGTACTAACTTGGTAAGCTTTTTTTTCATCCAGCCTTCCAGAATGCTGCAGCACCCTGGAGTGCGGCGAGAGAAATGCAGTTACATGTACATGTACATCAAATATGATTTTGGCATAACGTCTATTTTTGAAACACAAAATATAACCTGCTAGAATATATACATGTAGTTTCATGAGAAAATAGTATTTTAAAGATAACAAGTTTATTTCTCCCTCACTCGCATTGCTCGCTCACATTATCCAGAAACAAGATGATTAAGGATCTAGACCTTCTACATGATTTAAGGCAAAGATGTGCTCAAATAAATCATGCCCAAGCTGTATACAAAATATATAATAAGTTAAATTATCACACATGACATAAAACCATTACAATGTTGACGTAAAAGGTTAATATTCTGATTGATACAACTACAATTAAGTCTGTAAAAACCCAAATCAAATGTTAATTCAATTGGCCATGAATGCGTCACAGCTCTCACGGCCATTTAATATCCGGATAGTAGCGGAGAAGGTCAGTTGCTTTTGGGCAAAATGTATCCCTTATCGGCAATTAACCGGATAGGGGCCTAATGCCAACTAGAAACATGCTCAATCATGAATGAGTGTCTACTCTACTCTCTAGAGGTTGACGTCGTATTTCAATGATAAAAAATTCCCTTTTCAGGATACTGCCATAGGCGCTAGGCCTACATGCATGTGTCAACATGAAACTAAAGCTAAAGCCAAAGGTACAATTATTAAAAGACGACCTACAAAAGTCATCACATTTTTCAAACAAACAACTCGAAACCAAGAGGAACCCGCATAGGCCTACTAGAACAACAGCGTTTACAATTGATTACGAACCCGTTGGAGCGGCGGGTCTACGTATTGTGGATCCGTACTAAACCGATGCATTTGCAAGCAGTTTTTAGTACATTGTATTTTGTATGTAGGCCTAAGCCTGTGCAAGAAGATAATAAATGGCCGTTCTTGCCACTACTCACCTCTCACAAAATCGTGGTAAAATCCTAAATGCACTGATACTGGAAAGCTATGGAGCTCCCTGTGGCACTAATAGCTCTTGGTAATTGTCTAAAATACGAGTGTCCACGTCAGAAAAGCCTTTGGTGATATGAAACTCAACGAAGTTCCCGTTACTTATGTATGATATCCGGCTAGCACCTATTAAAAATAATGCGCTTGAAAATTTGCATGCAAGAAGATAACACAATCAATAATGGGCACTATATGGTAAATAGTCAAGAGAGGGCGACAATTGCAATCACAAACCCGGAAGGTCAACTTACGTTGTGTGAATGTGCACCCTTTCCTCTTCCAGCTGTAAATCTGTAAATAATTACTCAATCATCAATCTTTATCAAGGGTGCTTTGTCACTCATACTATTTCCCCAAAACTTCTGCCTTTCCCGCATGAGTATTCGAACTGGAAAGTATTGAATGAAGTTATGCTTGATGGAGAAAACAATATTGCTGTCCTTCGAAGTTATGTCTGATGTACGAAATAGTTTTGCTGTCCTTTGTGCAAGTATATGTTCACCTTGTATCGATCAATTAAAACAGTAACATTAAAATGTAAACTTTTAGTTAAATAAAAAAGGGATTAAACATCAGTCTATGTTTGAGAGATAACACAAAAGGGGGGAAAACACGCTTGCTGGGTATTGAATCCCACATTGCCCCCCCCCCCCCCCCCCCCTCTTTACCCTCTTTTTGCGACTCGCTATTGCACGTACTCGACGTATAAGTGAATCTGAATTAAGTACCCCAACCAATGTCGATAACACAACACTTATGGATGCTTTAATGATAAATTCGAGGCAAAAGGCCTGCATTTCGTCCATTTAAATGTTAGATCCATTTTGTATAAAATTTCTGAACTTCGATTACTTTTTTCTAAGAAATGTTGCACGTACTCGACGTATAAGTGAATCTGAATTAAGTACCCCAACCAATGTCGATAACACAACACTTTATGAATGCTTTAATGATAAATTCGAGGCAAAAGGCCTGCATTTCGTCCATTTAAATGTTAGATCCATTTTGTATAAAATTTCTGAACTTCGATTACTTTTTTCTAAGAATAAAATTTCCATTATCGCAATTTCTGAAACGTGGTTAAACTCGTCTGTAAATGATGAAGAAGTCTGTATAGATGGATATTGCATTTTACGACGAGACAGAACATCTGGGCAAGGAGGTGGTGTTTGCCTCTTTATTAGAAACGATATTGCCTTCAATTTAAGAGCCGATCTCATGTTAGAAAACGTTGAATCATTGTGGGTCGATGTCCTTTTACCACGAACCAAACCAATTACATTTGGCGTCTACTACAGACCCCCTAAAGATCATACTTTTATTGAAAGACTCTCCGAAACTTTTGATAAATTAACAAAAGACGATGAGGTCATAGTTTTAGGAGACATAAATATTTGCCTTTTGCGAAAGTCTCCATTATCCAGAAAATATGAAAATATATTGAATTTAAATGGTTTGAACCAACTTATAAATCTGCCCACTCGTACATCACAGACGACTTCCTCATTAATAAAAAGGCAAAGGGAAAAGTGCTCAAGAGACAGTTATTAATGTCCAGGGAGAATTATGTCATGATAAATCAAGAATAGCAAATGAGTTCAATAATTATTTTACAACTGTGGCTGACAAGTTAGCGTGTAAATTACCAGTAAACACGAACAAATTCCATGCCGACAGTGAAAGATTTCAAAAGTTTTATGACGAGAAAGACATCTCAAAAGATAGTTTTCACTTTTCTCCAGTTACAGAAAAGTTTGTTTTAGATGAGTTAAACAAGTTGAAAGTATCGAAAAGTACTGGACTAGATATGATACCAGCCAGATTTTTAAAAGATGGGGCGAGAAATTTGTATGAACCTTTGAATTATATAATCAATTTATCTCTTATGTCTACTACCTTTCCTGACGACATGAAAATTGCAAAAGTAACACCGCTACATAAAAAGAAAGACAAAACTGACGTTGGTAATTATAGGCCTATCAGTGTTTTAAGCGTAGTTTCAAAAATTTTGGAAAAATCAGTTCATGCTCAAATAGAGAAATATTTTCAAGAAAAAAAGTTAATATATGAATTTCAGACCGGCTTTCGTAACGGATATTCCACTGAAACATGTTTAATACATTTATCGGATTTTGTTAGGAATGAAGTTTCTCAAGGGCGCTTTGTTGGAATGGTTCTTCTGGACTTACAAAAAGCCTTTGATACTGTAAATCATAACATACTGTTAAAGAAATTGGAAGTGATGGGTTTGGATTCGGCATGTGTTAAATGGTTTAGATCATATTTAACTAATCGTCATCAAGTGGTAACTATGCAGAAGGTAATATCTGATTCCCAGCCTATTAAATGCGGGGTTCCACAAGGGAGCATTTTAGGCCCATTCTCTTTATGTGTTATATTAATGATATGTGTACTTGTGTTAATGATTCTAAATTACTTTTATATGCTGACGATAGTGTGTTACTATATTCAGATACAAATCCTAAGTCAATTGAAGAAAAACTAAGTGCAGAATTGGCAAAATGCATCGAATGGATGACAGACAACAAGCTTAGTTTACATGTTGGAAAAAACAGAAAGTATTTTATTTTGTTCGAAGGGAAAGTTTAAATATACACGTGACTTCAAGGTTACCTATAATAATCAAGTGATTGAGAGTAAAGATTCAGTAAAATATTTAGGAATAAATTTAACTAGTGATCTGTCATGGACAGGTTTGGTAGATTCAATTGCCAAAAAGGCTAATTCTCGCTTAAAATTTGTGTATAGATACCAAACTTGTATGAACATGAAGTCGAGACGTATTTTGTGTTTTGCTTTGATACAATGTTTATTTGATTATGCTAATGCTGCTTGGTACAGTAGTCTGGGCAAGATGGATATGAAAAAGTTAAGAATAATTCAGAATAAGATGGTAAGATTTATTAATTGCTTAGGCCCAAGAACACACGTCGGGAAAAATGAACTTGAAGAAGCAGGTATACTCTATGTAGGTCAAAGGTCTAAACAACTCGTGTTACACCATGTCCATAAAATATACTACTCAGATGTAGATCATTATAATTATTACTAATAATTTTACTCGTGTCTCAAATATCCATGGATACGATACAAGAAATAGTCATTTTAATTTTGTTTTACCCAAGCGAAAAGGACAAATTGGAAACTCTTTTTATTTTAATGGTATCCAATTTTGGAATTCTCTCCCAAAACATGTCAAAATAGTTAAGAATTTTTCACACTTTAAAAGTGTATTAAAACAATACCTAAAGCATGAATCCCTTCAAGAACAGTAATATCAGTTATCTTAAATCACAGTTCATTATGTGTAGCGCATGTTTTTAAGTTTAATCTTGCATAATATACCGTAGATCATTGTTTGCTATAAGTTCTAGAAATTTTTGTTGTTGTTTATGTTATATTATTTATTCGTAATATTCGTAGTAGTTATTAGTTGTGATATTTTATTCTCATGCCGTACTGTACACGTACTTTATAGGACCCCGTTGGAAATAAGCCCTTTCCGGCTTTCATGGGTTATCCTGTCAATGTATCTTCTCTTTTCATTTTGCTTTATGTATGCATTCATTGTACTATACTTGACGAATAAAATCAATCAATCAATCAATCAATCAATCAATCAATCAATCAACCCCCCTTCTGCCTATTTTTAGACTTAAATCCTTGCCTGTAATTTTGTGATATATTATCACCTGGGCCCCGTTGCACAAAACTTACCATTGATGGTAAGTTTTATACAATGGGGCCTAAAAGTAGATTTAGGACATTGATTTACATGATGTATAAAGTGAAACAAATATTGGAATCATCACTGATAAATGTAATCACAATGTAGGGGTATATACCAATGTCTAACAAATTGTATATTTTTGCTTTGAGATTTCCCTTTGTAAATGCTCTTTTTCCAGAAATTGCCCTTTTTTCTTGGTGCCCCCCTCCCCCACTTTGGAAGTCGCTCGACCGCCCCTGATCGGTTCTGTTTAGTACCATTAGAAAGTATGTGCATTCCTCTTCATTTAAAATGGTAATGGTAATGTGTTATAACTTTACAGCCATAGAATGAACAGTGCATCGGAATAAGGGGCAGGGTCAAATGTGAAGAGTTGAAAAAAAATATACTGGTAAGCACTGGTATCATAGGTTTACATTATGTTGCCTGCGGCCACGGCAATCACGTTTCAGGCCAACTTGGTCAAAGCGGGATGAACGTGAGACTACGCGTGGGGGGGGGGGGGGGGGGATGGGCAAACGTGATTGCCGTGGATGCCGGGCCAGATTTTCAAACTGTCTAAAAGATTGCCAAGGCAGTCACGGTGCGGATGAGAAACAACGTGAAATGTATGCAATTTGCATTCTGACTATATTGACATACAATTATTCGAAAATACTTTGTAATGAGGCAATAAACATATTAAATTTGATCACATTAGTCAAATGGCCTATTGCATATTATCTTCTAGGGGATTAATTTATGTTCATTTTGATATAATTATGAAAGACAAGTTTATGTTCAATCGTTGTTTGAAAATCTTATCTAAAAATAATATCACCTTTTACATAATACGAAAATAGGTACACAGACGGCTCCAACAGGGAAATGGTGTTCACCAAAATTTCATTGTGGATTCCGAAGTATAAAATATTATATTTTATACTTCGGAATCCACAATCCACAATGAATCCATTATGAAACAATGAAACAACTAAAAACAATGCCGTCGACTAATTTTTGAAAATTAGTGCCCAAAAAGCCCAAAATATATGTTTTAGGGGCCCACTAGTGTTTGTAATGTGGTCAACAAAACAAGCTATATTGTTTATGATCACTAGATTATTTGTATGACCATATATATATATATATATATATATATATATATATATATATATATATATCGTATAACTATAGTTTGATGCTCTTGAATCACATAATGTTACTTTGGGCCCTTAAAATCGAACTTTGGGTACCTGGCATATATTTGGCTATCAATGCCTCATGCCCAAAATGTATCGTTGCATTTTGATACCGAAATAGAGATTTACTGTGATTCTATTACCACAGAAAATAGTTTTAAAGTAGTCACTTTTACTGCCTAGAGTTGCTTGTCCTTTTTGAATAACCCACTTCACCACAACATATCAGAACCAGGGATGGAACGTCTCTTGCAGAAATTTCTCTTTTTATAATGAAATTGATGTTTTGGCCCTTTTGGCGCAACTTCAGGGTCCCTGATGTCTTCTGTGGGTCGTAACCTATACTTTATTTCACTATGTAGTTCATAGTAGGTTTTCTACACCAAACGAACATTTTCAGTCAAAATATGTGTTTTAGAATGCGTAAAAACTCTAGTGGGCGCCATTAAACATAAAATTTGGGCACTTTGGACACTAATTCTCAATATTCAATCGGCGAGATCTTTTTAGCATCAAATTTATTTCAGCATCCACAATAACATTTTGGTGAACACCATTTCCCATTTGGAACCGTCCGTGTACCTAACTAATATGATTTCAGAAATGTAATGAACATTAAAAATAATAGTTAAAAACAAGGTGTAATTTGACACAAACAGGAAGTTCGCAAAGTTTGATAATAGGGACTATTTTACCTTTGCATGTCGACACTGTCAATGCCTTATAAGAGAAGGTGATAGAAGGAAGAAACAAAGAATAACAAAAGAGAAAGTGATAGATTTATACAAACAAAGAATAACATACGAAAAGGTGATAGAAGGACAAAACAAAGAATAACATAAGAATAGAAGAAAGAAAAAAAGGAATAAAAAAAGGACATACAGAAAGAGAAAATGATAGAAGGAAAACAAGGAATAACATAACGGAACAGGCCACGATAAAGAGCATGTTATAGTGAACGCAAATTGCATGAAAAGCAGGCGCGTGTTTTTGCCCAAACCGGAACAGGCCACGAAAATGACGCCATAGAATCATGATTGAGAACTCCGTTCGTTCAATCGAATTTTAGCGACCGTGATTACGCAGAATCATGATACAAATCTTTTCAGCGTTTCATGTTTGTGTTTTTAAACACGTTTATTTTTAAGACCGACGAAAAAATCGCTTGAACGGAACGTCTTTAAATATCGCGATTCTAGGGTGAAAAAGTGTCGATTAAACGCACCCAAAGTCTCCTCAACCTCCAAAGTCAAGGGGTCGATCTTGCTTACGGACATGAGTCCGCCGTTCGTAGACTTCCCGTAGATCACCCACAGGCCCTTCTCATCTACAGCAAAGTCAATGCTCGTGTAGCCCCCGGAGAGATAAGGATAATGATTTTTATACCCTGCATTCGGAAGGGGTCGTTGGTGTGATGGGAGCTTCACTTGAATGTCTTGATCTGCCAGGCTTGAACCCCCCCCCCCCCCCCGCACTCAGTGTTATTTAGGATACGCATACGCATATGCGTGTTCCAAGCGACCCCCCCCCCCTTTCAGCAAAAGTCCGGTGTGTAAAGTCAATACAGGTCGACCTTTTCTTTTGTTATACGAGCCTTTTTCAGCACCCCCCCCCCCCCCCCCCCCCCCCTTTCAGCAAAAGTCCGGTGTGTAAAGTCAATACGGGTCGACCTTTTTCTTTTGTTACGAAAAGGACATTATTTTTGGTAACACGCATAGGGGTTCATCCGTTCTCGGAGTGGGGGGGGGGGGGGGGGGGGGGGGGGGGGGGGCTTGAAGCGTTGAAGTTGAACGGGAATGAAGAATGGCGAGAACGCGCTGGCTTTTTATAGCTCCTGAACTATAAAAATCCAGCTCGGTACATTTTCCCTGACAGTCGGGTTATTTTTCAAGATGGCCGCCGACATTTTTTTTTTTTTTTTTTAATAAAAAAAAGATCGATTTTAGCAGTGTTTTTCATGTTTTTAAAAAAAAAAAAATTGGAGGCGGCCCCAAAAAAGGAAGCGGGCGGGGACGCTAAACATGTATATATATTTTTAAATGGCCTAAACTGACTATGGATTGGCTTGGACTGCATGGAAATGGCAAATTTACCCGATCTGAACTTGATATGAACTGACTGTGGACGGGGAACAGACGAGATGGACGTATTGAGGAAGTTTATGAACGAACTAGGATCGTATTATGGACATTATTTACACATTCTGCCCCGTCCACAACCTGTTTTACGATCTTCTAGAACGGTTCCAGAACGTAGTGAGAACTAGTTTGGTGTGATGGTGGCTTAAATAGGTCTCATGAATGCCTTGCGTCTGGAATTGCTCAATAGATAGGTACCGTAAGATAGACGAAGCTGTAGTAATCCCCCTAAGAAATAAGAAAATTAGGTTTTGACTAATTTCAAGAGTTACACTGATTCATTATTCTGACGGTTAGTAACCTTCTATTGTTAGGAAAGCATTCCAAATTGGGGGAAGTAACATTTAAAAAAGCTGGTGGGTCTAAGGCGTCATTTTTGTGTGTGTGTTTTGTAATGCTTTTAAAGTGCACAATTTCCTAAAGCTTGGTTTATTTCCTTCCACGTATATGTAGCCTTTAGTCAAGGCACTTGTACTGTTATTTCCCTAAACGCGCCTGAATACATAGACTAATCAATCGACGACTGTGATCCGTGGGGCGAGGTGCAAGCCATACTGCGTTAGTCTATTTTCAGACCGTGCTCGGCAGACAAGCAGCGCGCGAGGCCTTGTCCAAAGGCTAACGTATATGTTGCTTCAGGATCTCAATATTTCGCACCCCAGTATAGGATATAAACCACTCCAAGATAGTTAAGAAACCCACTTGCTAATTAAAAAAAAACTCTTGAAAATCGGTTTGCGCAACAAAATGCTTCAGCCTTGGAGTGAATCAAAGTGCAAATCGGGCAGATATCACACATGCTCTATTAAAGCCCCACTGCACAAGTGATAGCTACTTGCGCCCTCTACATAGCAAACAATGCCTAATCGGTCCCCCTTGATCCCTTTTTTTCTTATGTTACTTGAGAGCTTATTTGATTAGATAACCACCTGTCAGTGACCATGCAGGGAGGTCTAATCCCTCCTGGCCAAACTAGTGCAGTGGGGCTTTAACTATCAATAAAGGATTTGAACAATCATTTGATCTTCAGCCATATACCTAGCTGTGCATTTCAAAGAGAATCTACACTACCTGTCATAAGACCCCAAAACATGGTGTTGCAAAGTGAATTAGAATTTAGCGAAGAATATTGTCAATACTTAAAGTGCCAAGTGAATAGATATTCGCCCATAACTTCATAAGAAGAAATCTTGCAGATATCATAATATTCAAATTTTGTAAGATATTTTCAAAGTGTGTACTCTTTCTTTATACGCACTGTAGAAGTCTTTTTTGTTTGTTGTATTTATTTGTTTCAACCATTTTTGCCAAATATTCATACCATCAATCAGTGCACTATTCTAAAGATGCAATAGTGTGTGTAGATATTAGTCCGTATCCACAACAAAGTACTTGAACTTGTATAATCTTCTTATATAAAACTCACAATGCACAATATAAAGTTGCAATAGTGTGTTTAGATATTAGTCCGTATCCACAACAAAGTACATGAACTTGTATAATCTTCTTATATACAACTCACAATACACAATATAAAGTTGCAATAGTATGTTTTACTATCTGTTTAGTTCATATTTACATCTAAAACAATGTACCAATATTCATATGCTTGTCTTTTACATATTTGTACAATATCGTTGCTAGCTAATAATGAGCCAGTGTTGACATTGCTATTTGAAATCGTAATCCTTTAAGCTCTAATCTATTGCAACAATTTGAATTATGAATTAATCATAAATCAACTTGACAGTGGCTGAGAGAAAGACAACTTTAATTTTTAAATAAATACCTCAGATATATTCACATACTCGACATCTTTCATTTCAGGTTTTATTATTCAATAATGTAACCATATTAAAGCCATTTGGCTTTATAGGTGAATGCTGATTCATTGTTTTTCAATACCTCACCAATTTAGGAATTTTAAAATATATTCAAAATAATGATTTGATGAACTAAATTTACTAGTATATTCAATTATAACTATTTTGTACATTTTAATGATAATTTATTTTTAGAGTAAATTGTTAATCAACAAGTTTTATGCTATTTTATGTATTGGATCAGATTTTCTCCTGCACTCCTCTTCAGTATTGTAGTCAAGGTTCAAACCTCAAGGTCAAGGCTAAGGCCCACACATTGGATTTCATGTTATGTTTGTCCCATACAACGGAGATCTGAATTTTTCCCCCAACATACAGGTATTTCAGACAAAAATGAAGCATCTTCTGATATGTCCATTGAACTACTGTGTTCTCTGATGTCACTACCATTAGTCCAAGTCATATCAAGACATTTTAATTCATGGATGAAATACATGTATAATATGTAGAAATGTCATATAATGTCTTATGGGGCTAGAGTCGGAATAGCCCGAATCAAGAAAAGTTGGGGAAATGGAACATGTGAAGGAGGTTCACAGAGAGATAAGACAAAGAGCATAGGCTTTTCTATCCCAAACAGGATGTCTTATGAAAGTAGACATTGCCTTCATGAATCAAATGACAACAGGAGGCCAAACATTTTTTGAGGTGTGTTCTTTGCCAAAAAAGGGCTCCATTTTAGAGAAGGGGATCACTTACAATACCTAGTGTAAACAAATACTGCAATTATTCATTTAATAACCCCCTTTTCTTAATCTACTGTTGGTGTAGTCATCTTTCTGGACGAACGTAGCTGGTAATAAAATGGTTATTTGTTTGTGAGCAAGCAAAGTGAGCTAATAAAGAACTCATCTTTCTTGACAAACGTAGCTGGTAATAAAATGATTATTTGTTTGTGAGCAAGCAAAGTGAGCTAATAAAGAAAAGTATAAGCTGAAACTCCTCAACTCATTGTACCTTTTATTGATTTAGACCTTGCATTTAAAGTTGGTTAATAATTCATCAATCATTTAAGAAATCTGTTAACGGTCAGGTGACATCCAAATATAAGTTGATTCATGTTGATGTGCAGGGCTGCATACAACTCATATTTTGTTATTCAAACATCTGAATATATTTCCTAGATTTTTAAATATTAAAAAAAAAAAATTCTCAGACCTGCTAAGCTCTACCCTAAAAAAAAGCTCCAGATCCCATTTATCTTGTGACATCTGATAACAAGAGACAGTGGTATGTATTATGTAGCTATTAGAGCTGACCACCTGTTTATGGTCTATACAACATAAAAGTTGCTATGTCAGACATGCTGTGGCATCACCAGGAACAGAAAGGTAATGTGGAGGTATTGTATGAAAGAATGGAATTCTTTGGTGAGCGTGTGCTGAGCTGGTGGAAGTTACATACCACTGTTTCTTGTTGGCTCACTAATTGGCTCACTCATTTTTACAGAGTACATCACATATATCAGTCTGGTTGAATTATGTAAGTTATTAAAACAAATTGAAAAGATCAATGTTGAAGGGAAGAATTTGCCTTGAAAATTAGAGAGAAAAAAGTAAATTTTACTTATAATGCACTAGGAATCAATAGATCAATTAAGTAACAATGCAGTTCCTTAAATGTAGTGTGTCCCTTTTGCAGCCAACATCAAATTCTGTAGAACTATGCAGGAATCATGAGTACGTCATGTATGTCCTATTTGTAACATTTAAACGTTAGCAGTTTCCTAGTTATGCAAGGAACACCGTTACTCTCTAGACTTCACTGTCAGAAACTGTTAAGTGACTGACTGAAATTTTTTAATTTGTTGGTATTACATACATGTACATGTAGATAAAATTAGCTGTAAAGGGTACATTATCATTTGTACACATCAATGACCCGCTTCTTATAATGACCAAAATTAAAATTATCAATTTTTTATTCAGCACAAAACGTACGACTATGTACATTGTACATAGTCTATAGGGTCTAGACAACTTGTAGGCCTATTATTTGCAACGCGTTTGGAAAATTCCTAACTGTCGATAAAATTACCAGTTCTAATCTTTTAAGAGGAGTTTTTAGTTGGTATTATGATTTATCTCTTTTTTACTATAGGATTTACATAAATTTATATTTTCAGCCTGCAAAAGGGACAGACTACCTTTGAAGGGATGTGCAGGATGTTGAAACTAGTTTCCAAATTTGATATCGTAGAGAACCATCTTTCCGTTATCCCATCCATAGAGCTTCTGGTCCCGTGGGTTGTAGTCCAAGGTATACAGTCCTCCATAGCGAATCCCAAGACTGATGTCTGGTGAGCTCACCACGCCCGTCACGGTATCAAACATGAAGGAAATCTTGGAATCCTTAGCGCTGTAGTGGTTAGTGCAGTAGAGCTTGGCGCAGATGACGAAGCAGTTTCCGAAGCTGCTCTTGGCGTAGTTAAGACTCCATGTCTGTACGATGTCAAGGGTCCAAGGATTCAATCGGGAGAGTTTCATGCTCGTGCTGGCTGTTGCGTAGATCACCCACAATCCATTCTCATCCACAGCAAAGTCAATAGCACTGCAGTCACGCCCCATGTATTCATAGGTAGCACTATTACCGTAGCCAGCTGCGTCAAGACTCTTGGTAATGACCGTGGTGCCTGTGGCCACATCATAGCGGTACATTGTCCTGGAGTTGTAGTAGGTGAAGTAGATAGACCCGTTGTATGCTACAAGACCTGGTCCATCTGGGGCATAGCCAGTTGTTAGACTGAAAGTCTGTGCCTCCGAGGATGCTTCTCTCTCGTAGCTCTCATACAGGATATATCGTTCAATATATCTGTAGGTGGAGCTAGATTGACATCTGTAAAGGAGAGAATAATCAGATACAGGCACCCAGTAAAAATTATGATATTAAAACAATTCTTGGACACAGTATAAAAGTACCCTCTTGATATCCATTCTAATCCATCACTTTTTATAAGGAAAAATCCCAGAAGATAGGCCTAAATACGACGAACATGAACTTAATAGGTTAGTGGGTACTGGTAGGTATTTTGAAGTGTTTTTTAAATAAAATATTATCATTGTTTTAATATTCCTTATACTATGTTGTGAGGCAAACTGTGGAGTGGTTAATAACTTCAAAAAATCTGTGGATTTGAAATGGATTGCATTAAATACGTTAAAATTGAACAGTATGCAGGTATGAATTCTATTTGGGTTGCCCTATAGGGTGATTCATCATTGCTCCTTCGAAATGGCCCTGGGCCTTTTTTCGTCAAAAGAATAGTGTTAGGGTTGCAAATGGGTGTTAAATTAAGGTTAGGTTTAGGTTCAAAGGAAAATAATACCCAACAAATATAGCTGACAGCCTTATTACAAATTGTGAGTCAATTAAAAAATGTGTACCGTTCCTTATCAGAGTGATAGGCGAAGGAGGTGGGGGGGGGGTGAGATCATTCAAGCGGAGGGCATAACATAATCTGTCCCCCCCCCCCCCAGACACCTCACAAAGGGAAAAAGGCTAATAATATATTTTGCATTACAACGATTATTGTAATAGGCCTAAAGTTCTTTGAAATGCAGATTTTCAGCATTCTAAATTACAATTATCTGTTATTGATCCCTCGCATGATATTAAACTTAAAAAGAAAAATTAAAAACACTATTCTTTAGAAATATAAATGTTTATGAAAGGAGAAATGGTGTTTGCTGGGGTGGTGGGGGGAGGGGGCTATGAAAGTAGTAAACGTATATAGTTACATTTCAGAGCTTAATTTGTCGAAAAGCCTCCCCCCCCCCCCCCAAAAAAAAAAAAAAAAAAAAAAAAAAATAGATCTAGATAATAGTATACATTCTCAGATTTTGTTGAATAATAATTTGCCAGTGTTTGTTTTTCGTGACTGCTAAAGCATGTGTATGCTAATATACTTATCAACTAGGGGACCTACGCCCTTAAGTCATAAATGACAGTAATGAGGATTAGTGCCCCACAAAAGGGCGACACGGTTTTGATCATGGGGCCTCACAGTTACGAGGCCATTGCTTTGCCACTGAACCATGACTGTACGCAGCAGGGGCTAGGGTAGGGGGCAGTTCCCACAAATAAAAAGAAAATGCAATAAATTATCAATTATTCATTGCACTTTACCCCGGTCCCCAACATGAAAAAAATCCTCTGTACGGTCGTGCATTATGGCTTGAGGCGTGGGCGACACAGAAGATTTGTTTTGTTGACAATTTTTTTCGGCATATAAAAGTATAAATGACTGCTTTAATATTCGAGAAATAGTTGTTTTTATAAGCTCTCGGGAAGGTTACGATTGGGCTATTGCCCTCGGCACGCCTCGGGCAATAGCACAATTGTAACCTTCCCTTGAGCGTATAAAAAAAAACTATTTCTCTCAAAGCAGTCATTAATACTGTACTAATAAAACATGGTTGCAACTCCGAGTTTCACGCCTTGCGAGCGACTGATCATCAGACAACTTGTAGCATTCTAAAAACTTGGAGTTGCAACCATGTTCTATTAGTCTGCCTTATTCAATATATATTTTGCTCTGCCTATAGGCATTTAGCACTATACGGAAGTATAGAGCAAATCTAAGTATATATATATATATATATACATATATATATATATATATATATATATATATATATATATATATATACATAATATACAAAGTTAATGTACAACACTACTAATAATAATGAATTAATTCATTTTTTTAAAGAAGAAGCAGGAACCGTTCCGGCGCGCCTCCAATCCCCTTAGTCATGGGGATTGGGTCTATATTGTCTTAGGAGATGGATCTAATAAACGGGAGAGTTGGGAGCTTTGACATCCTTTTCCATTGTATCCTTCCCACTCTCTCTTCCTATCTTACCATTTTTTTATGACGAATGAATAGCCGTAAGTACCTCTCCTTCCACATTCTACACCATTGCCCTCGAAAGAGACACAAACGCAGGGACTTCTCTCTGGCTCTGCCCAAGCCTAAATCCAATAACTGATTAATCAGTTGCTTTCCATGTAGGATATTGTGATTAAGTCAATGATCACGCCTGAAACGACCCCCTTCCACCCCAAATAAAAAACACAAAATATAAGAATTCCAACATCAGAATGATTACTCACGAACTATAATATTTGAAGTGCCAGATTTTGTCAGATTCGACCAGTGGGTCTCGCATCCAAGCCCCATTCGGGTAGGTTGAAGTGCGCACCGTGTAGGAAGATGAAAGAGAAGATATGGGAGCGCAGGAATCTAATTAGGGGAGATAACAACGTCGGTGTAATGGCAAGTTCAGAAGCTCAAATACATCTCATGCATTCAATATATAAATACATCATTTATGGAGACAATTGAACAAAATACATACCGAGCTGGAGGAGAAAAGGGGAGGGCTCAGAATTAAAAGATCCTGATGACGCAAAACACAAAACAGCAAATTATGAGAAAGAGTAAGATAGGGGAGACTGAGGAAGGACGTTTGCGGGAACAAACTCTTATCGGTTTTACTATGTAACTGAGTGTTTTGAACTACGAGACTAAAGATTGTACATGCTCTTAATTTAATTACTCCTGACAGTTATGACTCGGCTTTTTTTAATTAATTATCAAATTACAATCATGTCACATACACCATTGGGCCGTGCGGAAGTCTTTCAGAATGAGGGGGGCATTAAAAGAATGGCACTTTCTGGAAACAGGGGCACCTACAAAGGGAAACCTCTAAAGCAAAAATATACAAATTTTAGTCATTGGTAGCCTCTTTTTTTCCCTACATTTTGAATTTGTGATTGGATTATCACTTTATATCACACTTTGCAGTTGGGTGTGATGGTCTAAACATTTATTTGCGAGTGGGCTAAATGTTTAGATTTGCGAGGTCGCAGTGCGAAAAGTTCCATCGTATAAAGAGAAAAAAAATAATCATATTCATAAAAGACTATTACAAAAAAAATAATATGAAACAAAGTTATATTAACTTAAAATGCAAGCGAACGTAGCTAGCGAGTCTTAGGTGAAATTGAAGAAAAAGTTGCTCTTTTTTTTAGTCGCTTAAAATTAGGAGCACATTTTATGGTAAAAGGAAAAGGTGGCACATCTCCAAAGTTCAAAGGACACTTTTTAGTAAAGCAAAGGAGCACGTGTCAAAGTAAATAATCGGAATCACCAGAGTTGAAAATATGCACCAAAGATGTAAAAAGGCACGTATGAGAACGGACAAGGGGCACTTGATACAAATAAAAGGGGGCAATTATCAGAAGGAATATGGCACTAATTTATAGAAAGGATAATAGCAAGCTTTAAAATAAAAGGGGCATTCATCAGAGATGTAAAGGGTCACTTATTACAAAGTTAAAAGGGGCACCTCTCCAACTTTAAAGGGATCGTTTAATAATGTTAAATCTGAGATACACGGCCCTACGTGTTATCAGTGTCTGTGATATGGTGTAATATTGAAGCCCTAAAAAAATTGCGCTTCAAAATTATCAAGAAGTGCCTCAATAAAGGAAAAATCTTTGAGTGACCGGTTTTACCATACTCGTTTTCCCCAATAGACTGTAGTGTTATGAAAACCGTCAGGCGAACGGTTTCAAAATTTGTAATTTCAATCATAAATATCTTGATAATCAGACAGGCGATCGGCTTGTAAAAGTGGGGTTCCTGACTGACCTAAAGGTTTATAATTATGATTGCATCATGAGCTAAATCCAGAATTTTGTTTCAGAATCTGAGACAAAGTTACCGGATCCCTTTAATAAGGGCACTCACCGGAGATAAAAAGAGGCAATTAAAGCTATAAAAATAAAAGGGACATCTCTTAGATTTGAAAAGAGGAAATTATAAGAGGTGAAGGGGAACTTATCAGAGGTGGTAAGGGGTATTTCTTGTACCTGAAAAGTGACACTCGCATGAGATGACTAGGGACACTTATGGAAATTGAAAGGGGTACCTATTATGAAGGAAAATGGGCCCTTATCGAAAAAGGGTCACCTGTGAGATTTTAATAGAGGCATTTATAATTCGTGTGAGGAGCATTTATGAGAAAGGGAAGTGGCTCTTTATAAAAGAAAAGGGGCAAAAAGGGCACTTTTTAAAAAGACAAGGGGGCATGTGTAAAAATAAAAGAGGGCACCTATGAAAAAGGAATAGGGGCACAAATTAAGGATAAAAATGGGCACTTATTACAAAATAAAAGGGCACTTGTTGAAGTAAAATGGGCACCTCTCAAATTTGAATAGGGGCACTTATCTTATGAAATGGGCACCTAATAGAAATAAAAAGGGGCACTTTTCTGAAGTAAAAGGGGCCACCTTTTCTATGTAAAAAGGGGGCACTTTAGGGGTACTAGAAAAGTGAGGGACACTGTGTTGCCCCCCCCCCCCCCCCGCTCTGCCACCTGGGTTCTTGGGGTAGCATCCTCGGGAAAAGTGTCATAAAATATCTTAAAACTAAATTAAAAACAGAGGGTTCCCGCCTTACTCCGGACTTGAATTCATTAACCCATTATTTTGATTGGCGTAGACTAGGCAAGATATGGAGGGGCTTGGTGTCATTAAAATAATGTCGGAAGCGGTCGTAAAGGCTTAAATACTAGGTGGATACAAAATTAAACCTCATTCACATTATCGGGTTATACCTATCATCTCTCTCTCTCTCTCTCTCCCTTTTTCTATCTCTCTCTCTCTCCCCCTTCTATCTCTCTCTCTCTCTCTCTCTCTTCCTCCCTCCCTCCACCTTTTCTCTCTCTCTCTCTCTCTCTCTCTTTCCTTCTCTCTCTCTCTCCTCTCTCTCTCTCTCTCACTCTATATCTCTTTCTCTCCCTCTCTCTCTCTTCCTCCCTCCCTCCACCTTTCCTCTCTCTCTCTCTCTCTCCTTCTCTCTCTGTCTCTCTCTCTCTCTCTGTCTCTCTCCGCTCCCTCCTCTCTCTTTTTCTCTTGCCACCTCTCTTATTATCACATCCCCATTTTGATCTCAGTTTTTCTCAAAGTTTCATAGGGGTTTCTACCTTGATTAGCAACGTCCTCCCACGGCACAAACAAGAAGTCGTCTCCTGAGCCAGGTAGTGGGGTCGGCTGCACGTTCGCCTCGCATTGTGCCAGGTCCTCCTCCAGTTCCTCGATCTGTTCTAGCAGAATCTCAACATTCTGGGTCTTCTTCAGGTCGTACAGTAATGTCTGCACGGCTGTGAGCTGTCAAGGAACGAGAATATATTATACACTTGCGTAAGGGGCAGATCCAAGATTTTGTAAAAATGAGGCGACCCCCCCCCCCCCAAAAAAAATAAATAAATAAATAAAAACAACAACACTTAGAGCATATTCTGGGGTTAGAAGTACTCATTTTTTTTTCTTCAAAAGAGATTGAGGGGGGGGGGGGGGGTTAACGCCCAAAACACCCCTCCTGCGTACGCTTGTGTATATATCACCCTCAATTTTTTAAGCTCCAAATGATTTACCTCTCACAAAGTGGAAGGCTAATTCCTGCGCAACCTAATTGTTATACCCTTTACAAAAGTGAGCAGTTCTCACCCGAGCATGAATTATTTTTAGACATTTTGGTGTCATATGAAAGTTGGGTTTATGAGCTTTCCATACATATAAAACTTTTTCCCCAGATCTATATATTTTTTTATTCGGCCGCCATTTCAAAAGTGTATAGTTTTTTTTGGGACGCACTGTATAATGTCAGATTTCATCTGTATTGCATAAAGCTTGGTTTCAAGTTGGATTTTTTTTTTTTTTAATTTTTAAAAAAAAAAAAAGAGAAAAAAAGAGAGAGAATCTAATCCGCAACTCTCCGCGTCAATACCTGGGCATCACCCCTGCTTTCTTTCATTGATATGTATGTTTGTATGGATGGTTTTAAAAAATAGTTAGATAATTAGTATAAAAGTTTATTTTGTTGTTTCTTTGTTTCTTATTTTTTTTTTGGGGGGGGAGGAGGGGGCGTTATCCCGCAATACCTCTGTTTCCAACTGGGCGACATCATCCAGATTGTTGGTTCTCTCCACCTCTAACAATTTCAGGACCAGTTCCAGTTTATCAATCTCTTCCATGATCAGTTCAAACTCTGGTCGGTTGACCTTAAGATCACCATTCTCGATGCGCTCCAGCTTGTATGTCATGGCATCGATGTTGGCTTGTGTCTTCTCGATCTCGACCGTGGTCGTCTCGACATTCACCTTTACTTCATCGATGCGACTGCTGATGTTCGTGACCTATGTAAGAGAACATACTAAGTTCAAGGAAGTCGAGTTGAATTGAAATTCTTACAAATTGTTAGAGGCGTGGCGTCCGGGAGGGAGAGACACCCCACCCCAGACAAACAGTAATCAAGAGAGAAAGAAAGAGAGAGAGAGAGAGAGAGAGAGAGGGGGGGGGGGAGAGAGAGAGAAAGAGAGGGAGGAGGGAGAGAGAGAGAGAGAGAGAGAGAGAGAGAGAAGGAAATTAGAAGGTGGGGGGTCAACATGAAAAAGAAGATTACATGATCCTTCTCCCAGACCTCTATCTCGTAATTCTTCTTTGTTTTCTCACCCCCCCCCCCACACACACTTATAAAAGAAAATTGTAATGGTTTTTAAAAGCAAATATAATGATCATACAAATTATATACAAGCGAATCATGAATGAAAAAGTATGGGAAAAAACGAACAAGCAAACCAGACAAAAAAACTTTTTTGTTTGATATTGCAAAAATAGGAATCATTATGGATAGCTTCGGTTTGCCAGGCTAACTATTAAAGCGGAGGATCACTGGCAATCTAATCAAGCATTAAAGAGTAACATTTGGAAGGTTAGTGCTCATCCCTCCGTCATGACAGGACCAACACAACTTACCTGCAGGCACTTTCACAGGGGGGGGGCGGTTAAAACCCCTTTGGTATTTTTAAGTGTGTAAACCCCCCCCCCCTTTTTTTTTTTTTTTTTTTTATTAAAAAAAAAAAAAAAAAAAAAATCATTCACATGGCTGACCTAAAAAAGGTGACCTTACCCCCCCCCCCCTCCCAACGGAGCAAAATGTCAAATTTTTAAATTTCGAGACCAAAATTAAAAAAAAAAAAGTGTCCTCTTACCCACCCACCCCCCCCCCCCCTCCCCCTGCTTATTCAGCGGCTGGCTGAGTCGTTGCGAAATTTTCGGCCCGATTTATAAATGTTAAACCCCCCCCCCCCCCCCCTTGAAAAAATCCTGCATACGCGTCTGCTTACCTGTAATGAAATATAAGTCGACTTAAGAGCAATTTCATCCGCATTGAAGTTTGAAAGAACATACAATTTAAATGACAAAATCATCTTTGTTTGATCAATATCGGTTCAGATACGGCTGAAATATAACAATTTCTAATCAATGCTTGTGTACCACCACAAATATTTGATAATTTGAAAAAGCCGTTGAAAAAACGAAATAGCGCCTTTTACGTCGTATTTCAGCCAATGCCGATGTTGGCTTTTTTGTTGGCATTTTTGTGTTGGTTATATTACGCACAACCAGCCGGCCCATGTATTGTTATTTTTAATTAAATAATTAATTAACGTACACCGTATTTTTTTTAAGTGGAGCTGAATTGGAATGGTCGTATTGGCTAAATATTTTAAGGTCTAAAATTACCTTCATACCAATTTTAGGTTCTAAAGGTGCACTAGAAATGTCATAGATAAGAGTAAGAGCAATAGCCATGCACTTTGAAAGCATTTGCGGATTAAAAGCAGAACTCAACTATACCTTTAAGTAAAAACGTGCACACAGAAAACCTGATGACCATTTTTTCGCTTGTAAGAGAGATATGTCCTCCTTTGCGTGTAAAGAGGGAATTCCCGCCTATCATACCAATGGGCAAATAACATTTCGATGACTGAAAATGCGGAACCCACCCACCCCCCCCCCCCTCTTTTTCATCTTTTTTTCTCCATTGAGCTTCTTGTCGGCGACTCATTAGTTCCCTCCCGTTCTATCATAGTGGACAAATAAGGATTTCATTTTCTATTTCCCCCAAAATTACAAATATTTCTTCGAGGTGATGCTGCTGTATTACCTGAGCCTGTATATATTCTATCTGGTTAAGTTCAGCTGGGCTTGGAGGGTTGGAACATCCTGGAACAGATCCCACTTGAATATCACAGATGCATGAATCATACATGCTTTCTCCACTCCCCAAAACAGAGTATTCGATGCACTAAAAGGGGATAAAGCGAATGAAAAAACAACAACATTATTTTAAACAAAGAAATCTTGAGATCAATAATTGACCTATGTCAATTATTGATCTGAAATACAGTTAATCTTAAACAGTGGCATATATCTATAGATTATTGGGCATTTTGCGAACTATGACACTTTGCCCCCCAACCACTAAAACGTATCTATGTAAAATGGTATAAGGGAAGGAGCTGTATTTTTATTATTATTATTATTATCATGATGATTTAGAACTCTACAAAGATACGAAATGTTTTATGCATGTTACCCATAACAAAAATCGTAAGGGAGCACTGCAATCGGGTGGTATAGCTTCGAATTTAATTTTGAACAGTGATTTTCTATTCAATTTTTCCTCAAACTGTTGCCAATCACTGACGAAAACTGAGCAGATATAGTATGGTCAAGTAATTTAGCAAGGTAACCAAAATTAAAGTTTCCAGTCAAATGGCTGCGCAATATGGGTTTCCCCATCTATTTTTACACTTTTTTTCAATCAAATTTATCTTTATGCACTTAAATTTCGTCCTGGGAATCCGGGATCGCGCAAATGTCATGTTTATTTTGTCATTTTGTCATTCAATTTGGTCGATGGTCAATTTTCATTTTCAGATTTCATGCGAATTCGTCTCACCTGGCGGTCCGCCGCAGAATTTTTTGATCGATTATTATTATTTATGATTAAATGAGGTCAATGTTAACAAAATTTCGAATCCACCGCTCAGAGGCGGGGGGGGGGGGGGAGGGGAGGGGTTGGAGCTGGTGGTTTCCCATGGGGATTTATTTCTCTTAAGTTTCAAAACTCGAGCAAACGCCAGTATATATGATTAAAATTGGGAAGCGAGATGTCACAATATCCTTACACTCGAGTAGCATTATATTCGGGCAGTAAAGTGCTCGAATAATTTTTTTTTTAATCTAAGCGAGTAAATTTTGATGACGAAGTAAAATTTCTACTACAATGAAAGTGTCTTTTCAAGTCAAGGTTTATTAAAAACATGTGTCTCAGCCAAACGGCTGAATTGATCATGTGTGCAATTAAAAGACTCATTGCATATTTCAAATATAAAATATAGTTACAATTGATTTGTCATTATTGAAATATATATATATATATATATAGTTAATGTGGTAAGATTAATTGGGCAGCAAATATAAGAAAACAGAATATAACATGAAGTCAGAAAAACGGAGAGGAGAAACATGAAGAAAAAAAGTAACAGAAGAAGTTGTAAAAGTACATGTACATCAAAAGATATAAATTGCATACATGTACTTTTAAAGAGTCATTAAGACAATATACGAATATAAAACATAGAATTGAACATATTATTTTCATAATATTGTTGACGTTTGATATTGCAAGTATTTGTATTATTGCTTAGAAAAATGATAAATAAAAATAAAATTATGGCACTCTACCATTCCTTTTTCTTCAGATATAAAGTGACTATTGAATTAGGGAAAGGGATTAGAATTTTGTTATTTTGGTTTCAATTGTTAATATCTTATGGAGAGTAAAAATCAGGAAACTTCAACATTAATTTTGTGAAAAATAATAATAATAATCTTTTAAAGTCCACTCCAAATTTTATTAAGTTAAACCGAAAATGGAAATTCTTTTTGCCCAATTGATCGTGAGCCCGGCAGCCACAGAGCAGCGCCAGATCGACGTTGCTCTATCCCTTAATATTGTTGAACGCCAAACAAGGTAGCAGCAACTCCCGTCTTTTAACGTCTTTTGGTAAGACGCGGCCGGGGTTCGAACCCAAGACCTCCCGGTTTGTGAGGCGGACGCTCTACTGACTGAGCCAACACACCGAAATACAAATAGAAAATGTATATTAATTCATCTATTTTGATATTGGGTTTAGCTTTATTGAGAAGATCGACAAAGTAAGGTAGGGGGGTATCTCGGAAACGATTGGTTTATCACTTGAATTGTTGATATGGGTATGTTTTTTCCGAAGAGGTAACCAGGTACTACATGTTGGGTGTTTAGCTAAGGAAGTAGCAAAATCCAGACAGAGCTTTTCGCTCCTAGATTCAAGCGTTGAAAGGTCACATATTTTGGCAAGCATTGGTATAATTTGTGTATTATGGACCCAACATGATTCTACATTATACTCTTTTTTTAACTTGCTCCAAGCTTCTTATTCGTCTCTGTCTAAACCAACCATTAAAAACTGGGGTACAGTATTCCATGACAGGACGAATATAGCCCGTATATACCAGTTTCAGATCAGCTAAAAACAGTCCACATCGTTTCAGAAGCCTTAACATATGCAACTTTCTATTACAGTTTTTAAAGGATTTCAGTGACATGTATGTCCCATTTCAGATAGGATTGCACAATGACACTAAGAATTTTAACAGACTGGAAGTTTGCAGGGGTGAGTCATCAATGTAAAAAGTTAGTTCGGCAGGAGGATTTTTTGAGAATGTCACACTAAGTGAAAAACACTTTGAAGGATTTTAACTTCATATGATTTTGACAGGACCACTGACCCAAACTGTAGAGGACAGCTGGTAAGTCAGAGGGATCGGTTTCTTAACGACAATCCAACAAAGTAAGATCATCTACGTATTTATATCTAATCGATTGGTATGATTTCACAAGCATCGTTGATCATCACTAGAAAGAGGATGGGGCCCAATTTAGTTCTTTGGGGTACACCAGCATAATTTTGTATGTATTGAGTCAGAGTGTCTTGGTATTTGCCACACTGTTGACGGTGTTCCAAAAAACTAACAATCCAAATTTGCACAATTTTGCACAATTCAAGTGTAAAAGCTTGCGACAGGCTGGATCATAACATTCTTATTATCAATTTTCTAATAAGGATGTTATGATCCAGCCTGTCGAAAGCTTTGGTAAAGTCGGTACACACAACAATGGATAAGCTCTTGCTCTTTTCACTATTTTCTTATTCTTTGCTTGCTCGCTTCGCCTGTGTGTACAGGCCGAGATAAAAGTTTGGGTGGGGCGCAACAATGATTGCCCAGGGCACCAAAATACCTAGATACGCCACTGAACAAAATTAAGTAACGTTTGACTTCCTTAAAGCGCTTTTATCTTTAACTGGTCTGAGCGCTGACACATTGCATTTAAACATTTCGTTGAAAACCATTAGCTACGCTCTCTAACGGCCAAACTATTAATTTGTCATAGTTTTCTAATTTAGTATGATATCACTGAGTTTAATATTCAGGAGGATTTTTTTCCTCTGAATACCATTGTTTGATTAACCAATCATCAATACAATGATAACAATTTGATGACGCAATCAGTTGTTAAAATATCATTTACCTGTGCTGAGACTTCCAAGGTGTAACACAGGAGAAACAACATGAGCATCGCAACTATCGGTTTCGTTGCCATCTTGCCAACTTCTTATGAGAAGTCCTCTCAATATTGTTGAAAACACGTGATTTATGCTGGGTGAAGATTGCAAGGCGTTGCAAGGCAATATGAGGCTTTTACATCTGGCTCCCGCCTTTTAAATCATGCACTAATATTATTTTCCGACGTGCGTGAAAAGTGCGGAGGGAGAGGTCTATAAAGAGGGCAGTCCTTATATTTTGAAAGCCTGCCCTAGCGATAAAAGTAACCTGCCCACTTTATGATGTAATTTGGGGTTTTATTTGAGAAATAATCCATAGGTTTTTACTAGGTTATCTGACAATTAGAGACCGTAATGGCCCTCTTTATCATAAACAATTAATCACACGTTACTGTTTTCATACCATCAGCGATCACAAATAATACATTCAAGTAATTGAAATATTTACTCAGCAGGTTGGGTTCTCACCATTATTTAGATTATGCGTATATAATTATTGCACGATTTCGTTTTAATTGGCCTTAATCATAAACAAATATTCACACTTTTCAGTTTTTACATCATTAATTAGCGATTATCAGTATTGCAATCAAGCGATAAAAAACATTTACTTAGCTGGCCAGGTTCTCTCCATAATTTAGATTATGTGCATTTATCGCACGTTTTGGTTTACTTTTCGTCATGACTAATGATACATCGATATTTTGTTTTCGGGCTTTCATTTTGAGACCAATACCAGCTGCAGAGCTTCGAAAAATGGGACGACCTTTATGTATTGTTTTTTTTCTTCACCTGAAAAAACATACGTAAATGTATATTTTGTAGAGATGTTGTGGTCTAGTGGATACGTATGCGGACTGTAAAACACCAGGTTCGAATCCATGCCGCAACACTAACATTCTTTCTTCTTTTTTAGAATAAAGGCGTCAAATGTGTTATTTTATTGTATAATACATGTAAATGATTCTACCAATGCCCAAGGAAACTTATTTAATTTATAATTGACAAAATAGCATATGTGTCCACTGTAATAAAAGTGCCCGAAATACACTTTATTAAAGAAAATATATTTTCGAATCATTATTATAATTATAATTTTAATCGTACATTTTGTGATAAAAGAACCAGATTGGACGAAAAGGTAAAAGAATATGTTCTAAAGCAAACTGGATATTGAGTCATTTCAAATTCGGCCCCCTGAAACCCTCAATGCCCTGTTTTCAAAATTTCCAATGTAGGCAACCTTATGATTGAGCATTTCTTAAAGGGATAGTCGAGTTCTTGTTCAAGACCGAATATTCCTTCAAAGTAAAATTGAGGTTACCATCTTCTTTTTTATACCCTTTTTTGCCAGTAGCTACGCTCCCTCGAATAATATTTTTTTAATATACACTTACATATCCTACAAAAAGTGAAATTTGAAAAAAATATATGTTTAATACTATAGTTTGCTAAGGAATGTAATTTTTAATACAACAAAACTTCAAAAACCTGTGAGGAGGTAGTCACTTCCGTCACCTTCACCCCTCTCTTTTACTATGCTCCCTCGCACTTGCGTACTGGTGGGGGGGGGGGGGGCTTGGGGGCAGCTGCCTCCCTAATAAAGTTAAAACGTGGTTAATTTCTAATTCAATACCAGTAATTTTGTTGTTGTTGAAATCGCATGGTTTTTCCTTAAACTTCCTAGACTCCACCAAGGGCTCTAACTAAGGCGGGCCCCAGGTTGCTCATCTGACCTTAATGAAATGCCTATAACCCCTGAGCTTTCGGGGGCTCTGCACACTGGGCCCTATCAAGGACGCTGAGGCGTCTCCTTGATGCTCCTAATCGTTATTTAATGCCTAAAACCTCTTCTGGGTGCTCCGCCCACTGGACCCCACTCCAATCAGTGACCTGCATTACAGTGTCACAAATGAGATATCAAAATATGCTCATCTGCCCGTAATTAAATGCCTAAAACCCCTGAACTTTCGGGGACTCCGCCCCTGAGCACCATCAGAGGCCCTAAAGCGGGCCCTGCCCACTTCAAAAAACGTTCCGGGGGCACTGCATGCGAATTTGTTTCTGCCCCCAAATGTTTTCGTTCATTACGCCACTGATCCCTCGTCCCCGCATTTCGTTTCCCCGGTCATGAAAAGAAATCGCCGCCCCTTGTAGTGATCATGTTTTAATTTTCCATGAAGTGAAACCATCAGGGGCGGACCTACGGGGGGGGGGGGGTTAACCTCCCCCCCCCCCCCCCTAGGCTGCCAAATAAAAGTGTGATGTGCATACAAAAAACGCCAACGTGTGTCCAGACCCACTGAGTATCAGTAAATGTTAGTAGATGCCAGGATTTTTTTTATGGGGGTTCAAAATAGGAAGAAAACAAATCGTCTCGACGCTACGCCGCCGCTAAGCGGCTCGCGTTTTATTTGTTTGTACCACAGCGAGCCCAGATTGAATTGGCGAGAGAAACCTGCGCGTGCGCACTCGCGAAGGAAACCAGCGCATGCGCACATGAAATCCGGTAGGGTGGTTAATAGGGTGATAGTAAAAAAAAATAATCTGTCATCAGCTCATCGTTAGCTCAATCGGTAAGGACAGCGTGATTACCTTTAGCACTTTGAGTTGACTTGAGGGTTCCAATCTCCGTATTTATCCAGTTCATTATCATTTATTCACATACCCCCACTTGCCAAAAAGCTAGATCCGCCCTATAATCAATTTAAAAATAATGCCAATGCCATGGTTGAATGCCATGGCCAAACAAATATAAGAGTAAAGTAGCTCTTAAAACTGCCCAAAAGGGCCTGTCACACCTAGCCGATTCGGAGGATCGGTATTACTACGGCAGCGCAACGGTATCACATCGTTAAGAACGGAAGAATTGGCAACGGCAGGCAACTGTATTAATTTTTGAACAAGCTCAACAATTTCTGCCGTTGCGCTGCCGTAGCGAGCAACGGGACTACAGCTGCAGCGCAACGCCAGTACTCCGGTATGGCTTTGTTAATGTCGGCAGAACACCTGTAGCGCCTCGTAATAGATCGACTGCTCTCTGGTGGCCTCGATGTGTACCGGCACTTCGATATCACATCGAAGGCGCATCGGTAACAGAAATCATTCGGTAGCACAACTATCGGCTCTTACATCGGTAGGACAACGGTAGAAAAATGATATCACGGGAACGCGGCCGAACGCGGTACTACACCTGTATTGCTACGGCCAATTTCAAGGGCTTTCTCGACGGAGCTCCACCGATTTTCTCGCCGAGGTTAATTAATGTGCTCAGGTTTATGACTGGGTGTGACAAGCCTACACGTTCGCGTTCTCAATACACATGCACTGACGGAAGTTTTCTTTGCAAACTTTCCCTTTAAGTTACACTATAGCGCGGGGTGCCATTTAAAAGCTTGACACACGTTTCACTGCACAAACGGTACATGTTACAGCTATTTTTGTGGAAACCGCTCATAATCTGCCAGCTATAGGTAATATTACTGTATTTTTACTAGGTACCGGAACGGAAATAGCACAGAAATAAGCGCAAATTTACAAGAGGCAAAATACCGCAGTATTTGGTAGCACTCGTTTGTCCGTGACCTGGCGTCATGTCAACAGGCTGGTGTCTGGTATTTTGGAATTCTAATTTCTCCCCTCTTTCTCTCTATCTCTCTCTTCATTATGTTTCATCTATATTATAGGATGCTAGTTTAGTTTAAATCAGTTTAGTATAGTTTAATTAATAATAGTTTAGTTCATCCGAGGGCTGCAAGCATTTCAAGCTTCATGCTTACGCTTATTTCATGTTAATTGTAAAAGTGAGTAATGTTCTCCTTATGTATTATTTTCTATACAGTATGAGTATCGTGTATTATAAACAAATCCTCTGGATGGTCATGCATTTTGGCTCAAGGTATGGGCACACAGAGGATTTCTTTATGTTGGGAACCGGGGTAAAATGCAATAAATTATTGAAAAATTATTGCATTTTCTGTGGTATTTTTTATTTATGGAAACTGCCCCCTACCCTAGCCCCCGCTGCGTACAGTCATGGTTCAGTGACAAAGCAATGGCCTCGTAACTGTGAGGCCCCAGGATCAAAACCGTGTCGATGTGCTATATTGTGGGGCATTAATCCTCATTACTGTCATTTATGACTTAAGGGCATAGGTCCCCTAATTAATAAGCATAGAAGCATACACATGCTTTAGCAGTCACGCAAAACACACATTTGCATATTATTATTCAATAAAATCTGAGAATGTATACTTTGATATAGATCTATTATTTTTTAATTATTTTTAAAATAATTCCGTAAATTGGGGTAAAACAAAAATATTCCATCTTTATGAGCGACAGTGTACTTTGAAACGTAAATTATTTCACACTGATGGACATTTTGTATGTTAAAAATATGTATATTTGAATATGATATAGAAACCAATAAATCAAATCAAATCGAATCAAATCTGCCACAAGTTGGTAGCATATACGTAAAATGATAATAGTAATATTCTGCTTGCATATAGCGCTTAATTAATGTCTCTAAGCGCTTTACAGATATACTATTTCAATACTTGCAAATGTTGCAGCAATTTTACTGATCGATGACAGATATGAACAGGGCTAGAGAGTAGAGACAGAACGAGAGAAAAAAGATGGAATTAATACAGCTAGGGTGACTATAATGAAAACTGTATTTCCTGGGAGGGGCCAAATACTTTACTTATCAATCTGGGGGTGTGTTCCAAAAGTTCGTGACTTGCAAATGTTGCAGCAATTTTACTGATCGATGACAGATATGAACGGGGCTAGAGAGTAGAGACAGAACGAGAAAAAAAAAGATGGAATTAATACAGCTAGGGTGACTAGGGTATAATGAAAACTGTATTTCCTGGGAGGGGCCAAATACTTTACTTATCAATCTGGGGGTGTGTTCCAAAAGTTCGTGACTTGCAAATGTTGCAGCAATTTTACTGATCGATGACAGATATGAACGGGGCTAGAGAGTAGAGACAGAACGAGAAAAAAAAAGATGGAATTAATACAGCTAGGGTGACTATAATGAAAACTGTATTTCCTGGGAGGGGCCAAATACTTTACTTATCAATCTGGGGGTGTGTTCCAAAAGTTCGTGACACCTGGTTATACATTTTCCACGCGAAAATTTTGAAAATAGTGTCGTGTGGAAAACGGGAAACGGAATAAGAGACCACTTACTTCTTACCAAGGAGCATTCCGTCAACGAGACATAGTTCGAGTTGAAAAAACAGAGAAGCCATTGAACGTTTACTCCCTCCCTCTTTTAGAATCGACATCGACGATCATGACGTTTTCCCGCATAATATCACCGGCCGCCCTCGCCCTGCTGTTAATCGTCATGTTCAGGTGGATGCCGAATGCAAATGCACAGGTAAATGTCCTGTTTCGTTTTTGTTTTGTTTTGTTTTGTTTCGAAATTACCCTTCCTAATATCCCTACTCCTAATATGGGGTTAAAGTGTGTTCTTTAAAATATATAAATTACGAATTCTCCCATCAATTATTCCAAGAAGTTGAATTCATCTTCTTTTACGTGATACCAAATATTCATTGTATTAATGAATATGTCCTATAATCTCTTGTTGAAATCATTTCTTATGTTGCAGGTTATTTTTTCATTCAATTACCCCAGGCTCTATATCATCACAATAATGTGATATAATACAAAAGAGGGTGACATTTGATTGTTAAATGACGTATTTCAAAAATATTAATTATATTTATTTAACGAGATATTCTGGAGAATGTTCCCTTCAGAAACCGATAATATTTCAATATTTTTGCCACTTAAAAGAGTCGATGGTGTATTAAAGTACATCTCTCTTTTGAACAACAATGTTGCTCTTCGTAATTGTCTTTTAGTTATGACTCTTTTTGTGGAGGGGTGTATCAGCGAGCAAAATGGCTACACACACACACACACACACACTCACACACACACTCTCTCTCTCTCTGTCTCTCTTAATAATAATAATAATAATAATAATAATAGACATTTCTATAGCTCCGTCTATCTATCTAGAAATTCTATTCCGAGGCGCATTTATTATTACCCCGGCTTTAGCCTATAGCTGCCGTTACAGCGCTCCTTAATTTCAATTTCAAGGAATTAATTCCAGCCAGGTACCCATTTACATCACCTGGGTCGAGTGTGGCAAATGTAGATCAATGTCACGCGGGACTCGAACCGCGGACCTATGTGATCGACAGTCCGGCGACGTATCCACTCGACCACGACACCTCTTACAAATAAAAGAATGTTTCAAGCCGCTTTCCTTTGACCCCATGCTCCAAGCCGCCGAAAAGTTATGCGCTAATCTGCAACTGTTGACCAGGTGGTGAGATAAAAGAGCGCAGGTAATAAATATTTCAGGATTTAGAATTCCTACATCAGAAAATGTTATCCCAGCAACTGTTCGCTGTCCCTTTCAGTGATTTCTAATCAGTTGTTGAATGTGTAATGAGTCGAACAAGCGAACACAAACAAGTGTAATTTAGTTCTTTTTTCCAACTGCAAAAATACAAGCAAAAAACACGCATTAGCAAACTTAATGGCCCGAATGGCCCGAATTCTCTAAGGAGGTTTGTCGACAAACCGAGGTTTATGTACGTCATATGACGCCTTTTGACGCGATTTTTACAAACCTGGTTTGTAAATAACAAAGGGAGGTTTGACGAAACAAAAGGAGGTTTGTCGACAAACCGAGGTTTGTCGACAAACCTCCTTTGTGAATTCGGGCCAATGTTTTTGGAAGATTGTAACGCATGGATTAAATAACGGGACATTAAAACATGCACAAATTAGCGCATTATCCTAAAATATTGAGTTTTTGTCAGGATCTAATTTTTCTTTTACCAACTCTGGCACACAAATTATAGGAAGGGCGGAGTATTAAATTTGAAAAATTGTTTAATGCACTCAATACAGTCCCCATAAAAAATTGATGATTTACACTGAAATTTTGCCGGTAATTTGATATTTGGTAATAAGGTAAAATTGGTGCCTTGACTCCGAAAGTCCTCGCATAGCAGTGGAAGCGCGGTTCGGAGCATGGAACTTCAAAGCCAATTGGAATGTTACACATCCCATTGTTACGCTTTAGAACTCATGAATGCGTTTGAATAAATTACAAGAGTTTCCACTCCTCTCTTTCACGTCCCTGCACTAACAAACCTTACAATAGTGAACACAGATGAAAATTTATCTTTGTGGACATTTTTCGTCTTTTTAGAATAAAATTAACTTACATTTCAACAGAAAGTAATTGATGTATGGTTTCGGAGTGTCGATATAATTTGTGGTTGGGGGAGTAACCGACACCTTATCCCGATGGCGTCATTTTTTTCTGCGCCACAGATTTGGGTTTTTTTTTTAAGAGGTCTTGATTTAACCCTAACCCTAAACTTTCCCGTAGGCTCAACACGCACCTAACCCCAATCTGTTCCGCATAACAAAATAACGCATCCCGATGGGTAGCCCCTGTATGATTTATCAGATGTATATAATTATTTCTTTGGATTTTCATGTAGTGTAATGAATACGCTCACGTGAATTCGTCGGTCACAGAGAATGGCGATTGTATGTGTGGTGTGACGTCATCATTGAGCTCATCGTGTGGTTCTGGGGTAAGCAGCGAGGAGTTCCAGCAGATGATTCGCGACCTCGATCAACAGGTTTGTACAACTCTTTCTATTAAATGTTGTAAATATCTTGCACTTGACCGAACAGTTTATTTCTTTGTTAGGAAAGCATAATACAATGCATTTTAGTAGTTAGATGTGTTCATGAACATTTAATAAAAATGATATTGATGAAGATAGTTGGATTTATTAAGAAACGAAGTCCTGAGAGCTGTGATCATCCCGGCGCATCCCGGCAGATGTTCCATAAAAAATCGTTCGGGCATTCAAGAAATGTAGTTGTGTCGGGAAAAGCAAAAAGAAAACAAGAGAAAAGAGAAATTACTTTGTATTTCTACGTTGAACTTTTTTGTGTTAACTGAAATGAAACGAAAAATCAAATTCGTTTGTTACGGAAGAAACGTCGATCTTACAGACTGACCTTCTCATTCTACCGCCAGATTTTTCAATCTCGAGGAGCAGCCTATAAATCATTTTTTTTTAAGGGCAAATATAACCACAAAACATAATCATTACCGCGGGTGGGGGCACTCCTTGCAACTCCAATGCAACTTTTCTATGGACTGATAGACATGTTCCGTCGGTGTGAATTTCTAAAATAAGTGAAATGAATTGAAATGAAATAAACTAAATTAGTATTTTTTCCAGTTTTTTCAATGACAAATGACAAAAATCAGTAACAAATCTGCTGATGACCAATCAAAAGCAAGGATTTCACTAGCTAATAACAAAAATTGTCATTTGTCACTGATGATAAGTTTTGTGAAATGCGGCCCTGGGCACAGCAAATTGTCCAATGTAAAAGACGATGATGATTTTAATGATCGACAGATAGTGGACATCAACGTGGAGCTGACAACACTGCGAGCCACGCTCAACCAACAAGGAGAAGACATCATCGCCATGAACGAGCAAATGGAGAACATCAACGCCATCGAGAAGCGTATCATCGACAACGAGATCGTCATCTCCCGCCCCGAGTATGACATCATCAGAACGGATCTTCAGGATATGGAAACGCTCATCGGCTATCTTGAAGACCAGAATGCCGATCAATATATCCTTGACCAACTACGAGAAGAGGTGAGTAAAAAAGAGTAAAAATTTAAAGTTCAATTTTTTTTCTTCTTCATAATCATACGAAAATGTTTGACTTCCATCGGTATTACATTATTTTAATGTTAGTATAAAAAGCATACACTGTTTTGGGAACAAAGGAGCATTAACGCTTTCTGAAGAAGCAAATGGCCTACCAGAGCTCAACAAACGGATATAACAAAACAATATGAAAATGAATTAAATCAAGTATAATGTCATGATTGGATGGGTGTAATACGGAGAAGGCCTATAAAGCAGGGGCGCATCCAGCCGGTGGCAAGGGAGGGGGCCAAATAGGGGGCCCAAATCGTGAGAAATATTTAGCGGCGAATCAGCCAGTCGGCGAATAAGCGAGGGGGGGGGAGCACTTTTTTCCCCCAATTCGTGAGAAAGGTAAGAGCACTAGTTTTTTAAAGTTTTTTTTGTCCAACGGGGGAAGGGGGAAGTGAGCACTTTTTTTTAGATACTCAACACTCACCCCCCCCCCCCCCCTCTGGAGCCAGGGGGGAGGGGGCCTGTCTTCTTTTTTTCTTCTTCAAATAAGGTTAAATTTACCTGTTTTGGGGGCCAGGGGAGGGGACATGCTGCGGTAGGGGTGGAGCTTTTCTTTCCTCGCAAACTTTGGTGATAGTTACAAGACGTCAGCGATTCTCGAACCGAGCTACTACGATTGACGTCATATTTACCCCCTGAGCATGCGCGAGCTTCTGGCCCCACGTTTCCAAATTACACTACGGGAGTCGGGGTATATTTCCTTGAATTCTCGTCGTCGTGAAAACGGCAACGTGTGTGCAGTTTCCTCGGTAGCCCTGATCAAACTTCAAAGCTAAAGTACCAGACGACGCGGTAACTAGATTTGTTGTAATTTCTTCTTTAAATCTGCTATATTTTGTTATTTTTATCATTCTATCATTTTCTTTTTTTAAATCTTTTTTTCCATTTTTCATTTTCTTTCCTATTTTTGAATTTTTTATTATTGATCAATTTCTCTTTCTGTCTATTGTTCGTTTATTATTCTATTATGTTTTCTTTCTATCTTTTGTCAAGTTATTCCCTGTTTTCCTTCTATCATTAATTTCTCTTTCTGTCTTTCCTTATGTTATTCTTTTTTTTTTTATTCTATCATCTCTTATGTTATTGTCTGTTGTTATCATTTTATAATTTTTTCTTTTTATCTTTACTCATGTTATTCTTTGTTTTTTCCTTTATCATCTTTTCTTATGTTATTCTTTATTTTTATCATTCTATCACGTCCTCTTTGTTTCTCCCTTCTCAGAGGCGGCGCTCCCGGGGGGCAGAGGGGCATAGTGCCCCCAAAACTGCCCCCTTTTATGTAGGAAAAGTGCCCCTTTTACTTTGACAAGTGCCACTATTAATTTGTTAAAGTGCCCCTTCCCCTTTCAAAATCTGATAAGTCCCCCTTTTATTTTGACACGTACCCCAGAGCCTTTGCAATAAGAGTCCATTTTTTCATTCTCACAAGTGCCCTTTTTAATCTTTAGTAAGTGCCCCTTTTTATGTACGAGAAGCGCCCCTTTTCACTTTTGATAAGCGCCCCCTTCACCTCTGATAATTTCCCTATTCACATCTGAGATGTGCCCCTTTTCTTTTGTAGAAGTGCCCCTTCCCCTTTTAATAACTACCCCTTTTTAACTCGAATAAGCGCATCTTATATTTCCCAAGATTGTGCTCCTTTTCTTTCTAATAAGTGTCTTATCCCTTTCGATAAGTGTCCCCTTTTCTTCTCATCATTAAACGTGCCCCTAATTTCAAGCGATTAAGAGCAATGTCCCCCAAAGCTTGCTCGCTCGCATTTATAGATGATTATGTTGCTTATCTAAGGGCTTTACATTTTTCCGTTATGAGAATGTGCTTACAGCCCCACCAGGATTGGGGTTTTCCTCTTAATAAGATGTAATTTTTCGCACTGCAACCTCACAACTCACAACGCTTTGAGATTTCCCTTTGAAGGTGCCCCTTTTCCCCAGAAATTGCCCTTTTTCATTGGAGCCCCCCCCCCCCACTTTGAAAGTCGCTCCGCCGCCTCTGTCCCTTTTATCAATAATTTTTCTCTTTCTCTCATCCTTAAGTTATTCTTCTGATCAGATTTTCGCGCACAAAAATTGGTCACGTGACCGACGAAAGCCGTTTGGGGGCATTTTTAAAAAACAATTTCCGGGTGTTTTTCATTTTCTTTAATTCCTATCTTTCAATTTTGTATTATTTATCAATTTCTCTCTCTGTCTATTATTCGTGTATTCATCTATCATTTTTTTCTTTCTATCTTTCGTCATATTATTCTCTGTTTTCTTTCTATCATGTTCTCTTTTTGTTTTTCTTAGATGTTATTTGTTGTTTTTCTATCTTTACATTATTTATTCGTTATCATCTTTCTGTCTTTCCTGTTATTTTCATGTTATTTTTTTTCTTCTATCATCTCTTATGTTATTGTTTGTTGTTATTATTTCATTATTTCCTCTTTCTATCTTTTTTTACGCTACTCTTTGTTCATTTCTTCTGTCAGCTTCTCTTATATTATTCTTTGTTTCTTCCTTCTATCATCTTCTCTTCTGTTATTCTTTGTTTTTATCATTCTATCACGTTCTCTTTCTGTCTTTCCTTATGTTATTCTTTGTTTCTTCCTTCTATCACCTTCTCTTATCTTATTATTTGTTTTTTAGTCTATTATTTACTCTTTCTGTCTTTCTTTATGTTATTCTTTGTTTCTTCAATCTATCACCTTCGCTTATTCGTTTCAATCATTCTATCACTTTCTCTTTCTGACTTTCCTTATGTTATTCTTAGTTTCTGCCTTTTATCATCTTCTCTTCTGTTATTCTTTGTTTTTATCATTCTATCACGTTCTCTTTCTGTCTTTCCTTATGTTATTCTTTGTTTCTTCCTTCTATCACCTTCTCTTATTTTATTATTTGTTTTTAGTCTATTATTTCCTCTTTCTGTCTTTCTTTATGTTATTCTTTGTTTCTTCAATCTATCACGTTCGCTTATTCGTTTCAATCATTCTATCACTTTCTCTTTCTGACTTTCCTTATGTTATTCTTAGTATCTGCCTTCTATCATCTTCTCTTCTATTATTCTTTGTTTTTATCATTCTATCACGTTCTCTTATCTTATTATTTGTTTTTAGTCTATTATTTCCTCTTTCTGTCTTTCTTTATGTTATTCTTTGTTTCTTCAATCTATCACCTTCGCTTATTCGTTTCAATCATTCTATCACTTTCTCTTTCTGACTTTCCTTATGTTATTCTTAGTTTCTGCCTTCTATCATCTTCTCTTCTGTTATTCTTTGTTTTTATCATTCTATCACGTTCTCTTTCTGTCTTTCCTTATGTTATTCTTTGTTTCTTCCTTCTATCACCTTCTCTTATCTTATTATTTGTTTTTAGTCTATTATTTCCTCTTTCTGTCTTTCTTTATGTTATTCTTTGTTTCTTCAATCTATCACCTTCGCTTATTCGTTTCAATCATTCTATCACTTTCTCTTTCTGACTTTCCTTATATTATTCTTAGTATCTGCCTTCTATCATCTTCTCTTCTGTTATTCTTTGTTTTTATCATTCTATCACGTTCTCTTTCTGCCTTTCCTTATGTTATTCTTTGTTTCTTCCTTCTATCACCTTCTCTTATTTTATTATTTGTTTTTAGTCTATTATTTCCTCTTTCTGTCTTTCTTTATGTTATTCTTTGTTTCTTCAATCTATCACGTTCGCTTATTCGTTTCAATCATTCTATCACTTTCTCTTTCTGACTTTCCTTATGTTATTCTTAGTATCTGCCTTCTATCATCTTCTCTTCTATTATTCTTTGTTTTTATCATTCTATCACGTTCTCTTATCTTATTATTTGTTTTTAGTCTATTATTTCCTCTTTCTGTCTTTCTTTATGTTATTCTTTGTTTCTTCAATCTATCACCTTCGCTTATTCGTTTCAATCATTCTATCACTTTCTCTTTCTGACTTTCCTTATGTTATTCTTAGTTTCTGCCTTCTATCATCTTCTCTTCTGTTATTCTTTGTTTTTATCATTCTATCACGTTCTCTTTCTGTCTTTCCTTATGTTATTCTTTGTTTCTTCCTTCTATCACCTTCTCTTATCTTATTATTTGTTTTTAGTCTATTATTTCCTCTTTCTGTCTTTCTTTATGTTATTCTTTGTTTCTTCAATCTATCACCTTCGCTTATTCGTTTCAATCATTCTATCACTTTCTCTTTCTGACTTTCCTTATATTATTCTTAGTATCTGCCTTCTATCATCTTCTCTTCTGTTATTCTTTGTTTTTATCATTCTATCACGTTCTCTTTCTGCCTTTCCTTATGTTATTCTTTGTTTCTTCCTTCTATCACCTTCTCTTATCTTATTATTTGTTTTTAGTTTATTATTTCCTGTTTCTGTCTTTCTTTATGTTATTCTTTGTTTCTTCAGTCTATCACCTTCGCTTATTCGTTTCAATCATTCTATCACATTCTCTTTCTGACTTTCCTTATGTTATTCTTTGTTTTTTCCTTATCACCTTCTCTTTCTCTCATCCTTATGTTATTCTTCTTATCAGATTTTCGCGCACTGTGAATTTAATACCAGATTTCAAAAATCGGTCATGTGACCGAAAAAAAAGCCATTTTGGGGCATTTTTGAAAAAACGGACCCAATTTTAATGGTATTTTTGTTAAAAGTGGGACCCGTTTTCAGGGATTTTTTTGTGAAAAAAAATGACCCATCAGAGCGGCACACCCCGTATGTGATAAATTGTGAGTACCCCCCCCCCCCCCCCCCCCCCCCGCCCCATTATAAGCAATAATTTGCATATACCGTGTGAGTCTAAAAAAAGTTTACAACTAGAAAATTGCTAATTATTTTGATCATCTATGAACAGTAAATTATTATACGTCTTATGAAAGAGCGTTTCATTTTTGCGTGATATGTGTTCACGCTTGAATGAACAGGATGCATTGTTTGCGAGAGTGCAAAAATCGACTTGCGCCAAAGTGATGCCTACAGTTGTGATATGTTGGGATTAAAGGTAATACAAAGTTTTGGGAAATCTTAAAAATTGGGTGGATAGTGATTCTTTACAATTTTGATATATTTGGATGCCCCTGTGGATGTATTATAAGCACTAGGAAATTTAGCCCCTAAAACACTTCTGCATCAGAGAAAAATTGAATATAAAAATTTACCGGTGCTCTCGGTAAATTTTGATAAAATTCAAATAGCGCCTATACGGCCGTACAATGGTAGCTGTGACCATGAAAAACTCAGAATATGTAGTTGTGATATATAATGTCCAAACGGGAGTAACTAATCGATCGATTTTAGTCAAGAAACATTGTTTTATAGCTTAATTAATATCTTGACCTTGAGAGGGAGCTATACAACGTTAAGAGTTTATTATTTACAATTTCATAACTTTAGACTCAAATTTGAACCGCGACAACGATCACTGAATATTGAAGGATCGCATATGCTGCCAATATGTTCATTTAAACCAAATTCATGACCCCATACCAAAACCTTTAAAGTGAGAGATTGAATTGAATGTATCAAATGAGATGCATTGCATATGCTTTTTGCAGAAGCAAAGTCACACGCACACACGCGCGCGTGCACAATTGTTCGTTGATAGTTGATATGTGTGGCATGATAAATTTTGTTAGGGATGTTATTTGGATCCGCAATGACCGACTTAATACCCAAATCCCAATTGTTTCATTCAAACATCGCATAAGCAACTTTGGCGCGGCAAGTCGATTTTCGCACTCTCGCAAACCATGTCTAGCTCCTGTTCATCCAAGCATGAACACATACCACACAAAAATGATACTAAATGATTCGGGATAAAACACTCTTTCATAAGATGTATAATAATTTACTGTTCATAGATGATTTTTAAAATAATTTTCTAGGTGTAAACTTTTTTGGGGGACTCACACTGTAGTAAGCTACATCAGTTCTATTGTATGTATGCTTGCATTATGTAGAGACCAATCGCAGTCACACATAAAAGGTCAAGATTAAAGCTAAGTAATGTGTGTAAATTTATCCTATCTTGATTTTAATGCTATGCTATGTAGATTGCCAACATCAGCTATAACCTCGATTCCCTGGAAGTCAACAACGATGCCGACGTCGAAACTCTCTTACGCGACATCGCCGACCTCCAGCAAAAGATTGCAGAATGCGAGGCGGGCAATGACCCGGAATCTGACATCGGTTTTCCCTATCCATGGGAAGATTTCGAGAAACAAGGTGTGTGCTTGATTCTGTATAATTGTGCATCAAGTGTGAACAGATTATGGAGGGGAGGGGGTGGGGGAAGGGGGGTTATTCAGTGAAATTTAATTTTATATTTTGATTAATTGTCCAAAGGAAATTTGCTTTGCTCACATTTTACATAAAACTTTACAAACATAATGTTTAGATATAGATGCCTTAACAAAACATTAACTTTTTTTTCTCAGTATTTTCATTTTTATTTCAGGAAAGTTAGCACCTGATATTTTATTTCGTTCAGCATCAGAAGCTTTCTAATTTCGTGAATAGACGATTTCACGGTTAGCACATTACTGCAATATATGACCCCGAATATCCACAGATCTTTAAAATATGAAGAGGTCCCACTTTGTACATTTTGAAATAATCACTCCTACAGCGATGGAGGTGCTATATAAATAGCCTTTGTTTCCCCTTTTCAAAGAATACTTCCACCTGTGTATCAAGGAGTGCACTGAAAGTGCATGAATGAATAATGATTACATAACTTTCATTAGCACGCATCCAGTATTTCATCTCCGTGTATTTCAAAATTTGTTCTGCAATGACCTTTATCTGCTCATGCTCAGACTGCAACCGTGAACTGGCTTATTATTTATTCAACGATACGAACCACGGAGGTGTCACGAAAATAATAGGGACTTTTAGATTTGCACGAAGACAATGAGGATTGCTACGGTCGACGTCCTTTTAATGCACTGACTTGAATGGACGTCACGCGAATCAGTCCACGCAAGTCCCTAATAGCGTCCAAGGATAAACGTACATGATTGTATAGCAGTACACCATGTAGACCGTATACGGCCTGCGGGTAATTTATGCATACTTTAACACAAAAAAAAAAGGTTTTTCTTGACATCCTGAAAGCTTTCCCGACATAGCAACAAGTAATATATTCAGTCTGGATTCCAAGTATCGTAGTTTATTCATTGATAACAGGTTAATGGCTCTGATGTTTGGAATTCTCTACTGACATTCGAAATTTATTGCCCGAGCATTCCTTTAAAAGAGCAGTTTGATAAGCACCTGCTTATCTCAAAGATGTATTTACTGTAGTATCACATTCATTATTGTATTGTAATATCTATCAAATAATGCCATTTTCCAGTTATTTACCTTGTTTAATTTAGTTTTAAAGGGATAGTTGCGTTCTGTTGCAGAGGGCGCTACACAAAATATTTTGTTGTTGTAAGATAATGAAAAACTGAGTGTCAAATTTGAAAGAACATAATATTTAAATGACAAAATCATCTTTGTTTGATCAAAATCGGGTGAGAGACGCATGAAATATAACAATTTCTAATACTTGTGTACCACCACAAATATTAGATATTTTGAAAAATTTGAAAAAACTGTTGAAAAAACTGAAATAGCGCCTTTTACGTCGTATTTCAGCCAATGCCGATGTTGGCTTTTTTGTTGGCATTTTCTTGTTGCTTATATTACGCCAAACCTGCAGGCCCATGTATTGTTAATTTTAATCAAATAATGAATTAACGGTCACCATGTTTTTTGAAAATGGAGTTGAATTGGTATGCTCGTATTGGCTAAATTTCACACATTTTGGGGTCTAAATTACCTTCATAGCAACTTTAGGTTCTAAAAGGGCACTAGAAATGTCATAGATAATAATAAGAGCAATAACCATGCACTTTGAAGGCATTAGCGGTCTGAAAACAGAACTCAACTATCCCTTTAATCTTTTAGTTGTTTATTAGTAGTTCATAGCTTAAAGGCATCGTTTAACAATGTTAAATCTGAGATACACGGCCCAACGTGTTATCAGTGTCTGTGATATCATGTAATATTGAAGCCCTAAAAAAAAAATCGCGCTTCAAAATGATCAAGAAGACATAGTGCCTCAGAAAAGTAAAAAATCTTTGAAAGACCGGTTTTACCATACTCGTTTTCCCCAATAGACTGTTGTGTAATGTAGTTCCAATCATCTATATCTTGATACTCGGACAGGCGATCGGCTTGTAAAATTCATGGGGTTCCTGACTGACCTAAAGGTTTATAATTATCACTGCAGCATGAGCTAAATCCAGGATTTTGTTTCAGAATCTGAGACAAAGTTACCGGATACCTTTAACTTAACTCTTCTAAAACTTTAAAAAATATATCGTTAGATTATAAGGTGTGGTAATCTCTCAAGCATTAAGCTTATATTGTCATACCTCTGTATGCTTCTGTATTATTTACATTATTGCAAATGTATAATGATCGTAATCTAGTGTTTAATACCGTGATGGTCATGATCATACTACGCAAACTGTTGAACCATGCTTAAAGTAGATATTCATTGATTTTAAAAACTAACTTTATTTTCATTATTGCAAAGTTGAAACTTTGATTCGACAAGGTTATCAAAATTCAATGCTTGGAAACATTCGAAGTAATGATTATTATAAATCACAAAACGCTTAAATACAGCCCGGCGTAGCACCTGAAGAGCTCTCCGAACGCTGCTGAGATGTGTAACATCATAGGATGGACATGATTTGCACAAGCAGACGATGTCCCATGACATCTCACACATTTTCAGTGCCTGTTTTTTCATCTTCTCTTGAGTTCTATCTCTTACTTCACTACCGTCAGGCTCAATGTATAATCTATTGCCTCAATCTAAACCCCGCGCATGGTTCGCCGACGAAGTCGGAGGGGATATAGAAACGTTACGCTGCCGTCCGTCCTTCCTTCCGTCATTCCGTGCGTGCGTGCGTCCGTCCGTAACAAATTTGGTTTCCGATCGATAACTTCAGTAATGATTGACGGATTTTAATGAAATTTGATATGAAGGTTCATGGGATCAAAACACAGCCTAAGTTCGATTTCGGAGTATGTAGGTTTGACCTACATACTCTTTGGCTCATAGCTCATTAAATATGCGAATCTGGTTTCCATTCGATAACTTGAGTAATGTTTGACGAATTGTAATGAAATTTGATATGAAGGTACATGGTATCAAAACACAGCCTTAGTTTAATTTCCGAGTATGTAGGTCAAAGGTGAAAGGTCATAGCTCATTAAATATGCAAAAACACCTAATTATATATGTGAAAATGTGGTTAATTTCTTTGCCTATATAATAATATAGTCCAATTTAGGTAACTAGTTCTGATGTATATAGGCCATTTGTACCCTGCGAGGGGATGCTACGCTTTGCGTTGACTTGTTTTGATGACAAATGCAGCGATACAAAAATAAAGGAATCTGTCGCTTGTAACAAAATAAGACGCCATTGTATATTCAGCTGCACAATCCTCGGTATGTTCGGCGTTTCAAGAGGGAACAAATGCCGTCCTTAATATCATTCCGGGGTTTTTTCAATTTGAAAGTCTGGTTTCTTTGATTGTTAATTAACCGCTATCCTGTATATTTACAAACAAAAGATTTTAGTTATCATAATCGGTTTCATATCCCCTTTTGAATGATTTGAAATGCCATCACATTTATATACACAAACTCATTATAATTTGAGAAATAATAGCTTTGCAATTATGTTCTATGAGATGTCGTCTGCTTGGGCAGTATTGGTCCATTATGTGACGTCATTAAAACATCGTTAAAAATGATTTTTCAGCCGAATCTCTCGTATATCCCAGATGCTATGGAGGTGGTTGTATTTTTATAAATCACCCGATATGTAGTTGACCTAAAACTTGTACGATGGTCATCTGCTAGCTTACCAGTTTCTAGTGATACATTAGTTGACATATTTGTGATTTTATTTGAATTTCCACTTTACATAAATAAATAAATAAATGCAATAACTCGTCACTAGGTCCCCAGGAGAAAATCCATGAATTTGAAATGTTGGTAAACGGGTATTGTCCGATGGGGGGAATTAACAGGAGCGGGGGTAAAAATGCGAAATGATACTAAAGGGTGTCTAATAGGAGAAATACAACATTCTGCTTAAAACATCAATATCAATATTAAAAGAAAAAGTTCTGCTTTCTGAGACATGCCATCCCTGGGTCTGATATGTAATGATAAAGATATTGGTGTGGTGTAATGGTTTATTCACTTGACGCTCAATCATAGGGTTGAATGTACGAATCCCAGGCTGGCGTCAAGGTGTAAATGGGTACCTGGCAATTGGTGGGGTAAAAGTAATGGCAGGGCCCTTTAGAAGAACAGTATTGATGTTGATGAGGCCTCCTCGGGTAAATAAAATCATTATGATATTATCATCATTATTATGTTTTCCTTTATAGATTCTTGTGGAACCATCAAGGGGTTATCAGAGCCGTACACACTCAGGGGTAATCTAGCTTCCACAGGGGTGTGGTTTATGGACCCCATGGTAGACGTGGACAGGCCCTGGTACCAGGTGTAAGTTATATTATCAAACTTTGCAAACTTCCTATTCGTGTCAAACTACACATTGTTTTTAACTATATACATCTCACCGACTTCAGACTTCTGCATTGATATAGTACACGAGGATCGAGCAAGAATACCGACACAGCTGACCCGGCACAGCAACATATTTACCCGTGTCTTTCTTGCTCCCTCGACGAGACGACTCCACCCAACAACCCCCTTCTCTCTTTTAATCCCACTCTTCCCTTTTTCAGGCTCTTACCTCCCCTCCCTCTCCTCTCTTTCACCCCCTCGTTTCTTTTGTTTCCCTTTTCTTCTTTATTTTCCTTTTCTTTCTTTTCTTTCTTTTCCTTTCTTTCCTCTCCTCCCTCTTTTTCTTTTTTCTCTTTCTTTCTTTCTTTTCTTTCCTTTCTTTTCCTTTCTTTCCTTTCTTTTCCTTTCTTTTCCTTTCTTTCTTTTCTTTTCCTTTTCTTTTTTCTTTTCTTTCCCTTTCCCTCTCTTTTTTTCCCTCCCCCTTTCTCTTTTTTCCCGACGGCAGCGCAATTTTACAGACAATATCCTGACAGGTGGGGGTGTCGCACCCCCACACCCCCCCCCCCCCCTTGGAGACGCCCCCGGTTGTACATCAGGCCAGTGCTAGAATTTGCAGCACCTGTTTGGATATCAGGGATCGCAAACAAGCTCTGTAAGCATCGGGCGGGTTCAGAGGAGAGCTCTCAGCATTATTACCTACCCTGACTCTAGAACTTATGATGAACTTACTGCAATCTCATCTTGGCGTCTCCTCTCTTAAAGAGAGACGCACATCCTTTTCTCTAAGATTTGCAGAATCACTCCTCCAATCAAAGGTTCATCGACATCTCCTGCCTGTGAACAGAGACAATGACTGTAGCCGTACCCTGCAAAATGCACTTGATTTGTCCTTGCCTAAGATGAGAACTAGTATGAGGTACCGAAATTCTCCCAGCCCATCTTTCACTCGATCATTCAATAATAAATAGAAGCTTAGGTAATTATCAGTAAGTTATTTTTTTTTTTATGTCATGTATTTCAGCGATATAATTATGTGCAATATTGACTATCATGATTATAGGCACAGCAGGTTCTTCCATTCATTTGTATTTGATATTGCATACACTTTTATCCTTTCTCTCACTCTCTCATCCCTTTTCTCTATTTGAACTTGCTACTTTTCAAATTTCCTTTTCCCCTCTTCAGTTCTGGTCTTTCCTCTCTATTTTTATTTCATTCCCATTCCCTCTCTCTCAGCTCTCTGTCTCTTCCTCTTCCTCCCTTCGTCTCTCCTCCTCCTCTCTGTTTCTCTCTCTCACTTTCTGTCTCTCCCTCCTCCTCTTTCTCTTCTGATGTTTTACAGTACAACATTCTTTAATTATCTGCTATTCTTACTGTGACCAACAATACTTAGGTCTTCCAATTTTCTTCATGTGCAATATATATGTTTATACATGTACTGTACTCATATCACACTTGTGTTTAAGCACACTACCAAGACTCCAATTTTTATACTTTTTAATACTCATTATATCATCAGAATGGAAATTGTATTGCATTTATCGCAGTTTTGTCTATGTTACAGTTAACTGAATTCACGTATCTGTATACATTTTATTTGTCTATGACAATTATTCCCTCAGTAACAAAACAGAAGGCCTTAATTTCTTCATTTTTTTTCATAAAGCTTCAATTTATTACTTTATTTTTAGTACACTCATCTGACATGCTAGCAATATTTTATATTTTGTATTTGTTGGTATCTTTTTTGTTTTGTTTTTTTGTTACTGCTTTGATGTTTTGATGTAAACATTTATTTATTTTTTATATATTTTTTCCCATTTGCTATGTGTTTCTTTATATATATATATATATATATATATATATACAAGTTTTTGAATGCCTTTTTTAAATATGATTTTTAGTCTTTGGACTTTTTGACAAGTCTTGAATGAAACCTAATTTGATTTCGATTTTGATTTTTGATTTAGAGCCTCGATGATGCCATGACATGTAAGATATAATCCATCAAACTTGGGTTTCCAAATTATTTTGGAGGGGTTCATATCCTATACTGGGGTGCGAAAAATTGAGATTCTGAAGCAACATATACGTGGGAGGAAAGCAACCGAGCTTTAGGAAATGGTGCACTTTAAAATTATTATCTCAAAATACACACACAAAAAGAAATGACGCCTAATTAGCGCCACCAGGTATTTAAAATGTTATTTTCCCCAATTTTTACCTCATGCGCACAATTTGGAATGCTTTCCTAACAATAGAAGGCTAACCGTCAGAATAATTAATCAGTGTAACTCTTGAAATTAGTCAAACCCTAATTTTCTTATTTTTTAGGGGGATTACTTATACTTCGTCTATCTTACGGTACCTATCTACTGAGCAATTCCAGACGCAAGGCATTCATGAGACCTATTTACCTGGATACACCCTGGAAGGTTGCAGTGTGGTCGCATACAACGGCGCACTGTTCTATAACAAGTATTCGTCTACAACCATGATAAGATACGACTACAGAGCAGGAGCTGTCACCAACCAACGAGCCCTTCCGAATGCAGGGTATAAAACAAATTATGTTTATCTCTCCGGGGGCTACACGAGCATTGACTTTGCTGTAGATGAGAAGGGCCTGTGGGTGATCTATGGGAAGTCTTCGGACAGCGGACTCATGTCCGTGAGCAAGATCGACCCCTTGACTTTGGAGGTCGAGGAGACCTACAACACCAACTCACTCAAGGCCAACTTCGGCGAGTGTTTCATGGTATGTGGGAAGCTCTACTGCACGGATTCGTACCACAAGCACGATGGCAGGATCGTGATGATGTACGACACGACCACCCAGACGACTACAACACTCAACGTCCCTTTCGACAGCAAGTACTTGGCGACCAGGGCACTCAAGTACAACCCAAGGGATCAGCGACTCTACGCCTTCAACAACGGACATGCTCTGGCCTATGAGATAGAGTTCCAGGTTGACGAATAACATATTCTAGACTTGATGTCTTCTGGACATTAATAAATGGTTTAGTTGTAGTTGCTTCTGTCTTAAATTGTTAAAGGCCTATTCAATTTCTTGAAGCTCTTATTTCCATAAACCCCAGACATAATGTTTGAATCTTTGTTATGAATGAGATATCAAAACAAAAAGTTTCAGCACCTGAATTTCATATTAGCTTTTAAACGTAACACTCACATGAATTGCTTGAAAACAGACACTAGTTTGTCAGCCATTCATTCAACGTCAATTAAATATCTCTTGTAATCATATTAAGAGTAACCGACGACAACGACAATAAATGAAAATGTATATATTTCTGTTAAAAGTATCGAACAAATATCCCATTACCATTAATCCTTTTTGTGATTAGCAGAGCAAGGAGCCAGAAGTAATGGATCTCGTATAACGTTACATTTTGCAGTCAAACCTTATATACCATCATGATCTATTGCATATTCCATTTCACAAACTCATTGTCGGGTTAACATTCTCGCGGGGAAATAGTTTGATAATTATTATGAGACATAATATTCAGGATCAATTACATATAGCGTGATGGGCATTTCCATTGTGTGTGTGTGTGGGGGGGGGGAGGGGGTTGGCTGCAAATGAAAGAAATATGAATCAATTAGACCACCAAACGGGGAGGGGTAATAATTCTTGTCACACTACTTTACTATTCTTCCTTTCATTCTCTTTAGTTTTCTATGTGGTAAGGGGGGGGGGGGGTCCATAATATTCAAAGGTTCAGGTTAGTTATTGGTAATATGTGTATTTACATGGAATTTGTTTAAAGTACTGCTACTGCGAATTTCATATGACAATACTTATTGCATGCATTTTCAATATAATTGTCATGCCGTTGTCTCCATATCGTGAATTATAAAATCTAGACAGGCCTCATGATTAACGAATAAAAAAATTAAGCAAAGCAAAAAAAAATCGTGAACAGTTTTATGGTGCTATGTTAGTGTCTGTGAGCTCAATTTCATGATGATAACTTGATTATTATCTGTTCCTATTTTTCGTCGGTCATTTTGGAATGAGAAAAAAATTACACAAGTCCAGAAGATATCCAGGATATGCATTCATCATACCAGCACATTTTCCTAGGACAGAGAAACATGTAGAATTATATATGAACATGAAGAAAATCACACGCCAATAGACATGGTCACTAATAGTTATGGGTACTTTTTAAACTAAAGTTTCTCTTGACGACAAAAAAGCATGCCAGAGGTTTGCCCAATATAATTGGAAGAGTGGATTCTATCCATAGAGGTGTCGTTTTTCATAGCAGGTGTTTGAATCTCCCCCAACTTAATTGTATCACCATCACATTTTCATAACTTTACAATAAATACAACATGTACATGTAGAAACTTACAATCAATTTTATGTTACAAATGCATGATAAGATACAATTTGCAGGATTGCAGGAAGATTGGAGATACAGTAGATTTTTGTGATTGATTGTTGTCTGTCAATTTTTATGTTACTGGTCTCAGATTTAGTATACAAATTAATTATTCATATATATATATATCTGGCCTGAAAGGCATTAACTCATATAATTTTACACACACTTCAAAAGGGGGGGGAAGAGGACACTTTTTTTCCTTTTTTTTTGGTATCGAAATTTCAAAATTTGACATTTTGCTCCGTTGGGGGGGGGGGGTAAGGTCATCTTTTTGAGGTCGGCCATGGGATTTTTTTTTTTTTTTTTTTTTTAATAAAAAAAAAAAAAAAAAAAAAAAAAAATCCAAAAAGGGGGGGGGGGGGGGGGTTTAGGGAAATTTAGGGGGGGGGGGGGTTTACACACAAAAAATTACCAAAGGGGGGGGGGGGTTAACCCCCCCCCCTGTGTACGCGCCTGTTTGAAACCATGATGTATTATTCCTTTTACTCAACTGCCGTCTGTTCTGCAGGGCCCGCACCTGCAATTGCACTGCACCCACTTGATCACTAGGTTTTACCAAGAGAGTTTTGTTGCTAAATCTTGTTTTCTTTTTCTTTTTCGTGAGGCCGCCATCCATTTCCAGCCATTTTCGATGGCGGTCTCCTGTGTTCTAAACTTTATCTCTTTAGTATGAAAAATATATATACAAGTATCCGTTATACTTGTTTGTATACTTTATATAATATTATCAGACATGATTTGTTATGTATGTAATACTTGTGTAAAAATGTATAACCTTGAATTTGTTATTTAAACGCAGAAATAAAATCAATCAAAGAGACAAACCAGGCGCGGATCCAAGATTTCTTTGGGGAGGGGGCCCAACTTTTTTGGGTTTTTTTTGCTCCCGAAAATTTAAAAATCGCGCCGGCCGAAAATTCGCTCAGAGGGAGGGGGGGGGGGGGGTAGTGAGCAGATTTTTTGCGGGGTCCTCGAAAATTTAAAAATATAAAATTTGCCCAACCCCCCGAAAAGGTAAAAATCACGTGTTTTTACATGATTTTTTTTCTCAAGGAGGGGGGGGGTGGCCGGGCCCCCGGGCCCCCGGGCCCCCTCCCCCTCCCCCTGGATCCGCCACTGAGACAAACAAACAAACATAATACATATGGATGATAACATATCATTTGCATCTCTCTTTTGTATCCTTCCTTCGCTTTATGATCGGAGATCCAAACGTGTAATAATGCTAGTGAGCCCTCTAGCGTGTACAACAATTTAATTTTCTAGACAATAATTCTGCTGCCTAATGATATCGTGACTCCGTTTTGTTTTGACTACCGGTTTGTAATTTCAAAGCGGGTCGCGAATTAATTTTAAGGACAGTAATATCATAACAACTACGAGAATCTACATATTGAGAGCCGGATTTTCAAGGTGCTTCAGCTTCACCAGGCAACTCTGCACTGACAGCAACGAAGCCCAATAAGAGTGCAAGGCATTGACACCTCTAGCCTCTAGGCTCTACGCCAGAGTTCCGGCTGTAATCTTTGATGGTTTCCGTGTGGACTGCGGCTATACACAGGGAAGGATAAGCAACTGAAGACTGCCCGCTGATCACCTTTTTTCAAATGTACGATCATACATTGTGTAATGATAATTACATTTGACAATTAAACGTGCTAATAGTGCTCTGTTGATTTCATAAATAAAAGTTATTAACGGAGCTAAACTTCTAGTTCTACTTCTACTACTACTACTACTAGACTTCTAGGTAGATGCTACATGAATTAGGGGTTTCACTTTCAGAAGTATGGAAACAGACACAACATAGATCTCAATCTAGATCTAGACTATAATCTTATTTTTAGCCGTCATTTTCCTTATGTTTCGGCCAACATTTTACCTGTGCATCGCAGCTAGAATCTGCATTGCACGACGGACAGCTGGGGCAAACTTCAATTCCTTATATAATTATAAACCACAGATCTTTCAAAAGACTTGCCAGTTGCCTTGTGCCAAAGAAATTTTTTCACTCTCGGAAGGAAGAGGGATTTGCAGGATGATGAGTGATGATGGGAAGAAAGGAGAAGAAGTAAAAGGAAGCATACAGACCGATATGATCCAAGAGGTCTTTGATGTCCCTATAGAAGTTATTATCAGACCTATTCCACCATCCTTGGACGACGCCAAGGTAGCATCGCTGATGGACACCATACAGGTTGGTACTTAGAGGTTCTAACTCTTTACCTTAACCTTTACCTTTACCTTTCCCTGACATTCTAGAAGAATGCTGTGTTCTCAGCAGTCAGAATTCATTTGGAAAAAGGCTCAAATCAGCTTTTAGAGACTTCACGTCAGATATAACCTCAATTTATTTCAGACACTTCCCTTTTTGTCCATTTGGAAGGGTAAAATGTTACACCCTTAAAGTTGATACTCTAAGCAAATAAATGTCCCTTAATTTGTTACCTACGGCAAGTATATGTTATTTTAAAGTTTTTCAATTACTTAGTATATCACAAAAAAATTCTGTCTACTCGAAATCCTCAATTGAAATGTCGAAAATATCCGCCTCTCTTTGCATAGAAAATCAGTCACGGCGCTGGTCTACTATTTATGACCTCACGTCCGGGAAAGAGTATATTCACGTACCCGGATGTTCCATAGCAAACATGTGCAGAGTGATACGATTTTCTGCTTATTTTTGTTTCAAAGGCTGAAAAGTCTAATAAATCATAATTCTATGTACAATTCTTTACCTTCCCCTAGAACTTCATAGTATTAATATCAATTCCCCTTTTAAAAATTATACATGCCAATGATGTGCTATTAGTCGATATTTTCACCATGTAATTTTTGTTTTGGTGTTGAAATCGGCCCAGGCACGGATTGAACAATAGCTGTCTACCCATGCACAGTTCATTGCCATACACTACAGCGATCTCCCGATGGTTTCTTCTTCCTTTTTCCCATGTCTTTTGCCTTCCTTGGCCCTGAAGATCCTTCATCTACCAATTCTGACACCGGTAGTCAGGAGCAAGTCTTTGTTAGTTGTTTTTCTTAGCTGGCAACGTCGCTTTCATTCTCTTGCAATTGCCGATAAACATATAACTAGCGCACGTCAAGCACAAGCAAGCAGCGCCTAGAGCAGCGGCTTGGTCTTACCTCCTGATTCTGCTCGCTTCACGAACGTTCATGCAAGAGCCGCATCACTCGCCAAAATATTATAGAGGAAGCGCGCTTGCATGATCTCGTTCAAGTTTGATATTTTACAACATAAAATGTTTAACTGGTACTGTATCCTTTTTTGAGGCAGTCACACACATCTATGATAAGTACTATCATAGTTCTAGACCTATTCGTTTTACAAAACTGCTCCTGTACCTTATCTGATGACAATATAATGCATTCGCCTATTCATACATGCACGATTTAACTTTAATTCCTAACCAGTCTTAAATCTCTACCAAATAGGTGAATATGAGGATATAAAAAGAAATCAGCGACTGGAAAATGTTGCTTCGTTATTCTTCATTCAAATGAAAACAGAAAATCCATCAAATATACTCCTTAACAACAACAAATCTAAGCTCTGACAGGATAGCATTTACGTAGGGATATCACTGCCATTCACTCTCACTGAGCCCATGAGTCCCGTTCGTGACGTCACGGATAGAGGCCCGACTCTACGTGCACTTCCGGGTTTCAGACTTCGATATTTTGGTAGAGTTTACTCGAATAAATTCATTATTCTAAACTTGTTTTGTCGGGTGGACACCATTTGGTGTTATTATGGGGGTTAAAAGCTTTCTATTTATGTAATTATCTCAGTATTTGGGATTGTCTTAGAGTATCAACTTTAACTTTCATTTTTCACATTTCATACTTGTTCTCTTGCATACTCCATCAGGAAAATCTTGTAATAGACTATATTTCTAAACCTTAATGAAATTTGTTCAAAAGTCTGTGGAACCTAAGAAACGAAATGGTTGTAAAAACACCTTTCCTTTCAATGAATTAATTGAATATTCTTCCATGTCTGTAGCTTAGACAATTCTCTAGAGCTATTCTTGCCACAGGAAACTCCATAGCTGTGCTTTTCATCACTTTGTCATTAAATACATGTGAAATATAATAATAATTTGTTTGTTTGATTATACTTATTCCTCTAACAATGTAGGACCCAAGCCAAGTTCACAAGGTACCTCCAATTGATGTCCTATGGATCACAGGTCGCGCTGGCGGTAATTACTACTACTCCTTTGGAGGATGCCATCGGTATGCTGCTTATAAGAAACTAAACGTGAAGACAATACCCTGCAAACTTGTTAGGTCTACTGTACATGACCTCAGGATGTACTTGGGATCATCGACCCCTGACCTTTTATGATTGAACTTCTGTAATTGAGCCTACAGGAAATACGATTTTCGACAGTAGATGGCGACATTCCACACTGCGCGGATCATAACATAACTCAAAATGTACCGTCATTCCCAGCCTGGCCTGCATAACCCTTCAATACCGTGCCTGTATAGACAGCTGAATAAACAAACCATGCAAACAAAGTAATTTTACAGTGCCTTGCTACATGTCTGTATCTCCATGTAGTGTAGTTTAGTGCACAGAAATTGTCTTCCAGATTGAATGACTTTTTCCCAATGCTGTCATGGATTACTGGTAATCCAAATTCCTTTAAATTTTCTAAAAATTGTATATATTGTAGGATTTTAGGTATTGTTTAGTTATAAATTAACTGCCATTAGACTCCCCAAAAGTTTCAAAATTGTCAAAAGAGATGACAATGGATCCGGCCTTTTTAATATAGAGGGCGAACATCTCCAGCATAATAATAATAATAATAATATGGTTATTTATATAGCCCCGGTATCCGTCTGGCTCTGCCAAAAGTTAATTGTTTGTGCATGTTTATGCAGGTTGACCTTGCAATTGAGAGGGCATGCACACATTGCTATACAGATACACACATGCTATGAGAGTTTCCAGGAATAAGCATACATTGTTCTAATTGTATGTCATCACTATCACATGACTACCAGTACTAGTATAATGACAATGTGACTTGTGAAAATGTGTGGTGGATCCAGGGTTCTTTTAATATAAGGAGCGGGGGTTTTGCTTGTCTCAAAGATTTCTCAAGAGCAAAACAAATTTTTCTTAATTTAGGCAGGGGCAGGTTGTATAACTTGTATTAGATTGCAGCCAATCAGCCATTGACCTGATTTTATTATTCTTTTGTAATGGCTGTTTTCCTTTTGTAATTGTATTGATCTTCTCATATTTTGATAAATTTCAGTAATTTATTTGCTTTTTATTTTGAATCGACTAACACAATGAATTTTTAATGATTAATTTGTAAGTTAAGATCCATGTACATATTTGTTTTTTATGTACTTTTATACTAAAGATCATCCAAATTTATTGATTCTATTTCAATAGATTTGGATCTGGATTTGAATTAATTTGACAGGAACTCCACCCCCGATATGCCACTGAAAATATTTGTTTATGATTATTAAAGGTTATATTGAAGGATGTATTGAATTTTTGTGTTTAAAAGCAAAATATATTTCAAGGTGAAATACATTATAACAGTATGAATATTTGAATATCATTTATATAATCTTGGTGGTATTATCATGTTTAAGATATGACTTGCAATGAAATACAAATATTCATATTGAGTCTATTGACAACTCATTTTTCTGAGAACAAGTAGTGTTTTCAATTTCTAAATTGACTGAAAATATAATCACTTGTTATGGCTTTGATTATGTTTTATAATATCTGAAAAAAGTAGACAATGTTAAAATTTACCATGTGCAAAGACAACTTATACATTTTGGCAGAATATATATATATATATATATATTTAAGATTATATTTATATGCAAATTGCAAAACTTACATATACCGGTAGCTATTAAAAAAAAGATAGTGATAGTCATCAAATTATGTAGTCATATAATAATGAATGTAGTATTTAGGTTAGTTACACATTTTTTGGAATGGGGAGCTTTGTTAGTGAATGCTTTATATGGTATATTGAGAAAAAGAATATCTACTCGATATACAACATGAATAGAGCTGTAAATGTATGGAAAAATGAACATAAATAATTACCTCTACATCCATATTTTTCTTTGCTTATATTTCATAGTGCATTTTTGCTTCTACTTGACTAACAGTGATATAAAATATAAATTAATTTAAAACTTCATGTACCAGTACTTGTTATTGAATAGGATACATATTTACCAGTAGGAGGGTACATGTAGGTACAGTGAGGTATATGAGTGAAGTTGAGAGGGATAGAGAGATGGAGTATATAGGGAGGATGAGAGGGAGTCACACAGAGGGGATTTGAGGAATATTGAGAAAGAAAGAGAGAGAGAGAGATATATATAGAGACAGGGGCAGACAGAATCAAATAGAGAGGGAGAGAGGAGATGACAGGTCTACACAATAGAAGAGAGGTGGAAGGGGGTAGGGGAAGAGAAGGAGAGAGGAAAAAAGTTTATATGATGATGGAACATAAATCAATCGAGATAGAGGAGGGAAATGGGGAACGATCAACCATTCATTAAAAGCAAAATTCATGATATGGTGGAGAATGAGGCAAAATGCTGAATTCGGCACAAACTTTTTGCGATATGGTGTGAAGAACAGAATACCATTTGTTAATGGTTACATTACGAAAATGGTCTGACTTTCCAATGGCGCGTATTGCTGATAGCTCAAATAGGGAAATTCCCCTTTCTGTATTCTGTCCTAAGAGGGAGACAAACATCAACTTGATTATTTTCAGTTCTGAGGTGATACATCATTGTAATGATGCATGTAAGGCTTTACACAAAAAGTTGGTGTATTGCCCTCTGCGATAGACACAAACTCTTTTAATCTACTGTCGGTTTTTATTACATTTTCTTTCAAACTGCTTTTTTTTTAAGCGAGTGGGGAGTTCTTCCGGACCAGAAGCTTTGACGTTTTATTAAATTATTAGAGAAAGAAGACGATTCGTTGTACGGTTCTCGACAATTAATCCCGTTGTCTGAACTCGCGGTTCCCCCCTTTCCGCGCGAAGCGGAAGCTTTGACGTTCATTAAATTATCAGAGAAACCAGAGGCGGCCCTCCCGGGGGGCAGGGGGGCACAGTGTCCCCCTTTCAACCTCCCGAGAAGTGCCCCTTTTTACATAGGACTAGTACCCCTTTTACTTCGTAAAAGTGCCCCTTCCCCTTTTTAACGATCTGATAAATGTCCCTTTCATTTGGAAATGTGCCTGAATAGTTTGTAATTTTTTTATAGCATTGACTGTCATATTGGATTGTCGGCTGTGACTCACAATTCTTTCCAAGAAATAACCATTAACTCATAAATCTGTCTATTCTCCTTTCTAGTCCCTTTCTCTTTCTGATGATCACTTCCAAATAAATCATCATTTGTATTTTGGAGGAGGAAGAGGTGGGAAAAGAACTTATTAAAGAACGACTCGAACGAAGAGGAGGAATATAGACAAGGGCTATAATAGGTAGATCAGTAGATGAATACAAATATCTAAGAATAGTATGCAAGTAGGCCTAGCTTGTCTGTTTAGTAAAGATGAAATACAACTTAACTTCTTCAATGTTAATTGTCATATTCAATGGACACGAAGGGCACGTTCCTCTTTAAAAAAGTTGAGAAAAAAATCATTCATTCGTGCCCTTGCCCCCGTCAAATAAGTTTTTTCCCCATGCTTAACCCTCGGCCACTTTAGAATCCTGAGATCGTTCCTTAATTGGCACATCAATAAAACCATTTCATCTGGAACGTTATAACTACACAAATTCGATGGTTGGACAATGCGTATAGGGCCTACGGGCAGCAGAAACGGAGATGACTTTCGAAATAGGGTGTCGGCCATCAATTTATCTGTCTTTACATAAAAAATAATAAATATATATATATATATATATATATATATATATATATATATATATATATATATATATATATATCTGTCTTTAATTCGCCTGTACCAACCATGCATGATTCCGTGACTCTCATGGAAAATCTATGAAAAGAAAAAAAATGGGTCATCATTTTGGGGTACCATTTTGGTTATTACAGGTATTTTACCTCGGAGCTGCTAATCCCAGGGTTCTTGAGTCTATAGGCCTATACTAAAACACCAAAATGGCCTGGTAATAAGTAGGCGTTGTAAACATAAACACTTATTCCGAAGATTTGTTTCCCCTCTTTTCAAAATTTTAGCAGGCCCTGGCCCACCCCACTCCCTGTGCCTTGTTGTTGTTTACGTTTGCATTCAGCTGTGAAACTTGCCTAGCTTAATTTCAGGCGTTTCATAATTCATTTTTTTTTTTTTTTTTAAATCCAAATTTCACTTGAGAAAAAAAATGCAATTTACTCCCATGGTGAAGAATATTGGGTTATAGACCATTTATTTTGTATTTAATGATGAATTTATACAATATTTTCTATTTTTTTACAACTACATGGACTCTCTATAGAAAAGAAATCAAAAGTATTTTCTTTGACTAAAGGATACGGTTACGAGGCTTGGCTCACAGCAAAAGTATTTTGTCAGGTAGTTTTTCTTTTCTTTTCTACAACTTTTATCTATTAATTTTGTGGTGTTGTTTGGAAGATGATTGTGGCGGCCGATGATTGTCTCATAGTATAACTGAATCTTGAATAGAAGTACAGCATAGACCTAGAATCTATAGATCGCGATCGGACCCTCTAAATAATGAGCCTGACTGAGGTCTGAGCTGTGGCATGTAGTGGCTGCACGCGTACGCCTGTACTGTATAGTGCTGGGCCTGGGCAGCGTTTCATGAAACCGTCATAGACCCTAAGTACAAGTTGCAAGTTCACCGACATGATGACATCCCATTGAAACGCGTGTTAAACACGTGTTAAACACGCATTTCAATGGGATGTCGGTCAACTTGTTCTTATGACAGTTTCGTGAGACGCTGCCCTGCATGCTGTGTACACATCTCAGGGCGGAATCTATTCATTGTGTGGTGTAGACTATCGACTATATTTTCGCCTCGTACATATCGCTGGTGCATATTCCTGTAAAAAGGGACTTTACGATTCGCACGTTCACTAGTGGACTTCTACGTATGTGTTCATGTTTTAAGCAGGGTTGACGAGGCATGTTGAGTGTTGTTTGTTACCTTTTCAATTTCACACGACGACAACGCTCGCTCAGTGACGTCAATATGTTCGTGCTCGCTAAGTCTCCAAACACTAAAATTTAGTGCATGGCACGTAGAAGTTTACGCATTGAGCGCTGTACACTTACATGTAGAAAACGCATCAAATTTAAGTGAGAGAGGGCCTACTTAACTTAACGCAACTTTAAAGTGCAATGAAAAGGCCAATACGTAATATTACATAACACACTGAAATGTCATGCTTTAAACAGGTGATGCACTTCACACATAACTGACACAATGATAAACAAATGCGATATAATCGGGTGATGAATTCTCTTCATTTCGAAAAAAGTCATAAAATTAGAAAATGGCGCAACATACAGTAGCTGAAGATGGTTGGACCAATCTGCAAAATATAGGCTCAAATAGGAAATTTTCACTAACGAACTTAAGTTCCATTAGTTACTTATTTGTAATCAACAATGTTTCATTAAATTAATTAATTAATTAGCAGTACTGTCATTACTGACGGGGCCACCCTGTTTAAATAAGACACAATAAATAAATACAAAAATTAAATTGTTTATCATATCATTTGAAAGTATCATGCAGCAGGTTTTACAAAATATTGCGTGAATGTACTGCAGTACAGTGTTGCCCCTCTTAATACTCAGCCAGGATAGTAATGCTGCTGTGTGTGGGCATGGGTGGAGTTTGCCTTCTTCGCAACCAGGCTAATATGGTCATTCCACTTCATGTATTGCTGGATGTGTACACTTAAAAACTTGGCAGAGCTGACCTTTTCCATTGACTGATCATGGATGGAGTATGTCTTGTTGACACTCAATCCTCCATGTGTTCCTGATGATAATGAGCAAACATGCAATTTATGTTACAAAAACGCTGACCTCTTACAAGAGTATGCAATGTTGGTTCTGTCCGAAATGCAAATACACACAGTGTAAAAAACAACAATGGGGGTTTTAGTATTGCTAATTTGCTACTTACTTAATGATAAGACGATTTGGAGCCAATTCTAGAATATTTTTGTCAATTCATGTTCTATGTATAGATAGAATTTGGTTAAATGTTATTTTACACCATGACTTGCAGAATACAATGCAAACATCTCTGTTGAATACAGACCTTTTTTGGTAAATTCAAAGGTTGAAAATGACCTAACCAGGTTTATCCATTAATGATATGAGTGCTGGACCGCTGTGATAATGTTTTTTGAGTCTGTAGTATTTCTAAAGATTAAAATGACCTAGCTGGGTTTGTCCAACAATATGAGCACTGAATATATTCTTAGTCATATGAACCGGTACATATAGAATTACATATGAATAGACCCCCCCCCCCCCCCCCCCCCTTTAGGATGGTGACGTTAAATGTCGGTCCTTAGACGTAAATAATCATATCTGATTGATAAACGTCTGTACTAAAACCCAAGTACACCCCCCCCCCCCTCCCCCGGTATTCATGAATGCCTTCCAATTTGTAATGCTTTTTTACCAATAGTCTTGTGTGGAGCAGCTGGGATCGGTCAAGGCTAGCTCATGCATGAGGAGAGGAAAAGAATTATTAAAAATACCATTTTCAAATTGGAAACCTCCAATTTTAGCCAAGTAAGTGTTGAAGATGACCCTGATGACCGTGAATCTGAGCCCTGTTTCATAAAACTTGTTATAATAATAATAATATTAGCTTCTTATATAGCGCACGTATCGACCTTGCAAGGTCCTCGAGGCGCTCCAACATAACACCGGCTATGCTAGGCTGCCGATTTCGACGCTCACAGCATTTTAAGGAATTCCTTCCTACCGGTACCCATTTAACACCTGGGTGGAGAGTGGCAAATGTAGATCAATGTCTTGCCAAAGGACGTTAGTGTTATCAATAACAAATGCTAAATTTCTATGACACATTTGCTCACAGCCAATCGAATGCCACGATTTCAGTAGCTTATAACAATTATTGTAACTTGTTATCGATAACATTTTGTGAAACAGGCCCAGATCGTTCATCAAATATATCCTGCTTCCATTGAATTTGGTGTTCATTTTGAGTGCAGCAGTGTATTCGCAACCCATTCCCTGATTGGAGTAGCACTATGAGCCCTAGAACTTGGAGGTACATGTCCTTGTCCTCATCCTAGGTCAATTTAATATTGACACTTGATAGGCTTATCATAGATCAAATAAGAATTTTTTACTAGTCATGCTGACTTGTCAGATATGCTCATCAGCTTGTGCAAGATATCTTTGTGTCCCATTCAGTCGTTCAATGACACAAGTTTGGAGAATATGGTGACGTGCAGAATGTGCTTCCTTCAGTTCAAGACAATTGAACAAGTGGCACAGTCTAACACCATATTATGATATACCTCACTTTAATATCAGGACCATAATATTCTGCAAATACACTCATTTTAAAGATATCTCATAAATGAAGGGTTACCTTTGATGATGAGTCCTTTATAGCTCTTGAATGTAAATATTTGTTTTTGCTGTTGATTTAATGTATCAAGAGTACATTGTTAACAATTGGTGTATGCAAACCGGGATTGAATTACATGTGTGAATGTGGAAAATATGCTATTGTCCTTGGAATTTTGAAATTCAAATCGAGAATTGCCTATTAAACAAAAACAATAACAATGTATCTAACTATCTATCAAAAAGTAAAGTTCATGTATCTCAGCCTAGATGTATTATTCAGGGCCAGTCAACCCTCCCACATTTGGAGGGAGTCTCACGCCACAACGCTCATTCTCCCGCCGTCCCACGAGGTCGTAGCAGGAGACTCCCGCCACCACGTCCTTTCTCCTGCAATCTCCCAGATTATGAAAAAACCTTGCACCAAACGTGTAAAATTAATAAGCGTACCGTATCGTATGCAATTTTTTTTTGCTCAACAGGGGGGGGGGGGGGGGGGGGGGGGGGGATAGTGAGCACTTTCAATTTTTTTTTTTTAAAGAGTTAATGATAAATAATGTGTCTTATGTATTAATAGAATGCACATATAATCAGCTGCCATAGTTTATTTGATTCAGACTTCGTATGTCCATCATCTCCTCTCACTTTGTTACTTTTATGCCTTAAGGGCATCAACAGTACAAGAATAAGAATGACACAAACCTGTTATAATAAACATCTTCTTTCTCTCTCTCTCTCTCTCTCTCTCTCTCTCTCTTTCCCCCTTATAATTCTTTATATCTTCCAGTACCTTTTCCAAGGCTAAAAAATGATTGAGCAGTTTTTTTCTTTTCTAAGTATTTTTTTAAGGTTAGGATTCGTCACATTGAGTCTGCGATACATCAGTTTCCTCTGTTATAAACTCTGTACAAAGAGGTTCAAATGATTTATCAAGCTTGACCGAATAATAAGAACACGATTTGAGGTGATGCTGTGATCGTGACACTAGGCAATGTATATGATTCCAAAGTGCTGTGTCATTGCCCCGTGATTGGATAGTCAGTTGATAAGGGATTTTGTCTCCTGTTAAAACAAATATTGACTGCCTACTCTGAATAGTCTTCAAGCACCGATAAACTAGCCTATTCCCACCTGCACTGCCAGCTATTTATTAGGAGAAAGATATTCCTTGGAATCTGTCATTTGTTTTCATTTGCTAATCCCTTTGTGTTTCCTGTACGTAGTAGAATGTAAGAATAATTGTAAACAACGGATTGTAAAGCAGATAACAATTCATAGTAGAATGTACATAGAGGAATAATTGTAAACAACGGATTGTAAAGCAGATAACAATGCTCTTCTAGAAGCAAAAGAGGTATGATTAAGCATTTTTGTGGACAAGCTTTGTGCTTTAATTCAACTATTTAAATGGCAAGGAATATGTGTGATTTATGTGCTCATAAAGTTTTTATTGCTGTCACAGGATTCACTCAGTACCAAGACAGGCCGGATGACAGTTTCCTGAAGTTGATTTAAACCAAGAGCTTGCACTTTCAACAACAGATTTGAACAAAAGAGACAGAAGAGACAATGTCTGGGAAGCGGCTAACCCCTTTTGTGCAGAGATGGCTCTCAAACACGCTTAAGCCTGAAACAGCATCAACCCAGCCCCTCTGCAGACGACAACATACACTAGTGAGAAAGCCTCTCTGTTCCAACTCTGTGCGTATCCCACATAGAACTTTCACTAGATCTTCCACACTATGTAAAGCAAAATCGACGGATCAGCAACAGAAGGCTGTTCTTCAGCAACTGGAGCTACCAGATTTTGGAAGCGACTTGAAATTCAAAGGACTGGAAACGGACTTCCCTTGCCTAGCAAGAACGTAAGTTTGCTGTGGTGCAGTTCCACGTTATAACTCACTCTGTGAAAGCAATTGCTAAAATCAGTTGTACGATCAATTGCTAAAATCAGTTGTACGATCAATTGCTAAGATTTGTGTTACGGGCCCTGTAGTAGCGTTGCTAGTGTAGTTTCATGTTTTTTTTAATTGCATTCAGTGGTGGATCCATAATTCTCTGGCCAGAGTGATGGGGAAGGGGCAGGGGCTACAAGTAAAAATGATCTCAGATAGACAAGAAGGGGGCAACCTGTCACATTTTCAGATGCTATTTGTGATCTAGCACTTCTACCGATGTTGACAATTAAGGGACACACTTTATTTTGGTCTTAATGTGTGACGTGGCTCCTCTAGCCCCCTGGATCCGCAGAGGTGCACATATACACATGCTAGTCTACAAATGGGAAAACGCAAGATATTTGTAGTGGATTTCCATGTTCATCACAAAATTTTCACATGTGGTTGAAAGTATTTGTCTCCTATCCATACAATTCTTGTGGTGGTGGTTATTTTACCTGGCTACTAAGAAAGCATAAATGCTTGTTAGTAAGCAACCAGACGGCCGACAGCTTTAGGTTCTCTCCGAGGGACCTGGTAATGAGAATGAATGCCTTACCAAAGGTCACTAGCGCATCGACTTTGTTTCGAACCCGGGTCACCGGATTACGAGACCACTGCTCTACCAACTTGATTTCTTAGACTTACTTTACACATACACTGTATAATTACATTCAACAAGTACAATCTATTTGTCTGTTGTTACTATCTTTTTTTTAGACCTGAGTCAGGCCCCGATCCTGCCTATCAAAAGGTAGTCTCAGGCTACCAGAACTTTCATTACAATGAGCCTTACTCCCTGAAATACAACGGCTGTGTACTGCCGGAGCTGAATATCGCATATGAGACCTGGGGAGAGCTTAACCATGACATGAGCAATGTGGTTGTAGTGTTCACAGGGCTCTCAAGTAGCTCTCATGTGAGAAGTCACCCGGTAAGACTGAGCAATGTTAACAAAAAGAGACATGATGGTGGTGATGAGGAGGATGATTGTGGTGGTGGTGATGGTGGTGGTGATGGTGGTGGTGGTGGTGATGTTAATGGCTATGGTGGGGATCACAGTGATGATGGTTGTGGTGGTGATGAGGATATTGATGGTGATGATGTTAACGGTTGAAAGTGGTACTAATGATGATGATGATGATGGTGGTAGTGATGGAGGTGATAAAAGAAGACAAAGAAGAAGGAGGAGGAGGAGGAGGAGGAAGAGGAGGAGGAGGGAGGAAGAAGAAGGAGGAGAGAGGAAGGAGTAGAGGAGGAAGAAGAGGATAATGATAAGGATGGTGATAATAGAAATGAAAGTATTTGTAATGAGAAAGATTATAATAAAAACAGTAATGAAGACAACAATCTCAATATCTGTACAAATTCCATATATTTCCTAAAAGTTCAATACATTTTTCCATAAAAAAAACCTGCCAGAACTTGACACATATTTCCCCACTTTTGTTTTTGACAGTTAAACAAAGCCCCAGGATGGTGGGAGAAGTTCATTGGACCAGGATGCGCCATTGATACAGACAAATTCTTTGTCATCTGCGGCAATCACATAGGAGGCTGCTATGGCACAACGTAGGTAAAAATAGAGTACAGAAGTGTGATGTCATACTGGCCAAATTATCAAGGTTGCTGGTTCCAAACAATTTTGTGCTTAACAATGGTGTGGTGATCACTCCAGCCCCTAACACTAAATTTCTCCTGTCTGTTGCTCCAATGATTTCATGGTGAACCTCATGCGCAGGCGCTGTTGATTAGAACCAGTAACCAGGACGACAAGCAAATATGACATTAGCATTTCGGTTCTCTACAGATACCATGTACAGTAATGATTGATAATCCACACCCTCCCTCAAAAAGTTATCAGATTTCTTTGATTTAAAATGGTGCATTATATTCTGAATTTGCTACAGTTTTGTTGTTGTAAATTCTTCTTTAAAATTAAAGAACAGGAATAAATTAATGAAGTAAGATTTTGTTCTAACTCTGAGTCCTTTCATCGTTTGTTTAATTCATTTTCAATTGTATTTTCTAGTGCCCTACTAAAATAAACATAGCAAACTTCTTTCATAATAATAAATGAACATTTGTATAGCGCCTTTTCTACAAGTAGATACAAAGCGCTTAATTAACATATACAATGAACAATTAACAAAATAGAAAGATGCTTAACAACAGACATGTAGTGTCAAATCTGCTTTAGCTACCTTTATATAAATTACACCTATCTACAAAGACTGCATCTTGAGAATTGATTCTTATAGAACTGAGTAGCTGTATAGGAAGACCAATTCCCCATAAAGATTGCTTCCTATGTCATCTTGCATTATTTATCTACAGGTTTCACTATTACACCCATGTAGTGCAATATCATTTTGATTGATAATAAATAATGATAGTAATAATAATAATAAAATTGGATTTATGCAGCATAATAGGGAATACCATCAACACGGCAAAGGCTTTCGTCATCATACAAGGTTCCCATTTCGTTCCTGGGTATTGAGTGGCAAAGGTAGATTAATGCATTGCCACTGTAGGACATTAGTGCCACCGCGGGATTTGAACCGTGAACCAAGTGATCCACACTCCGATGACTTATCCAATAGACCATGACTTCTCTGGTTTGATATTGGGTGATTTATTTGCTATAGTGACAATTGCTATGGCTACAATTGCTCCAGGCTTTATTACATCCAAGGTGTAGGGTTAGGGTTAGAGTTGCAGTTGGGAGTTAGGTTAGGATTAGGGTTAGGTATTGTGTTGGTATCAAGGTTGAAGTAAGGAATTTGGTTAGTGAAGGAAATTTCATGGAGCACTTGTCGCAGGAACAAATTGTAGTACAACAGTGTATTGACTTCACAGTATTCAGGGGTGATAGTATAGTATTAATGACTGCTTTGAGAGAAATAGTTGTTTTTATACGCTCAAGGGAAGGTTAGAATTGTGCTATTGCCCCGAGGCGTGCCGAGGGCAATAGCCCAATTGTAACCTTCCCGAGAAGCGTATAAAAACAACTATTTCTCGAATATTAAAGCAGTCATTAATACTTTTATATGCCAAAAAAAAATAAATAAATAAATAAAAAATAAAAAATAAAAAACTTTAGTCGAAGATGGGATTCGATCTCTTGCGTACAAAAGGTGATGTATCTAAAATCAGCGACTTAAACCGCACGGCTATCGCGCTCTGTTACCATACTTAACAGTTTTCTCTAATATATACATTAAAATGGATTTAAAACGGCTTCGCGTGATTGATGATTCGCGGCTGCTCCATTAATCGGGCCCTTCTTTTACTTTTGCAATGCATATTGGCACGAACTTAGATCAAGATCTATCGGCAGATGTTGTTTTTTTGTTTTTGGAAGTTTAGTTTCGTCTTCATGTCAACAATGCAAGATAAAATTGTCGGTAAGATCGATCGAGATTCAATTGTATTGAAATTACTGACCAATTCTTCGCACACGTACGGTATCCTCGATCGCTCAAACCATTTTTTAACATGTAAACCTATGGGGTAACCATGGAGACTGACCTATTTTCCCAATAACCATGGTTATTGGGAAAATAGGTCTGTTTTTACAGGAACAGTTAAAGTTTATGAATGCAATTTCGACCAATCAGATTGCTGGATTACTTAAGTGAGGTATATAATGAGCACTAAAAAAATCACCCACGCCCCCCTTGAGTAAAAAAAAAAAAATGGCATCCAACAACATTCCTGCCCTTTTGAGAAAGAAAATTGGGAAAATATAGGGAAGAATAGAGAAATAAGGGGGAAATCTGGTAAATCAGGATAAAATCAGGAAGAAAAAAAAAATCAGGACAAAATAATTCTAAAAAATCGGGAAAAACCGATTTAAATCGGGTAATTATCAGACCTGCAATATTTTCTGTTCACAGAGGTCCATCTTCCACCAACCCTATCACAGGCAAAGCCTATGGGACAACCTTCCCTGTGGTTAGTGTGGAGGACATGGTGAAAGTGCAGTATCTGCTCCTGGATCACCTAGGCATAGACAAGGTAGGTCTGTGATAGTTTGCTCTCTAGATCGTTATAGGGCAATAGTTTTTAACTTTTTACTATAGCCCTTTTAAAGGCCCACTGTACTACTTGTAGCTACTTGCTCCCTCTATATAGAAAACAATGCCTAATCGGTGACCATGCATTGGTCCCCCATGATCCTCTTCTTCTTACGTTAATTGAGAGCTGAGTTGATGTCAGTGACCTTCCTGGGTGGTCTAATCCCTCCTAGCCAAACTAGTACAGATGGGCTTTAAATCCACTAGTATGTCTGTATGTCTGTCAACAAATTCATATAATGCTTTTCAAGATGTCGACAAGTCCCTATAAAACTGATCACTAGTTGGTGATGTTGATTTTCTGAGTCAAGGAGAACTATCAGTTAACACATGAGCATGAACAAATATCCTCTACAAAATTCATGCTTGCACTTGAAAAAGAAATCACTCAGAAAACAGTTCTATCCTCGTGAGTTACAGAGCTTTTACAAACAAATCTTTGGAATATCTGCAATATTTCTGTCTACATGTACTTGAGTTATGAACCATGCAAATTTCTATGGATTTTCTAATATTTACAATTGTATGTCATCATCGTCATTATTGAAGGCATCATTTTCCCTCTTACGAGGGGTTACTGACTTTTGCCCCATGCTGACACTCCCTCCCTCCACTTCTTCTTGTCTCAAGCATCCACCTCATTTAGAAAAATTTTACTGTTTTCTTTCTTCACTAACTCTTGCCATGAAATATTTGGTCATCCTTTCCCTCTTATGCCATCCACACCCAGGCTCTTTTCTCTGGTTCCTCATCTTCCCTTCTTGACACATCACCCCTCCATCTCAATCCACTTCTCTTTACCACTCCCACCACAGTTTCTTCTGGACTCAAAAAAATAATATCCTTTATGATTGTATCAAGGTCCATGCTGTTGTTGGTGCATCGCTCGGTGGTATGTGTTCAGTGATGGCTGCTGCCCTCTACCCTCAGAGAGTAGGAAGGTTAGTTATCTCCTACAATTCTTGTTCATTGAAAATTGTTTTTTGAAAATTTAAAGTGCACCAAAATGATTTAATGTGAGACTGAGACATATATATATACTGTCAATATCTTGTATAGAGCATGATTGTGTTGTTACATCAGAAATTTGTTCTCTTATTTCCATAGTTCACTTACATTATGTGTTGTTGCTTATGAGAAAGCTGTACAATTAATTTACTTTTATGTTCTTGAAGTAGACATTTGGACTATTATCAATAGTGATGAGGCTACCATGGTTTTTGGCCATGTCATTATCATCATATGAATATTATATCTAAAATTAATTAAACTTGAGTTGCAAGATAACTTTTTAAAAAATCTGTTTCATGTCATGTGTTATCTTGTCTTGTCTTGCCATTAATGCCCAAAATCAAAGAAGTTGATATTGTGGCAAGTTGAGGTGAAGACCTAGACTGCTTTCATGTCCTGCATTGCTCTTCCATAAAATGCAAGTTGTACAATGATCTTCATTATCTTCTTCTTCTCGCGTCACTACGCCACAATATTCACTCTTGATTTAAATTATCCCAATCCAGTGTTGGATGCATTGCATCGCACAGCAAGTCAGTGCATCCAGATCTTCTTGGGTGCAAGGGTCTGGTAGATGTGGCCAGGCTAGGAGAAGTTGCAACGTTTTCTTTTCTCCACACACACACCGGTGATATTGGAATAGTATAAATAGTTCTCTATCATCTATCCTTCCAGAGAATGGAAATGTCATAATCATTGTTTTTTCATCGTTATTAGCTTAAAATTGTTTTTACTGTTACCTCATCAGGGTGGTCTCAATATCAGCCTGTGCCCAGACCTATGCCAGCTCCATCGCTCTTCGCTTCCTGCAGAGGAGAGCTATCATGACAGACCCTAACTGGCAGAGAGGGCACTACTATGGCACCTCCTACCCCAAGATGGGAATGAAGCTTGCAAGGTATATCATTGATTCTTAGAGAATTCATTTTGTCTGGCCCAGAACGTTTCCAACAATTTTGAATTGATAATGACATTATACAATCATCTTGTTTTCTGCTATCTCAAAAATTGGGAATAGTTCGTGCCTTGAAACACTGTGTTTAAATCAATATGTAAATGTTATGTTTAATTTTTTTCATTTCAATAGTGATGATGATGATAATGATAATGATACTGATGATGGCGGTTATCCTTGTGATAAATTGTTGTGGTGATGATCATCATGATGATTATGATGATTTTATTTTGAAAATGATTATAATAATGGATTGATGATGATGATAATAATGATGAAGATGTTGATTGGGTAGATGATGGCTGGTAATGTATTTGTGTTGATAATAAGGATGAAGAGGAGGATGACAATGATAGTAATAGAGGTCATGATGTTAACAAGTGATGGAGAAAAAGACTGCAGTTTATGTAATGAAAGCGAAATAATAGACCGCTAACATGATGAGATTGCTTTTTGATTTGCCTTTTGATAGTGATGATGATTGTAACAATGATGTTAAATGGTAACATTATTCATAATAATGATTGTAGTAATGGGGTGATTGCAATCATGCTGGTTTTACAGTTGACAGTGATTATGCTTTCAGTTTATACCGGGATGAAACCATTGCAAAAACAAACTGTCAAAATAACATAATAACATTCTTATCTTCCTCTTCAGAGAGATCGCTACCATCACATACCGGAGTGGTCCAGAGTGGAAGCAGAGGTTCGGGAGGAAACTGATAGACCCGGCTGAACCCCCATCGCTCTGCCCGTCGTTTGAGATTGAGGAATACATCATGCACCAGGGAGAAACATTCAGTAACAAATACGACCCCAACTCACTGCTTTACATCTCAAAGGTGAGTTAAAAAACTATTCTGTCATTGGTTGTGTGGGGGTTCAGTGGTAGAGCGGGAGTCTTTGGACCGGGAGGTTCCAGGATCAAGACCATGTCATCATACCCCATATTTTATTAAATACACTAATCCTCAAGTACCAGGGGGGGGGGGGGGGATTCTGAAAACAAATGTTAATTGTCACAAACAAGAACACCCTCAATTAGGACAAGTCATTGGTTAATGTCTGCTCAAAGCTGCCCGCATTTGTTTAAAGTTAAAAGAAACATATTCGCAAGCACTAATTTTAAGTGTAAGTTCCACACATTTTTATGCCTCCGCTACAAAGTAGCCGGAGGCATTATGTTTTCTGGTTGTCCGTCCGTAGGTCCCGTTCTCGTGATCGCGTTATCTCAAGAACCGACTGACGGATTACCGCTAAACTTGAATCATGCATGTATCCTGCAGAGCCAATGAACTGATTCGATTTTGGGGTCATGAGGTCAAAGGTCAAAGGTCACAGGGCTCATTATGTATGCAAAATAGCTCGTGATCGCATTATCTCTAGAACCGATTGATTGATTCCTGCCAAACTTGAATCATGCATGTATCTTGCAGAGCTAATGTACTGATTAGATTTTGGGGTCATGAGGTCAAAGTTCAAAGGTCACAGGGCTCATTATGTATGCAAAATAGCTCGTAATCGCGTTATCTCTAGAACCGATTGATGGATTCCTGCCAAACTTGACTAATGCATGTATCTTGCAAAGCCAATGAACTGATTAGATTTTGGTGTAACGAGGTCATAGTTCAAAGGTCACAGGGCTCATTATGTATGCAAAATAGCTCGTGATCGTGTTATCTCTAGAACCGATAGATGGATTCCTGCCAAACTTGAATCATGCATGTATCTTGCAGAGCTAATGAACTGATTAGATTTTGGGGTCACAAGGTCAAAGTTCAAAGGTCACAGGGCTCATAATGTATGCACAAATAGCTTGTGATCACATTATCATGAGAAACAAAAGACAGATTACTATCAAACTCAAGACATGTATATATATATGTTTCTTGCAGAGCCAATGAACTGATTAGATTTTAGGGTCATCAGGTCTAAGGTCATGGGGCTCATTAAGGATGCCTATAAATAGCTTGTGAATGCATTATTAAAGATGACTAATGGATTACAATCATACTTGAATTTTTAAAATTGCATCCGTTTTGGTTTGTAAAAATGTTCTATGGCGGAGGCATCATTTTCGACTATGCGCAATCAATTCCATCTAGTTTAGTTTATTTTGACAATTAGCATAATTGTTCCTATCATGAAAGTTAACATGATTTTCATAATACAGCCCCAGGCCCCAGTCCATGGTATGTTGCGTGCATCAACAAGTATCTTGGACTCAAATTTGTTTTTCCCTGTGCCACTTGAGTCCACTTTAAAAAAAAATCAAAAGAAGAATCTGAATCTATGTACATTTAAATGAAATCATACAGACTTTCTGAAAAACAGCTGTTTCAACTGAGAGAGTTACCATGTTTAAATAAATAAAAATGTAATGAAATGAAATTGAATTTAAATTCTTGGTTTTCATTGCATTACGTTCCCAGGCTATGGACATGTTTGACATGGGGGAGGGGTTCAGCTCACTTCAAGAAGGCATGGCGAGGGTTCAATGCCCGGTCATGGTGCTGGGTGCGCAGACGGACATACTGATCCCTATCTGGCAACAGAGGGAGATTGCTGATCTTCTGAAGGCATCGGGTATTGAACTGATTTGAATTGAATTGAAAATTATTTTTTATATTCCAATCACAGTAAAAAATGACATTATACATTGTTGTAAAAATAGGCAGAGAGAAATACATTGTAGATATATATACACGTTGGAAAAACAAAAAACAACGAAGACATGATTAAATCTACTAAGAGTACAGAATAGATCCTTAAAGGGGAAGTCCACCCTGAAATTAAGTTAGTTTTAATAGGAGTAGAAAAATGAGAGAAACAAGTCAGTGAAAGTTTGAGCAAATTCCGATTAAAAATAAGGAAGTTAGGATTTTTGAAGTTGTGATCAATCAAACACAAATTGGCAACTCTATGACGTATCATGCGAGCTCAACTTCCATTTGCTCAGTACTAAAAAAATCTAAAATTTTCATTTTCCCTCAAGAAAAATTTCAATCATACATGCACCCTAAATATAATAATTGCAAATATGTTTCTATACTCCCCCTGCAAGGAACAAATATATATTCCGTCATCAATAACGAAGAAAACATGATTTTATGGAATATTATGCACAAAGCAAATGAAGGAGAGCTCATATAATAAGTCACAGAGTTGCCAATTTGTATTTGATTGATCACAACTTCAATAATTCATAACTTTCTTATTTTCATTCAGAATTTGCTCAAACTTTCACTCACCTGATTTTCTTATTATTCTGCCTCTATCGAAACAAACTTATTTTGGGGGTGGACTTTCCCTTTAAAAGCAACAGGGGCTCGATGAATGGGCGCACTCTGAGCGCGTCACAATATAATTAACAATAAAAAGCTCAGTGTGCTGGAAAAGGTATGATGAAGAAGAAAACAATGCCATGTATTCAAACTCCATTGCCATTCAGAAGTACTTATTGAGGTTTCATTGACATCCACATCATGTTTAGAAACTGAGAACCTTACATAGCCATTCGAACAACAACTTGATAAATTTAATTGTGTACTATAAATGTTAAATGAGTATTATTATTATCATTATTCTTGTTATTATCATTATAATTAGAAGTTTTTTCATCATCAGCATCATCATCATCATCATCATTGTTGTTATTATTATTATCTTCATTATCGTTATCATTATCATTATTGTCATTGGTATTGTTATTGTTAATGTTATTTTTAATGTTATTATTATTTTTGTTACAATGATTCTTTTTCTTGGGTCTACACAGGTAATGAAGCAGTGAGCTTCTATGAACTCAATTCCATCTTTGGGCATGACACGTTCCTCTTGGATCTCACCAGCGTCGGTGGTGCAATCAAGGTAGTGCTTCAGCTCCTGAATTTTAAAGAGAAGGTTGAGTTCTGGGAAGAGGTTATTATGCAAGTGTGAAAGAACATCAGATTAGAAAAGTTGAAAAGCATGGCTCTTCAAGTGCCTTAAAGGGATCCGGTAACTTTGTCTTAGATCCTTTGAAAAAATCCTTGATTTAGCTCATGCTGCAATGATAATTATAAACCTTTAGGTCAGTCAGGAACCCCGTGAATTTTACAAGCCGATTGCCTGTCTGATTATCAAGATATTTATGATTGAAAATCGAAATCAAATTTTGTGTTTGCAAAACGGTTTTCATAACACTACAGTCTATTGGGGAAAACAAGTATATGGTAAAACTGGTCACTCAAAGGTTTTTAATTTTTTAAGGCACTTCTTGATCATTTTGAAGCGCAATTTTTTTAGGGCTTCAATATAACACAGACACTGATAACACATAGGGCCTTGCATCTCAGATTTAACTTTGTTAAAAACCCTTTAATATTTTAAATATATGGCATGTAACAGCATAAAAATTGGGATGGATTTTTATACCACATGTTTGTGTCGTCCCATATACATATTTCTGTGTACAGTGCTTGTAAACTATACCAAGACTGGGCCAAATTTCTTATCATTTTGATGATTCTAGAACCTTGCAGTACAAACCAATACCTATGCTAGATGATCAACCTTTTCTGCTCGATTCCACACTGTTTCTTTTACAATGCAATCGCATGACCAGAACTCAACTTTATCTTTAAGTCATACTATCCTTGTGTAAAATAAAGTCTGTCAAATACTTAATGAACAAATTATGCTATATCGAGAGCAAAAGTCAAGAAATCTATTAAATTCCAGATTTTTCCTGTCACAAATAACCAATCAAAAATTTGTAATTTGTCATTAGATTGAGGTATAAGACTTTAAAAAAAAACTAGAATTTTTTTGTGACACAAAACAGCCACAACTTGTGGACAACGGGCATTTGAACAAAAAGAAATTTGTGCAAACTTGCAATATTCAGTTTTTGTATCAGTTTTCATTTAAGTAAATAGCCATGGGAGTTTATGGCTTCACAGTACAACGCTCTTTAAAGGTTTGTTTAGATATGGCGCTGTAAAACGCCGCAAAAAAGTTGCGGCAGTTTCTTGAACATGTAAATGAATTGCAACTGCGCACAACAAATGACTTGCACCCAATCCATTTATGATTACATTATTAAAAAAAAAAGATTCCCTGTGAATCACTCAACCACTGACTGAGTCTGCATTATTTAATCCTGTCTGTAGGGACAGCTGGAGACGGATTTGAAGGAAAATGGCTTAGTACGGAAAGCGGCCCCAAGCAGGCTGAAGAAGTAGCAGAACAGCAGAGACCTCAAACCAAAGACCTGTTCCCCATTCATACTTCAGAAGACTTCTTTTGCTTTCAATTTTTGAGCTCTGCAAGCAGACTTGTTTAGAGCGATGGGCAGATCTTTTTGTACGCTAGTTATTGGTGTTGATGTAAATGATGATAGTTTAAGTGTTACAGAGTACTTGGTTTACCCTTGATCCACAACTCAGCTCTCATGATTGGCATAAACTTTGACATTTCACCCTCAACTGTCAATTGGAAGCACCTATACTGAGTACTGAGAGCAAAAGGAATGTAAACTTGAATGCTAAATATCTAATATTGATTGGTGTAGTTGATTTTATATGGTGATTCTTCCTCAAAGATTTCTCTTTTAAACATCACTTTATTGATCAAACTTTGCACAATAAAGGAGACATAGTAGCACAGGACAAACCAATTTATGTGTAGTTACAGGGCACGAAAGACATCGTGGACAAAATACAGCATAAAGAACATATATTGTTATAAACCAAAAATCATACACACTCTTTGTAAAGGAATCAATTTAGAGAAAACACAAGAGCTAAAATATTCAGCTGTCAGTTTCAGTTTGTGGGGCAGTCTGCCTCAAAATGCTTGCGGAAGAGGAAAACCTCCATCTTCGCTTCTGCAGTTTTCAAGGAACCATAGTCATTGATCCCTATACAATTTGAGATGTGCTTTGCATTTGTATTTGTTGAGGGAGGGGTGGGGTAGTTATATTGTTCGCTAAAACTATCTGTTCTTTGATTGTACCCCTTCTATTGACAAAGTTTATGATCCAAACCTCTTTCATTGGGACCATGTGGGGGGGGGGGGGGGGGGGGGGGGGGGGGAGTTGAAGTCTATCTATTTCCAGGCGCGGATCCACGAGCCCAATTCTTTCGGCCCGGCTATGGCAAGCCCATTGTGTAAAAACTAGATAAACTCAGTTTATCAGAAAAACTGTGTTTATCAATGATAAACTGAGTTTACCAACTGATAAACTGAGTTTTTCTGATAAACTGAGTTTATCAACTGATAAACTCTGTTTATCTGTTGATAAACTGAGTTTATCTGAGAAAAACAGAGTTTATCTAGTTTTTACACAAAGGGCTTGCCATAGCCGGGCCGAAAGAATTGGGCTCGTGGATCCGCGCCTGCTATTTTCAATTCATGTCTCTGCAAGCTGAGGAAAGAAATGATAAGAAAAGAAACAGTCATGAAAACCAAAAGTAATTGGTCACATCTTTTTCTTTTCAAGATTTGAATAATCATGATTAAAAATTACTTAAGGTCTTTAATCGTCAGACAGTGTTTGTTGAATTTATCCACCTTGAAAAGTAAGTTAGCAATATTGATTGAATTGAAAATGCATTTTTCGTTGTTTTGAGAGTCACAATTTTTTATCATGGCAAAATTTGGTTAAAGGTGTGATATTAACAAATTTGTACAGTCCTTTGAGACTTCAGTACTGCCGTCATTATTGCTACTTATCATTATCATCATGAGATAAGAATTTTGGTCTACAGTTCTAGAAGACAGGTTGGTCTTTTAATGTTGTGCTTCTGAGTGAAACAGTGCCTTGTAGCACTTTCTACAGGACAATAAAGTTAAATAATGATGAAATGAAAATAATTTCTGTTTTGAAATATGATATCTTTGTATATCCCCAAGAGCAGATTCCATAGGGTGTTGTTGAAAACTATCAATAGGCCATTTTATATACTGGTAGTGCCTTTAAATTCAGTGCAAAAGAGTAGCGTGACATTTTCATTTTTAACTCCACAATACATGCTGCTTTTTTTGCTTATTTATTTTAATTCTTGTGTTAAAACGACTATTTCCTTGTGATAATCTCCATTTTGTTGGCATCAGATTGTGCTAGGTTGGACAAACCTTCTGCAAGCATTATTGGAGTCAGCAAAGCATGCATTGAAGTTTAAATACATTACCGGAATTGTCCATCTGAGACACCCTCTGTGAGCATCATTTCGTAATTGCTATTTGATTCAAATCGATCGAAACTCTTTATTGAATAGTGCCTTCGTTGATAAATTAGATCATGAACATGTATATGTACTAATATGAATTTTTTCATGTATTGCAGTATCAAGCTCTTCTGATAAGAAAGGTGTGCTCTGGCCACTAGAATGAACAGAATTCTCTCATTATATTTGAACAATTATAGAATTTAACACAAGCTCAAAACCGTCACTCGGAGGTTGTTATAAATTTTCTTTTTCTTTTTCAATCAACTAAACTCATCAGAGGAACTTCCCTAAGAAGCCAAAGTAAAGTGTTCAGCTTTTTTCCTCCTCTCTCTCTCTTCAGCTTTTACATCTTCACATAGAGTTTTCCAATTTAAATAGCACTCATAATACAAAGACATCAGTCTTAGGACATTTTTCTGTTTTGTATATACTAAGCAATTTTGAACCATAGCCATTTATATATCAATAGATTATTGTATATAGCTGCTCACTGGTATTTTAATATTGTTTCTAATGGAGATTCTTAAAATTGTCAATTGTATTGGTTTGCTTCTGCTCAGATGATGTCAAACATCTCTGTACTATTTTAATAATAACACAAGGGAAAAGAAGGGTTTGTATTACATAGATTATTATGTTCGCTAAGTTTGATATTTAACAAGATATTTTTTGTCTACTCACAAAATTTAGGATTGGGAACAAGTGGTGGTGGTTATTTTGCCTGACAGCTAAGAAAGCAATAAATGCTTGTTGGTAAGCAACCAGAAGACCCACGGCTTTAGGTCCTCTCCGAGGGACCTGGTAATGAGTATTAATGCCTTACCAAAGGGCACTAGGGCATCGACTTGGTTTCGAACCTGGGTCACCAGATTAGGAGACCACTGCTCTACCGACTGAGCTATACAGTATAAAACTGTAAGGTCTGTATTATACTTCTTGAGTTAAACCCGTCCGGGGTCTAAGATCAGGTTTATCAAAGGAAGAATTTAGACTTCAGACTGACTTCCTTTATCAAACCTGATTTTGACCCAAAGTGAAACCCAGCGTTAGGTTTAAACTTCACTTGAATACGGGCCCATGAGTTTTTTGTATTCACTTCTAATTTTTGTGTTTATTATTAAAAACACTTCACTTTCATGTTCTTCCATTCCTCATTTCTCCTTTAACATTTCTTTTGTTTTCTTTCACTTGCTCCCTTCCTCACTCTCATTTCTGAATTAAACACTTTTCATTGTCTCTTGTTTTCTATTTTCAATTACTTATACATGTATACTTATTTATATTTACACTGTAAATTATATTTTTGTGAATAAGGGGTATTATTTTTATTGGAATTATTTATTTATTCACCTGTTAAAGACATTTATTTCTCATATTACAATAATAATAACACTATTACTAGTAGTGGAAATAATTGTGTTTTACTTCTAACAACCATCAATTTTGTGATGCAAATGTATTTCTTTCTCTATATCTTAAACATTTATTTTGATTGTAAATTCAAAATACTACTGTCACATAATTTCAGATGTACTGTAATTTCTATTGAAATATATTAAATATATATTGTTTTGTATTGAACAACAGAGCATATTGTGTTTCTTTATCATGAGTCTAGTTACATTTGCATTTAATTTTTAATATAATTTTGTCCCTTCTGATTTGCCCTCTGCGCTTGATGTTGTCATGTCCCCTTCAGCGAAGTCCCTGCGGTATATATCTCGGTGACACTGTCTTACCGACTCCAAACCGACCGATAAGTTTGCCTTTCGGGAGAAAAAATTTGATGTCTGTCTAGTGTCGGTCTTGTCGTTGTAACTGGGGTACATATAGGGTGGTATTACGTCAATGTTTTAGTTCTTGCCCTTCCTGGGCTAGTTTTCGTCTCTGTATTTTGTCGAATGCCAGCTCTCCACCAGCAAATCCAATCTGAGTGGGCAAGACATCTTTCAGAGAAACAGCGATCCTGCGACAACGTCAGATAGAAAAAGGAGAAACCAATATTAGGAAAGACATGAATTTGTAGAAAAGAAGACGAAATTGAGATATTTGTTGAAGTCGATAACTTGTCTCTATTTCTTCTTCTACTTCTTCTTCTTCCTTCTTCCTCTTGCTTTTTCTCACTCTTTCTTGATCTGTTTCTTCTCCTTCTTTTCTTTTCATCTTCTGTTTTTTCCTCTTTCTCTTTCTTATTTCTTTCTCTTCTCTTCTTCTGCTTCTTTCCCTCCTTACTTCTTCTTCTCCTCTTTTGTTTTTCTTTTTACTCTTTCCCTACCCATCCTCCATAATCTATATTTTCCTTTCTCTCCATCTATTTGCGCTTTTCCATCATCTGTTCTTCATGTTATAATACTTCTTTTTTGTATTTTTTCCTATCCTTTTTTTTCTTTTCTTTGTTCTTCCTCCTATAATTGTTGTTTACCCTCCATATTCTCTTCTTTTACTCTCTCTCTCCTTGCTCCTGGAGCTTAAATCTGTTTTTCAGTCCCTTTTACTCAATATTATTCGTCTGAAAGTTGTTATTTTTTTATTTAAAAAAAAAAAATTAAAATATTTTTTTTTAATTTTTTTAATTTTGTTGTTAGCTTCTACTCACGATTCTGTGGGTGTACCCGTGGTCTCATTAAGATATTCGATCACGGCAGAAACGAAATGGTCATTCTTTATGTCATCCTGGAAGTCACCTACTCCGAAAACCTCCACTTTAACCACCTGGTCCATCACCTCACCTACAAGCATCTCGACATTGTTGCACAGTATCACTGCAACTCCCTAACAAGACGAAGAAGGAGAAGATGAGGAGGAGGAGAAGGAGAAGAAGAAGAAGATGAGGAGAAAGAAGAAGTTGATGGTAATGAAGAGGAAGAAACAGGAGGGGACGAAGAAGAAGAAAAAGAAATTTCATCAATATTTCTGCTCATGCTGGGGTAAGGTTACCTTTTTTATGTCCATTTTTTTTTTTAAATTAAAAAACAAAACAAAACGAAAAAACAAAGGGGGGATTCACCCCCCCCCCCCCTCCCCCTGCCTACGCGCCTGCTTACAGCAAAATAAATTATTTACCTTGAATGGCTTGTTCAGATGTTTGCAGACCAACTTGACCGTTTCTGCCAGAAAGTCGTCCGGGAAAGCTTGGCGAGGGCCATTGGTAGACACTATCACAGTCGGCATTTTGATAACGGACTAAATTTTTCTCACATTACCCCCTTCTCCCTGCCTAAGTACAATTAATGTCCCCGTCACAGCTCTTCCTCTTCCAACCTCAATATATGAGGAGATATTGACCGGGATATTGATGAATTTATTACATGTACCGGTAGTTTTTAAGTGATATTTGAGAATATGTGCATTTTCTAAGGTGCATGTTTCATAGCATCCGTTTAACCTTTGGCTATTTTATCACACTGATAATTTTACTGGTAGTACTATAACCTTCCTTGACGGAAAAGCTCAATTTCAAGCGTTACGGTGCAATTTCAGAGCATTTTCAATTTTGAACAATAGAATGTATATAGCCATTTTAATAAAATTGTTTAACAAAAATGATATCAACCGTTTATCAAAGCGATAAAACATTGTATTTTAAATAGCTTTGTAACGCAATGACCCAAGTTGGACGTTTGTCGTTCCGTTACAAATCATATTAAGCAGGCGCGTACGCAGGATTTTTTCAAGGGGGGGGGGGGGGGGGGGGTTTAACATTTATAAATCGGGCCGAAAATTTCGCAACGACTCAGCCAGCCGCTGAATAAGCGGGGGGGGGGGGGGGGGGGGGGGGTAAGAGGTCACTTTTTTTTTTTTTTTTTTGGTCCCAAAAAAATCGCAACGACTCAGCCGACCGCTGAATAAGCGGGGGGAGGTAAGAGGACACATTTTTTTTTTTTTTTTGGTCCCAAAAAAATCGCAACGACTCAGCCGACCGCTGAATAAGGGGGGGGGGGGGGGGGGGGGGGGGGGTCTCGAATTTGAAAAATTGACATTTTGCTCCGTTGGGGGGTAAGGTCAGCTTTTTTAGGTCAACCATGGATTTTTTTTTTTTTTTTTTTTTTTTTTTAAATAAAAAAAAAAAAAAAAATCTTTACATCAAATTATGAAATATGACTTAATATCAGGCGCGTACACAGGGGGGGGGGGGGGGTTTAGAGAAATTTAGGGGGGGGGGTTTACACACAAAAAATTACCAAAGGGGGGGGTTTAACCCCCAAACCCCCCCCCCCCCCCCCCCTGTGTACGCGCCTGATATTAAGTCATATTTCATAAATTTGATGTAAAGATAACCTGTGTGAAAACACCAGTCCTCATAATAAATTATATATGATATCATTATTTTTGATACATTTTTTTCCAATTTTATTAAAATAGGAGATGTGAATAGGATATGGAAGGGTTGCCTCATCTTCCTTCAGTCACCGCGCACCGCCCCTCCCCCATTTTTTTTTTTTTTTTTTTTTGGGGGGGGGGGGGCAATCAAGTGCTGCCACTGGCCCTGTTACGTCAATGATCACCAAAATGAAACCGGCAATTAAAATTTGTGTTATAAGTTATGATTATGATACCAAAGGTCAACGACGAGAACATTAATGCAGTGTTATAGTCTTCTAGTCAAGCATAAACGTAGGAAAGAGAAAAGAAAACACCCTTTAACGTGTGTATGTTTTAAAGGAATTTTGGGATGTACCTTTTTTTAACTGTGCAACGCTCCCAGAACAACGTGCTTTTAAAGTAAATGAGGCAAGTTTAGTCACAAATCATCCCGTTTAAAATTCATTTTTAATGATTAATTTTAGGTTTATGGTATTATGGTTTATCCATTTCTCAAAATGTTATTAATCAATCTAAAGAGTCATAAAGATTGATCAATAAAGTTCTGAAAAGATATAAACTTTATCTATCAAGACTAAATAATTGTCACAATCATTCATGAAAGAAGTCTTGACAAATCAATGCAAATTTATATGCAACATTTTGAGTTCAATATAATTACTTTCTAGCGCACAAGCACATTATTGTCGCCGCGTTGTGTGCATGGTCCCGCACCTCCCCTCTCTTCTCGATTATAATTACGCAGGCTCGGATTCAGGGGAAAACACTCGGTTGCTCAGACTAGGAGAGTCACACTCTAGTCTATTCTTGCATTAATTTTATACATGTAACTTGCTTGAATTCATAACAATCAAGAATTTCAGTGGGTGGGGGTTGACCCTCAACCCCACCTCCTCAAGCCCCCCCCCCCCCCCCCCCCCCCCCCCCCCCCCCCCCCCCCCCCCCCCCCCCCCCCCATATGGAAACGTTGTATCATCCGCTCAATCTGACTTGCGTGCATAGAACAAATAAGCATTTTTCCATTAAAAAGTGAAGTTTTCTAAAATGTGCGTTTCTTTCCAGCATTGGGGCGCCCGGAAGTCACTCGGGTAACATTTCATAAAGTATAATATAAAAAGACTATATGCAAATTTTCTGTACTTTTGTCGGAAAAAAATACATTTATCCAGCACAATGTCGTTTTTTTTTGCGTTGGAGAAGAGCAAATAGCGAGTTTCAATCACACTTTGGCCGCTCTCGCAAGCTCTCACTCGTTTCACTGTGGTCAAGAGACTTTGGGGCAAGCGGTTAATGAAAATACTAATCGTTAGCTTTCTTCTGGTATTAAACTTGTTTTGATTGATTGTATAATTTTGTCGGAATAAAGGAAACAAAAATGCTCGACCAACAACTCATCAGCGTCTGAATTGACCTTTTGACCTTGAATTCCCTGATGCAAGCGCACTAATGACGTGATCTTTGCTAAATCGGTGTCTTTTATCGTAAAATGCGACACTTTCACAATGTTTATACATCTTTTTTTAATTATTAGTAAGATATAACATATTTTTTCTGATATCACTGAAGTTTTGGGTTTCATTTAATAAGTAATTTTTAAATAAGAGTCATTTTATTGTTTTAATTTAATGGATCGTACCATTAAAGTTGCAGGGTAGAAAGATGCATTTTCCAACCGCGCCAAATTTAATTTACGTTCCGACATTATGTTAAATGGGTTCGTGTTGTTAAGAATCCACTGCTTTCTGCTCCAACAAACGTCCACATGCGGAGTCGTTTATCAACTAAATTATTCAAATTTATGAATGCTTCCTAGCTTCCCAGGTGTTTGTGTTGCTGTTGAAGCATTTCATTCACCTGCTATCATTCTTTGTACTCCAATTGCCAGAACGCAAAATTTCATTTTGGTTTTATAGTTTCATCGGAGTCGTTTATCATATATATGTATTCAAATTTATGAATGCTTCCTCCCCAGGTGTTTGTGGTGTTTATGCATTTCATTCACCTGTTATTATTCTTTGTACTCCAATTGTTAGAATACAAAATGCATTTTGGTTATATAGTTTCATGCAATAAGTAAGTCAATAAAAGAGTATGTTCTGCACAATAAAAACAATGTGTGTCCCTATTGTACAATGTAATGTGTCCCCTCATTTTGTAATAGTTAATTTACCCATTCACATAATGGAACTACCTGCCCGATGAAGCCATGGCCTGTGACCCCTGAGCACTCAACCCCGTGTGGGAGTCAGTTCGTGCTCATATTCTTTTATGAGACAAATACAAGCAAACGTTTCCATATGCCCCCCCCCCCCCCTCTAATGGCGGCAATGTCTCATCCCGTCCACTCATCCCCAACCGTGATTCCTTTTCGTGTGAATCACATGAAATGTATTATGTATTTCTTATCGAGTATGTAATGTCTACGTGAAGTTTAGTCATAAACTATTTCAAGATGATGAAAATGTCTTTTTTTTTGTCTCGCATGCAAAATTATTCAACAAAAACCGCTATCATACCCAGTTAAAGTGATGAGGCCTATGCGCAATTTCCGTTCAACGTCTGAATATAATTATGTGGGTATATTTATTCCTGGCATATTTTGATCACCGGGTTGGTTGGAATTCATTAAAGCGCAATTAAATTTTGCTGTACACTCTTGTTTTGTTTTCGTTTGATTTTTCATCACAGCGCATTGTAGTATATTTACATGGCACACGTTATATAAATCAATCTAATTGTCATCTTTACATCACGATTCAATCTTAACATTTAACTTTTAAAACTTAAACTTTCCGAACACTGAATGTAATGTAAGCAGTATCTATTTATATACATGAAGAAAAACAAAGTTAGGTGACGCTGTAATGATTAAATGAATAAGAGGGTGTATGAGAGGGGGAGAGAAGGGGAAAGAAGGAGGAAGAGAGAAAGAGAGAGAGAGAGAGAGAGAGAGAGAGAGAGAGAGAGAGAGAAGAAGAGAGAGAGAGAGAGAGAGAGAGAGGGTGGAGATAAAATTGTGAGTGCTTAGTGGCGGTATATTATCACATTCACGGGAATGCCGTGTAACCTCAATAGCATTTGCTCCCCCTTTTCTGGCAAAACGTATATATCTGCCATTTTATTGATTCTCTTTTTCAAAATAAAAGCCTTGGTTCATGGTTCACGAGTTTTTGTATATACTTTTTAAAGAAATATACCATAAACACATACAGGAAAGCGATTAAAATCTCGTTATAGCTTTCACTTTCCATTCATCGAACATTTACAAAGGGAGAGAGAGAGAGAGAGAGAGAGAGACTGAGAGAGAGGGGGAGATGGGAGGTTGGAAAGGGAAAGGGGTAACGTAACGCGAATATGATTATGATGAGACCTCCCTCCACATAAACTTTCTCCTCACCCTATATGGCCTTGCTCTCTAGCACCCACCTATAAGATGGTGCCCCCTCCTCGTCGACCCCTATACACCCTGCCCCACCCAACCCCAACACCAGTACTCCGGCCCTATGAACTCACGCTATGCCACTGCCCTTTAAAATATACGTAACTGGATTCTATTTTCACTCTTCCCCTTCTTCGATCTCTTTGCTTTTCTTTCTTATGTGCCTGCAAACTGATCCGACCCGATCCCTAGATAAAGACAAATGCCCGGATATCAATATATCGTCCTAGGAGGGAAACACTTGAATAAGGGAAGCGCCGTCGAGGCTAATCATCCATAAATGCTGGTATACCAGTAAACAGGCTTGATTTCAAGAGCAGTCATAAATAGCTTTACAAAATACTCGCATACCGCAAGAATTGTTGGTACTCATCAGCCACGTCGGATCAATTGTTGTTGGGGAAGAGCAAGTGCATATATAGGTCATATCAGGAAACTGTGCGAGTCATTTTTTTGTATTGTCAATCCCGAGTTCGCGTACAGCATAGAGCGGCTGATATATTTGAAGCATATTAAAGCTATAGTTCTACAACTCCAGTTAGCACTCTTAAAACATGCCTATCATCGAATTCGTCACCAATGTCCCCGTCGAGCAGTTTCCCGAAGGATTCGTGGCCCGAGCCGCTACCAAAGTATCAGAAGTCCTGGGAAAACCACTGCCTGTAAGTTTCCTGCAATCGTCATTTTTGTTTCTACGAAAATTGATACAGAAAACAAACGTTTAATATTTTCAAGTATTTGTTTAATCTCACATTTTGAAAATGAAATGTACATGTATACACCCACGCGATGAGGTTCAACAACATTAGTGAGCAAGCGAGCGAGGGTCTTTGAAGGCGCAGCCCCTTCCCGAATGGGTTTACTGAAGGGGGGGGGGGGGGGGGAAGGGACTGACATTCGAGGAAATCATTTTTGTTTAAAGACCAGGGGAAGGGTCTGTGATATTTTCCTATTTGGAATAGAAAAACTTAACATTCTAGAGGGCTTCAGATACTAAACGGTGTTTCGTAGTATTTACCAATTAGTCGCTATGAAACTATTCTGTTTACACGGTTTTCAAAATTCAGGGGGAGGGGGGGGGGGGGGGCGTTCCCTGTTGAGAATCTTCCGAGGAACGCGTTTCCCTGCCCCTACCCCCACCACCCGCGTCGCACCTGAGTTTGATTAAGTACTGCGTAGTTTTTGTGTTTTGGTCTTTATAATAATCTTAATTATGATTGTTTTAACCAAGTGAGCTATAAGGATTATGAAATCGCAAATTATCCGCGATTTTTTCTTCGTGTACCCACGTCCGTCTATATGGCATGGCGCATCCGGCTAATAGTTTCTGATTTCAATTTAAAGGTTGGTCGGTGATATAGCAGAACAATTACAGGAAATAAGTTAGTGTGAAAGCTTGAAATGAACAACATTAATGTTATAAAATATGATTTTAGGAATGTTGAAAACGTATGAATACAAAATTGATGACTTAATATTTATGACCCATTCAATTGTGAAGTATTTGCGGAAAAAAACTCTCATTTGCAACTTGCTATGAAGTTTGGATCTGTACTTTCATATCTCTTATCAAGGTCATGCCCTTATTCACACAACCCTCTTTTCTCATGCTACCCGCATATTAAAAGGGCTTTCTTTAAATGTCTTTTGTTAGCTCACGAATGATTGACAGATGATGTCACAATATGAATGGGGACATCTTTTTAAGGGTGGATCTTAGCCCGGGAGTATAGCATGTAGGTCTGTGAAAATTATTCTAAAAAATAGTTAAAAATCTATGAAATATATTAAGATGTTTGAATAACAAAATATGAGCTGTATGCAGCCCTGCTCATCAACAGGAATCAAGTTACATCTAGATGTCACTCGACCTTTAAAGTGAATAGTATCCACACACGTGTATGTATCCAGACTGACAAAGCCCTATAAATCCCGGAATATTATTATTATCATTATTATTATTATTAGTAGTAGTAGTAGTAGTAGTAGTAGTAGTAGTACATGTAGCAGTAGTATAGTAGTAGTAGTAGTAGTACATGTAGTAGTAGAAGTAGTAGTAGTAGTAGTAGTAGTAGTAGTAGTATAGTAGTAGTAGTAGTAGTAGCAGCAGTAGTAGTAGTAGTAGTAGTAGTACATGTAGTAGTAGAAGTAGTAGTAGAAGTAGTAGTAGTAGTAGTAGTAGTAGTAGTAGTAGTAGTAGTAGTAGTAGTAGTAGTAGTAGTCGAGTGGTTTAAACACTTGACTTGAAATTCAATGGTCGTGGTTCGATCCCCGACACGGCACTTATTCCTTTGGCAAGGCATTAATCTACCCAGGTGAGGTAAATGGGTACCTGGCAGGAATTGATTCTATTGCTGGAGCGCTGTAATGGCAGCTAGGCTAAAGCCAGGATAATAATAAATACCCCTCGGAATAGAATTTTTAGATAGACGCGCTATAGAAATGCCTATTATTATTATTATTGTTACAATTGTTACTATCTTTTTTTTATTCAGGCCATTTCGATCTCGTTACGTCACGAGGCCATGTTCCGAATGGGCAGTGATGCCCCCTGTCTAATGATCTTCGCCGCAAGCGTAGACAACTTTCTGGATCAGGAGGACAACAGGAAGTACTCCAAGGAGCTCATCGACTTCGCCGCCGCCGAGTTCAACGTCCAAATCGAAAGGTTAGAATTATTTTGTCTTCTTCTGATTGTTTACATTGTTTTTATGCCCTGCATCTATACCAGTGATTTTTTTCTTGGGTCACGTATATTGGGTCGAGGCAATGAGGGGGCACTGGGGTCATGGGGAGGGATCATATCGTCATCTTCTCACATCCCCAGACAACCGTATACCTTTCTTCTTTGTTTCTTATTTCTAATTCTCTCTCTCTCTCTCTCTCTCTCTCTCTCTCTCTCTCTTCCTCTCTCTCACTCTCTCTCTCTCTCTCTCTCACTCTCTCTCTATCTCTCTCTCTCTCTCTCTCTCTCTCTCTCTCTCCGATGGAAGCATGCCCTCCCCATTCCAGTATAGCTACGCCAGTATTAGGCTAGAGTTTTAAAAAAAAAATGCATTTCTTTCATGGCGGAAATGTAGGGGACTTGTTGCAAGGGTCACCATGGAAGCCCTTTATTTAAAAGGGACTTTTATTGTGAACTTATATCCATGTTCAGAGATAGAGTCTTATAAACTTACATTTTCAAATCGAAACATGCTTAGTAAACGCCTTCTACCTTTTGCGGAATTTATAAATATATAGGCCTATATATACAGTTAACAACTAAATTATTCATACCAGGGGGGGGGGGGGGGGGTTTAGAGAAATTTAGGAGGGGGGGGGGGTTACACACAAAAAATTACCAAAGGGGGGGGGGGGGGTTAACCCCCCAACCCCCCCCCCCCCCCCCCCCCCCCCTGTGTACGCGCCTGATTTGTAATTTTAAGTATGTGAAAAATCTGATTTGTACCGATTTATATTCCTTGAGAATGTGACTTATAATGGCTTACATTCAGAAATATTCAACAAAGGCTCTAATTCGACTAGTCCACCTTTCATTCTTTGATTACGAAAAACACATACAACATCAAATTAACAAGGGTCAAGGGGTGTGAATAGATTATTGTTAACTATATACACTGTATATCTTTTACTCCTTTACTCCACCTTCTTTTTCTCTTTCTCTTTATGTTTGCCATTTGCTTCTTTTTCTCCGTCTTTCTTCTCTTCTCCCTATTCTTCTTTTATTTTTTGCCCCATCCTCCTCCTTCTTTCCTGTTTTCACTTTTTTTAAACTTTAACTTTAATATTTTATCCTTCCGCAAATAAGAGGTATACATGTTACATCCTATCCTTCTCCTTCAACTTATACTTCCGCACCTCCTCATTTCCCCCTCCCCATCCGCCATCTGCATTTTGTCTTCTTATCTTTTGTTACCCCATCCTCTTATTCCTCATTGACAGATTTTTAATTTTTTTTTGTAATTGTATTTCATTCTGTTTATTTTTTATGTCATTTATACTTCTTTCATTTTTCCTTCATTTCTCTTTTTGTTCTCTCCAGAATCAACCTAATAATGCAGACCCTATCTCGGTGGCAGATCGGTCTCCCTAATGGTGTGCTTCTCGGCGATAGGATGAAACAGGCCAAATGAAGCTCACATTTTTGTTTTTGAAAACAAAAACACACAGGACCCCAACACACAGGACACAAGACCCCCAACGGAGCACGCACTCCGCCACTGCAATTTACGAGCACAATCCCCGGGGATACTCAGATTTGGATTGGACGGGATGTGCCGCCCCCCCCCAAAAAAAAAAGACAAATTGCTCACAATTTTCGGGTGTGTTTTGGGTGTTTGCAAACACCTGAAAATGTTGCAAATTGTGTAAATTTTGAAAAAACGGACCCATTTTTAATGGTGTTTTTTTGTTTAAGTGCTGGGACCCATGTTTAGGGATTTTTCGCGAAAAGGCACACCCTCGTATGTCCTAATATGTGAGTACCCCCGCCCCCCCCCCCCCCCCCCCCGGACACAACCACACGTTTTGCCGCACAAACACGGGCAATTACTAAGACACAATTTTATCGCATATGCCTACACTTAACAAAAATAACCCCATAATATTTCAATAGACCTACTGATCTGTACAAAGATATAACACTGACACATTTTAATACTTCGATCAGGATTTTAATTGGCAGTACAAAAGCAAGGGGTAAAGAAATTGGCCTTGATTTGATTTCTTGAAAGTCTATGCGACCGAGTTTAATTTTTTTGTTAATGTCATGTTTCCCAATTATTGTCGTGAGATTTTGTAGGCCTACTCCGTCGTAATTACTGTACGTTTTTAATTATTTAATTGCCATGTCCAATCAATATTAGTTATGCAAATAGTTTACAAAATATTGAATGATGCAATATACACTGACAAAAGAAGTATAGTTATGTATATAGCATATCGAAAGTATCACATCAATTTTTTTTATGTAGCTTTTGTTCGATTTTTGTTCGATTGTTGTCCTCGTCTTTTATTGCTTATTGCTTTTCTATGTTTAATGCCTGTTATTTTATTTTGCACAAAATAACATAATTTTGTAAACGAGATAAATATAAATTTGTGCAAGTCTAGCGGATTGGATAGCCCATTTCTTGTAAATGCTGATGTCTATAATAATTTTTAAATAGTTCAGAAATCATCTGTAACTAAATTGTATGTTGACTAAAACATTTGGTTTTATGCAGATAAAAACATGCGTCACATGCCTTGATTTGTTTCCTTTTTTGTTGTTGATTTATAGTGTAGACTAAGTGTTGGAAATGAGTGAAACCACTAGTGAGAGACTGAGAGAGATAGAGGGAGAGAGAGAGAAAGAGAGAGAGAGAGAGGAGAGAGAGAGAGAGAGAGAGAGAGAGAGGGGGAGGGAGAGAGAGAGAGAGAGAGGAGACAAGGGAGGGAGGTGTTGATAACGACACAGAGAGCAATTACTTACATTGCCTTTACTAATTGAATTAGTTCAAGCAATGTTATTTTGATGTTTAGTAGACACATGTAGTAAAAATAATGTTATTAGTATGGCAATGTTCCGATCATCCTTGTATTTTATCCCATCACAATATAAGAACAAGACCACACTTAAAGAAATCGCTCACCCTCAGAGAACCACCTTAATTATTGATGATATGGTTTAATCTATCGTCTAATAATGAGATATAATATGACTTGACTTGTACGAAGGCGACTTTCATTATACAAACAAAACTTGCTTACTTTTTATAAAAACAAATTGAATCGTCTTATATCAAAATTTCTATTATGATATTTATATTTCCACACCAATCTGAAATATTACTCCTGTGCTAAATTGAGTAACTTGGGAGCAGTTTTCAGTGATTTGCACTGCTAGCTCTTTCATGAATTATTTTCCATTTAGATTTTCCTCCGCAAAGATACCATAGTCAACGTCATCAATTCTTGCTTTGGAAGGGGGCGTGTAATCGCAATTCCACGGCCAGGCCCGGGGAGCTACCGGCGCAGATTCTGCCACTGCACTCCGCCGCGCTGTCCTACCCGGGCCTGCATGCTGCCGCCGCAACACCAGTTCCTTTCCAACGAGCTCGATGATAGTGCAGTCACAATTCACCTTTTAATTACAACCTTTAAATTTGTGTCCACTTCCAAATGTGTTCTGCTTCGCTGTATTATTAAGGTTAGTCATCAAGGAGTTTCACAAATGAATATCTAGATCTAAATTCTAAATCTAATTTGTCAATGATTCATTATCAGATTAGATCTAGATTATTATGGTTAGAATCTAGGTATGTAATTGTAATTTGTATTTTTTGTGATTGGGGGGGGGGGGAATAATTTAAACAAAGTATGATGGGGGATGGGGTGTACTGTCTGGACACTTTAAAAACATAAAGCCTTGCGCCTTCGAAGTTCAAATTTGCCTTCGAATTTGCCGAAAAATATTCACCCGATCATTCAGCCTTTTTATAGGGATAGCGCTATCATGGATATTTAGTAGTTTACTTTACTCTGTAGAATGTAGTAGTAGTAGGCTTAATAATAAATAAGGGTCCAACGTAACTTCATAAAAGTATAACTCTAGTCTTGACTCTTGGTAGACTGAAATATTGTCTGGAATTTATTTCAAATTTCTGTTTTAAATCAACTGTCTGGACTCTGCACGAAGAACTTTAGCTTATACATTTAGCGCATGTGCATATCGTTCATCCAAGCTCAGCAAATCGCAGCCTCATTTTAATTAATTGGACGTCTCGTACGTCACGCAGCACATTAATTGCATCAAAAATTAATTAAAGAATTGGTCAGAACCAAAAACTTTCCACAAATGACCTAGCCCATAATAGCCACAGACTCGTACCAAAAGATAGCCATGTGAATAATTTCATATGTTCTTAATTCTTGTTTAAAGTCTCTGAATGTCCCATACGTCACAATCCAAATAGCTTGGACCTGCCCAAATACGGACCAATCTCTAAACCTAGGCTATACCTTAGTGTTAGGCCTACAACATGAGAATGATTGCTTTGTGAAAGTTTGTGGATAATTGTCTGTACATGTACATGTACTAATTTTATATTTCATCTTGCAGCTGACTAACGATAGTAATGGATACTGTAAGCAAGAAGCTTTCTCTGATGTTATGGAGCCTCAACCTGGTGTTGCTGTTCTCACAAGTCTTCGGATCAGAATCCAGGGACATTGACCCCAATGGATATGTAGTCTACTGCCCCTGCATGGGTAGGTTTGATAGTACACAAATAATTCAGGTTTGCGAGTGCATTAATGAGCATGCACCGGCTAGGTCAAGTCACAGTAAGATAAAAAGACTAGTCCAGTTCATTATCCAGCTAATTGTGACTTCATCAAGTGCGGTGCATATTACTTATGCACAAGATCAAAACATAAATTGTTTGATTTGTAACATTTGGTTGGCAATATGAATATTAAGTCGAGAAAGAAGCAACAAACCTGTTCCCCATCTTATAAAGAGCTGCAATTGATTTGGATCAATCGCAAGTCCTCCAATCAATCACAAGTTTATAGTCTCCTATCTCTTATGTACAGTGTACATAATTACGATCGAATGTCTCAGCCTCCGGGAGATTACTCAACAACCATAGTTCGTTGATATTTTTAATAAGCATCGATGGAAGCAACAATTTGCATTTTGGCCAGAAATTTTAAGTACTGTATGACATACATATAACCAACTTCATGTATACATTTCTAATATAAAAAAAACTATACAGATATTCACACAGTTCTAGCACGGCTCTTTGTGTGATCACCATTTTAAAGGGATCCTCAAAATAGAAAAAAAAAGAAATCCCCTTTCTACTTTTTTTTCTTGATCATTGACTGAAAGTCTTTTTCTTCTTCATTTTACCAGGTCGTTTTGGTAACCAAGGAGATCATTTTCTGGGAGCTCTTTCCTTCGCCCATGGTCTGGACCGAACTCTTATTCTTCCACCATGGAATGAATACCATGTCCAAAGACATGGACAGGCTGTAAGTTATCCTTTTCAGGGCAGGTTTTTTTATGAGGGTTAAAAGTGATCACATTTCTTCTTCAAGTTGGCAACAATTATATAATTTTATTGATATTGTTACATTGGAGATCCAGAACTGGAATGGACTAAAACTGCAAGAGTGCACCAGAATAGCAGAAGATAGAGTGAAATGGAGAGATGTTGCAATCAACCTTCGAACCGGGAGAAGATACTTAGATAGATAGACATTGTTCTAATAAAATATCCATGTGTCTCTCAAAACAGAAAACAACATCCATAATTATAAGCTATGTTGAAAAGTTTCTGGCTTCAAATGCAATTTTGCAAAGAAAGAAAAGTGGATACCATGTGTACAGAAATGTTCACCCTTTCCTCTCGTTCATGTGTTAAATATTTTTAGGGATCTGAATCAAAGATTAAAAATGCAGCTTGTCTTGAAAGGGTAGTATTAATATAGCACATTGTCCACAAAATTGCATGACACGATCTTATATTTGTGTGTTTTTTCATCGAGAGAAATAATATTTTTTAAATTGCACGCCTCATTGAAAACTGTAGCATTTCCAGATTCTAATTCCCTATTCTATTCTCTTGCGTTTCCAGGTTCAAATTCCCTTTGACAAGTACTTCAAGGTTGACCCGCTCCGTGAATATCACCGGGTCATCACGATGGGGACCTTCATGGAGGAGTTAGCCCCGTCTTTGTGGCCAGAAGGGAAACGTACAGGTATGCAGGCGGTCTCTCAATAGACCGACTACTTTTTAAATTATATTTTATACTCAGACTGACATGAAAACATATGCTCCAGGGCCTGCCCCAGGGCCTGCCCCCCCCCCCCCCCAACTCCGGGGTCGGAGGGACTGCATTTGTGTTCCCAAAATCTCTAGTAAAGGCATACTTTTCACGCAACAAAGTCCGGCCCGTATTGACTTTACACACCAAAGATAGAGGGGTGCTTTCAAAGGGAGGGAACATGCATAAGGGTACCCTTAATAATACTGAGGGGGGGGGGGGGGGGCTCCAGGGCTGGTATTCAGTTCAATACATACAGTATAGCAATCACTTATTTCTTGCATTTCTATTATTGACTTACAATGATTGCACTAGTCAGAAATCTGTCAGGAAGAAAAAATTGAGCTCCCCCCCCCCCCCCCCCGTCCCTCCTTTAACAGCCCAGTCAGATTTAAAATCATTAGGACAGAGGTGGATTTGTGGGGTGGAGGTTTCCTGATCTAGCTGATGTTAATATTATTATTGTTATCATTATATTTACTATCTTTATTGTTGATGTTGTTATATAGAGATGATGAGGCAATTTTTTTTTCTTCTTCTAGGATTGTGCTACTATTTCAGAGATGGAAAAGACTGCAAGATGAAAGAAGGCAATCCGTTCGGGCCATTCTGGGATAACTATGACATCGACTTCAACAAATTTGCAGAATATAGTCCGCTTTCCTATAACACACATACACCGGGTGTACGAGGAATGTGGGAAAAAAAGTATGATATCATCATCTCTTGAAAGGGACACTTGTCATGAAATGTGCTTAGAATTTGAATATTATTTGTCTAGTGTTTGTGTTATATTTGGCTTTGAGGCACTACGAGCATGGTGGCGGTGAAGAGCTTCATGTAAAGTAGATTGTCAATAGAACTAATGTTCCAAACTACACGTTCCTCTATTTTTCTGAAAACGTGTACAGAAAAAGGAGACATATTTACTGAAGACTACATTTCCAAATATTAGCTTTAAGGGACTACGAACATGATAGCGGCAAGAAGATCCCTGATGAACTTGGGAAATGCTTTGAAGTCCAGTGTCAAAATCTTGTAGGTCCTGGACAAAAATTTAGGTGTATTACCATTTGGTACTTGGTTTAATCTGTAATACCATCTCTGCATGTAGAGCCTGAAGGACATTAACTCTCTGTAAAATAACTGTTGAATTTACTTCCTCTTAGTGTTGCTACATCATAGCTACCAACTTTTCCTTCAAATGATTCCTGATTTTTGGCCTTCAAACAATTTAATATATTTTGTATGCCTTTAAACTAGTGATGTAAACTATATATGTTCCCATGTACAAAAAGCAGACATATACTCTAGACTACATTTCCAAATTTTACCTAGAATAGTTCCTATTGGAAGGATGGCAGGTATTAAAGCTGTAGCACAGTTGCCAACCATTCTCATTTTGGAGGAATGATTCATATCTTTCAGCTGTCAAAGTAATGTTATGAATCCGAAGATTCCTTTCTTTTCCAAAAACTATTGGGTAAAAGCATACTGAATAGATTGTTTTTCTAATTTTGCTTTGAGAGATGCCTAATTTGAGCTATGGAAGGTTGGCCGGTAAGCTGTAGCAAATTAAAGCTGCCAACCAATCCCATTTTGGAGGAATGGTTTTAAATCTTGTGGCTATCAAAGTAACGTTATGAACTGTAGATACCTCACTTCTTCTGCAACTGTAACAGCGTACAAAATACATTGTTTTTCTTATTTTTCTTTGAGAGATTTCTAATTTTTGATATTGATCTCTTTTGGATAATCCAGATTTCCAGTTTCAGAGTATCCAGTGATTGCGCTTTCCGGGGCTCCAGCTGGCTTCCCGGTGACACGGGAGAACAGAGAGCTCCATCGGTATCTGCACTGGTCTGAAAAAATCGAGCAGCAAGCAGATAAATTCATTGAAGATAATCTCTCAGAGGGACCATTTGTTGGGGTGCACATGCGACAAGGCTCAGACTGGGTAAGCAAAGTATTAAGCCTCGGTCAGATATATATGAGGCAGTAACCGCAGCATTTCAACAACAACAAAAAGTGAGGATTTAACCCTATTCTGACTGGGCTTTTTTAAAACAAATTTTGACTGGATTGTAATTGAAACGATTCATTAATAAAATCTTGTTGCGGCAAAAGGATGAATTGCATAATCTTTTACAGATTAAAAATAAAAAGTACATGTATATGCAATCATGATAATCATAACATATATGCACACAATTATATAAGACCATACTAATTGAATAATTGGTATTAAAAGCATCGTTTAACAATATTAAATCTGAGATAATAACAATAATAATGATAATAATAGTGGCTTCTTATGTAGCGCACATGTCCGTCACATTGTGACACTCCTGTTATCAGTGTCTGTGATATGGTGTAATATTGAAGCCCTAGAAATTGCGCTTCAAAATGATCAAGAAATGCCTCAAAAAAGTAAAAATCTTTGAGTGATCGGTTTTTACCATACTCATTTTCCCCAGTAGACTGTAGTGTTACGTTTTTCAAAATTTGTAATTCCAATCATAAATAACTTGATAATCAGACAGGTGATCGGCTTGTAAAAGTCATGGGGTTCCTGACTGACCTACAGTTTATAATTATCATTGCAGCATGAGCTAAATCCAGGATTTTGTTTAAGAATCTGAGACAAAGTTACTGGATCCCTTTAAACTAGACATTTGGGATTTGAGTAAAATATGATGTTACATAATTGAAGTGAAAACATATACGGTAGGTGTAGGCATAACAGGAACATGGTGCTCTTTCTAATCACAAATCGTTTTTGTCCATTGGGTTTGAAGGAAGATTGATGGATTGTAATATGCAGCTATATGACTAGAAAAGAGAAGTGATGCAGATTAAAAAACATACCACAACTGCCTGATGCATTACTTTGTAATTATTAAAAGTATTCTCTAATTTCAGAAGTATTTTATATTGATATCAGAAAATAAGTTTAAGTTTTGCTTCGTGGCTGTTTACATGTATTCTCACTATTCTCTTAATCCACATAGATTAATGCATGCAGGCACGTAAATAGCACAAAGCAGCTCTTTGCCTCACCCCAATGCCTTGGTTACCAAAATGAATTTGGCGACTTGACAGACGACCTCTGTAACCCGTCGTTTGACCTTGTCAAAGAACAGATTAGAGCTGTCGTCAAAAAGATAAAAGCTAAGGGGGTGTTTATCGCATCTGATGTGGAACCGGACATCAAGGCCCTGAAAAAGTTTCTGCCTTCAAAGGTAATAACAATGAAGAAATTGTATTCATCTATTTATTTATTTACATAACTGTTCATTTCATTCATTCATTCAGTCAGTCATCATGTCATTTAAAACAAATATGTATTCATTTATTTGTGTATTTATTTAGTTATTTATTTATTCATTCATTAAAAACATAGATTGACAGGATGAAAAGATATGCTCAAGGTTTTTGCATTTTTGAATTCCTGTAGCATAAGAAAATACAAAATCATAGAGTTAACAAGACAAGGGATAATGAATTGAATAATAAACATAAGATAGGATATAATTTGAAGAGCTGATTTGTGATGCTTTGGATGCAGTCAGAAAACTGAGAACAAAATGAGAAAAGTTCTTGTACCAGTGAACAAAATTTATCATTTTGGTAGAATCCTCCTTTTTTAAAAGCAGCTGAATGCAGTTTTTTTTTGCTTGCCTCATTTAACCCTTTTCATTTGTGTAAAATATTTTACCTCCTCTTAATTTTTTTAAACTGGTCATTCATAATTCAGAAGAAAAAAAAATAAAAAAAATATTGTTTTGATTTTGCTTGCATGTTGTCCAACAAGAATTCGAAGGAACTAGAAAGTTGATTATCTTCTGATTCTTTCAAAACTCATCTCAAAACATTCCTTTTCAAGTCTTGATCGTTTTTCCTGTTTACACGCGCCTTGAGCACTCCACAGAGTGGATTTGGCGCGGTATAAGTTACATTATTATTATTATTATTATTATTATAATTGCTATAATGCATGCTTGAAATTGAAAGTAAATTCATACACATGTGTGCATTTTGTTTAAAGACTAATGTATCAAGAATTTTACTATCAACTATCCTACGATTTATGTTGAGAATTTAAGCTTAGCAGTTTAAAGATAATGATTAAAGAAAGTGTATACATTATAAAGAATGTGAGATTTGATTACTGGTAATTAAGAAACACGATATGGTAAAAATAATGGTGCCTATCACCTGCTTTATGTATAGGATATCCATATACAAATATATGATTTAGTGTGTATCTACAATATCATTATTTTATTTTGATTTTCACCCATTCAGGTCAAGGTGGTCCAACACAAACCATCTAATCCACACGTTGACCTCGCAATTTTAGCCAAGTCTGATCATTACATCTGCAACTGTATCTCGTCATTTTCTGCGTTTGCGAAAAGAGAGAGGGACGCAGCAGGCAAGCCCTCATCCTTCTGGGGATTCGGGGAAGACTACGAAAAGATTAAGAAGAAACAATCAAAGAAATCCCCCGATGAGTTATGAGGACAGCTACACTACTTAAATGAAACCAAAAGCATAGTTTGAACAGTGTATAGAATAGTGCGGACATTCTGTGGAAATGCTTTGACACAGTGTGTTCAAATTTGCAACAGGATGATTTTTTAAAATATAATTCATTCTCTTTGGTTTTTGCTTAATACGTAACTTCACAGTTGGACTGGGAAACCAGACACATTATGTCACACTTTTGTCACACAGTGTTAAAACTAAAGAAATGTGAAGCCAGTTTGAAAATATTAGAGACACGTTGTGTTTAAATTGTTCAAATGTTCCAGGTCTACACTTTTCATATTGCTTTGTGTATACACTCTGAGTTACATAGTGTTACTCTTAAAGATAAAGACCAGTAATGGTCATGCGATTGCATTGTGTAAGAAACGGTGTGGAATCGATCAGAAAAAGTTGATCATCTAGCATATAAGTATTGCTGTGTACTGCAAGGTTCTGGAATCCTCAAAATGATAAGAAATTTGGCCCAGTCTTCGTAAAGTTATAAGCACTGTACACAGAAAGATGTATATGGGACTATACGCACACGTGCGCGACACATGCGTTTATCTCTCACAGGCCAATAGATAAACTAATTTACCAAATATATCAATTATTATGCGGTTTCCCGGCAAAATTTTTATCATCATGTATTAGTCAAAACAAATTCTTTCACATGATTGGTAATAAGAGCTTCATTTTCATTTTTTGAATTTGGGGCATTTCCAATACTGGTCTTTACCTTTAAACTGTGTTCAGAGTAGTTCACACTTCGCCATAGTTTCACTGTGGCCAGAGTAGTTCACACTTTTCCATTGTTTCACTGTGGCCAGAGTAGATCACACTTTGCCAATGTTTCACTGTGGCCAGAGTAGTTCACACTTTTCCATAGTTTCACTGTGGCCAGAGTAGTTCACACTTTGCCAATGTTTCAATGTGGCCCGAGTGAATCACATAATGCCACTGTATTTGCTATGGTCAGAGTGGTTTATCTACCGTGTCACTCTTTCACTGTGGCCATAGCAGCTTACACTGTACAACTGTGGGAAGAGTAATTACCTTTGTTCATATCACACTGTAGCCAGTTTGAAAAAGAGTGTGAACACTGTGAATACTGTGTCTTGTTTTGTGGACGATATTGAAGCATTTTAAATTTTCAGCTGATGACAATATAGTTTTTCCAAGAGGTTTATTTGTACATGTAGTTGTATTTCATGAAAGATATGTGGGTTTACAGTTTTTTCTTATTTATCTTCATACCACAAGCCAGAAGTGCCTTTGAGTTATACATACTATTTTTTCCATATTTGGTTTTGTCCTATTTTCCATGATGTTATTGAAGTATGAAAGAAATATTTGTGTAGTTTGTTTTGTAGCATAAAGTAAAGTAATACTATTATTCATCAGTTCATGTTTTTTATTGTTCAAGTGCACCATTTATCATTTTATAGTTCAAGTGCACCATTTATCTATGTCTTCAATTTCATGACAGAAATATATTTTGATACTGATGCTATTTGTGATAGTTAATGTAGAATGAATACCAGTAGACAATTTACTTGATGAAAAGTGCTATGTAAGGACTTTGAAGAGTGGTGATGGGTGCAATATAGTAGAATACAGTTGTGCTTTTTATTTAAGACTCTGTTTCTAAAGTAACTTATGTTAAAATGCCCAGTTTATAAATTGTATCTCTAGGAGGAGAAGTTTCTCAGATCAACTGCATCATAGATTTAATAGGGAAAATTGCACAATTTTTCAACTTTTCTTACTTTATCTGTGCATTCCCCGTTTTTAAGCACTTCCCTTTTTACCTAGGTTCATACAGTTTACAACTAAATTATTCATTACCTTACCAAGTTTTGTAAATTTGATAAGTATGTGTAAAAATGATTTGTCCCGATTTGTGTTTCTTGAGAACGTGACATATATTATATATAAAAGCTTGCATCTAAAACTATCCAACAAGGGCCCTAATTCAACCAGTCCACCTTCCATTCTAGAGTTCTAAAACACAAAAAGAGCATCAAATTTACACGGGGTATGAATAGTAGAGTTGTTACCGTAAATGTAAAACATGAACCAGTACATGTATTTTATCGTACTTTATCTTCCACAATTTTTTTTGGTTAAAGGTGTTTATTCCATAGGTATTCTATATTTAATTGCAGTTTCATTGACTGATATTCATGTTGGTTAATATGCGTAATCATGTTTATACGGGGCATGGTGGCTCAGTAGTTAGAGCGCCCACCTCATGAACTGGAGGTCGTGGGTTTCGAACCCCGGCCGAGCAATACCAAAGACTTATAACAATGGGACCTTCTGCCTTCTAGCTAGGCGCTCAGCATATTAGATTGGAGAAGGGTAGTTATAACATATTTTGTTATGCATGGCCCGCTGGAAGAGCAGTTTCATATCTGAAGTGGCTACCCTGGGTAAATAAAACGTTATTATTATTATTTTGTTTGTACACATCCTGTTGCATTTAATAAGTTTCACTACATGTGTGTTTTCATATTTTTTGGCGATGGTTTTTTCCTGTTAATGCAATCCAAAAGAGGATTGCATCTTTTCTGCAATACATTCACAAAGGCTGATAAGCTCTTCATTTTACATCGAATCATATATTATATTGTGTTTGTTGTGCAACAATTTCATGAATGCCATTCCAATTTTGTAGCGTACTTAAAGATGGGTAGAGGATAGTTCCTGGGTCTCAATGTAACTTCCAAAGCTACTGCGCATGCGCTATATGCGTGAACCACTTTTGTACAGGATACAGAGCTTGCCAAAGAAAGAGATATCTTCCAACCTTCCCTTCATTTCTTTCTTTCTCTCCTTTTTTCAATATTGTTCTTTCTTTCTTTCTTTCTTTCTTTCTTTCTCAATCAATTTGTTTGATTGTTAATGTGTTTGTTTGTTTGTTTCTTCCTTTCTAGTTCTTCTTTCCTTTTCTGCAATGCCATATGCGAGAAAAACTAATTGCAAGCATGATTTACAAAGTCATTTCATGACGGCTTTATACTTCAAATCGTCTTCAACTCCCTCTTAGGCATATGATTCCCTCCCCTTAACCCACCTCTATTCACTTTTCAAAACATATATTTATATTGCATTTTTTATTATTTCAAAACATATATTTATATTGCATTTTTTAATTATGATTGGAAGGTAATATTGAGACCCAGGAACTACCCTCTACCGTAAAGATGACGTTCTTACAAGCTTGAACATGTGTCATCCTAGGGTTACAATATTATACAATGTATTTTCAAAGTTCGTTCAAATATTGAATTGTCCACTTCCACTTTTTAAAGACAATGTTGGCTTCAATAGTACCTGTAGTCCCAGTAATTCTTATCAATGTGATATATTATATCCGAGGGTCGTTTAAATTATGTCAAAGGCTTACGATCAAGATAAAATTGGTACACCTTCGTGTAAAAAACAGACCATGTTGTTTTGGTAATCTCACAATTGCTCCTACAAGGTTTGGTTAAGAGTGGGGAGTTGCTTTGTGTTGGGGTTAAGGAACTGGGCAAGGTTTACTGTCCAGAGTTGGAAGTTCGGAATTCTGTTAAAGACGCATAATAGTGGGTTTTCATGGGGAATTGGACAACAATCTGGTGTTTACCAAATAAAAGGTGCTGTCAGTCACCAAGAGTGGACTTCACAGACAGGTCTTGGGTAATGCACTGTGCCCAAGCCGATCACCAGGCGCGGATCCAGGATTTTCCAATAGGGGGGGGGGGGGGGGGGGGGGCGGGCGGAAATTTGAAAATCGCGCTGACCATTATTTCAACTCAACTTACCAAAGCGTATATAAATATTGAATATTTACATGTACATTTTTTCTGGGGTCACAATTTGTCTAGCGAGCGAACAATGGAGCATATGTATGTTGTGAAAGTGTTATTTATCACCTTAATATACGAGATTAGACCCCGGCCCCCCCCCCCCCCCCACTCAGTGTTATTTAGGGTACGCATATGCTCGTTCCCTCTTTTTGAAAGTACCCCCTATCTGAGGACAGCCAACATTTCCGAACCCCCCTTTCGCGGGCTTTTTGCGGGCTTTTCCTGCCTTGGAGACCCCCCTAAATCAGGAAAAATGCTCAATGTACCCCCCTAAATTCGGAATAATTTCTCAGGAGTCCGAAGAGATTAGAGAAAAAAAGAAAAAACGCCCCCTTTTTAAAGAAATATCCGGGTGAAAAGTCAAATACACCCCTTTTTTTACAATTCTCGGGCCGGACTTTGTCGCACGAAAAGTACCCCTTTACCGGACATTTTGGCAACACGCATGCGGTCATTCCGAAACCTGAGTGGGGGGGGGGGGGGCCGGGGATTAGACATACAAATTGCATATTCGGTCAGCTCGTAGTGTTTTAATTTGCGGGGAAAGAGAGAATTTATGTGCCCTGCGTTAACTGCAGGTGTTAACAAATGAAATTTGAATCCTTTTGGAGTAAATAAAGAAACAGTTCTAGCTACAACCATGATTACAATGAGAAGTTATTTGGAAATCCAGAACAATTAATCTCTTGTGGTGCTATATATGTGTTTTATGACTGTCAAAATAAACGTAACACTTTCCTTATATCTTTACATATTTATATTCATGAATGACTTTATCATTAACGGTTCGCTTAAAAATACCAACGTGCTGAGTTATTCGCTACAACCGTTATTGCAATGTGAACTTCCATTTATTTGGAAAATCCAGAACACTAGAATTGAACTTTTGTGGTACTATATATGTGTGTTTCATGACTATCGTACTATATTGAACACTTTCTTTATATCTTTACACATTTATATTACTTTATCACTCTCGTTCGCTTACAAAATACCAACGTGTTCACATTACTTCGTGTTCACATTACTTCGTATTCATATTAATACAATAAAAATATTTTTAACAAATCCGCATCACCACCACTGATACATGCAGGCCCCGCGGAATGTTTTTCAAAGTTAATGGTGGGGGAAGGGGCTAAAGTATTTACGACCAGGTAGAGCGTAGGGTCTAGGGGGCTGATCCCCACGAAGCTCAGTGGTTTAAGGCATTTTAGGGTCTCTGATGGGGTTGAGAGAGCGGAGCCCTCGC